CGTTTGGGCTCTAAATTAATCCAGCATTTTTGGTTTTAGTGAATTTTTTTACATTTATTTACATATTTACCGTATTTATTCTAGTAGAACCACCTATGGTTATTTTTCAATTCCTCCATTTGGGGTGGTTATATTAGAAAGGTGGTTCTATTAGTAGAATACGGTAGTTTGGATTTTTTATTTTCTTTTTATGGGTTGGTAGAAGAGTTGGCCAAAGTTTATACACATTGCAGAATATGCAGTGAACTATGCAAATTAATTAATTTGTGTTTTTTTCGAGCATACCGAAATTAATTCCATATATTTTAAACTAGGCAAATTTTTTTGAAAAAAAATTCTTGATTGAGTATATAATTTCTACATAAAATATAAATATTTTAAATCGGTCGGAATTCCAATTTCCAATAATTTTAAGCTTTTTCCGAGTTCCGACTTTTGAGCCATTTCCGATTTCTGGCAGTTCCTATTTCCGACAACTTTGTCATTTCCGACCGACCCCTGGTCCTACATTGCTCGTGAGAAATAAAAACATTTTTTTGAGCTTCTTTCTTAAAAATATCCGCAAACAAAAAGTCATTTGCATATTTTGGCCAACCCTGTTATTTATTAGTTAAATTTAATTTTTATTTTTTCATCAACTAAAAGGGTACGTAAATTGGCTTTATATCAAACGCTCAATTAATTTACAAACTAGTAGGTTACTTATTAGTAGAGCTTTGATTTTTAAGTACTAAAAAGTTAAAAATATGCGATTTAAGCACTAAAGCCGCCAAGATAGGCAATTTAGATCATTTATTAAAAAATCAATTAATTGAGTAACTTTATAATCGGATCCATTATTTATTTGAGAAGATTTTGGGGTTAAAAGAGACTTTATTTTTTTTTATTTATACGCATTATATCTAGAAATATTTAAAAGAAACCCAAAACAAATACTGTGTATTTTTTCTTGATTAATTTTAGTATAAATCTTTTATCTTTCAAGTTCAAAAGACTTAATCTTGATAAAACTTGTGGATTTAATATATAAAAATGGTATTACGACAAATACGGATACGCAACTGTAGATGCGACTATTCTGGACGACAATTACGGACGGCGATTGTGGGTCAGGGCTGCACGCAATTGAAAAAAATTCAGCAACTCGCAATTGCAGAAACCTCCGCATTTTATGCAATTCGCAACTCGAAATTCGCACTTGCGTGCAGCCCTGTTGCGGATAAGCCAAATGCAGATTTAACAATTGCGGATAAAAAAATTTCCTTAAATTATTCAAATGAAATCCTGTTTTTTTAGCCACGGCTGAAAGTTTCCGACTCCTGATTGGTTCTCGAATCCTTTCTAAAACTTTTAAAAAATCTTAAATTTTTTTTTAATTTTATATCCGCAATTGCCGTCCGCAGTTGTCATACAGCCATAAAAATTCTTCAAGGAAAAAAAAAATTCTTCTACAAGGAAAAAAAAATTTTAAAAATTTTTTAGCCTTACTTACGTTATTATTCTATAGGTTTTATTTAAAAATTTGAAAATTTTTTACCGACTAACAATAAGCTTATTGAGCGACGGGTTTTGCTATTGTTTTTTAATCCCCTGTTTAGGTGATGTCTCAGATAAAGCTTTATATGCTTTATATTTAATTTAAAATTTTTAAATTAATAAAATCAATGTATAAATTTTTGACTTCACGTGCCCGCGTGCCCCATCCCCTCCACCCCATCCCCTCCACCCCATCCCTTCCTTACCCATCCCCTCCACCCCATCCCCTCCACCCCATCCCTTCCTTACCCATCCCCTCCACCCCATCCCCTCCACCCCATCCCTTCCTTACCCATCCCCTCCACCCCATCCCCTCCACCCCATCCCTTCCTTACCCATCCCCTCCACCCCATCCCCTCCACCCCATCCCCTCCACCCCATCCCTTCCTTACCCATCCCCTCCACCCCATCCCCTCCACCCCATCCCTTCCTTACCCATCCCCTCCACCCCATCCCCTCCACCCCATCCCTTCCTTACCCATCCCCTCCACCCCATCCCCTCCACCCCATCCCTTCCTTACCCATCCCCTCCACCCCATCCCCTCCACCCCATCCCTTCCTTACCCATCCCCTCCACCCCATCCCCTCCACCCCATCCCTTCCTTACCCATCCCCTCCACCCCATCCCCTCCACCCCATCCCTTCCTTACCCATCCCCTCCACCCCATCCCCTCCACCCCATCCCTTCCTTACCCATCCCCTCCACCCCATCCCCTCCACCCCATCCCTTCCTTACCCATCCCCTCCACCCCATCCCCTCCACCCCATCCCTTCCTTACCCATCCCCTCCACCCCATCCCCTCCACCCCATCCCCTCCACCCCATCTCCTCCTTACCCATCTCCTCCTTACCCATCCCCTCCACCTCATCCCCTCCACCCCATCTCCTCCTTACAAAAGCTGTCTTGGCCAAAAATCTTGGACAAAAAAAAGCGTCTTGATACAAAAAATAACATTCAAAAATGTAGAGACACTCTCTTCCTCTCTTCCTATCCCCTATCTCCTCTGCCTCATGACAGGCATGATTTTTTAAGCATAGCATTAAAGCAGTATTCCCAAATTATTCTAGCTAATTCCTTCTTCATTTGCTACCTCTCCTTGACTATTCTCTCCCTATATTTTTATTTGTCAACCCGTTTATTCATTTAAATTTTTTTAATTTTAAATAATTTAAAATATTTTGAGGATAATTGCGGAAAAAATATTTATGCAAACTACCATGTTTAGGGTCGGGGTTTAAAAATTTTCTTCTGATTGTGTTGTTGAGTTCCGGTCGAAAAAGTTAGGGTTTCAGGTAGAGTAGCACGAGGTCGATGTTTTTAGAGAAATCCAAGGCTGGGGAATAGAGATTGGTTAGCTGTTAAAATGATAGCATCCTGACAATTTTATATCATTTGGAAGAAAGAAGAAAGGAAATAAGAGACCGGACCAGAGAGGTACCAGGGCTGTGCGCCAAAATTTTCCCGTGGAATGTACGCCAAATGCCAAAAATTTTTAGAATCTACATACAAAGGCCCGGAATTCACCTCTTTTTAGCTTTCAGCACTTTTTGAATTTTCAAAATTCGCTGAACCGAAGATTCATCCTTTTTAGCGCCACCAGCAAAAATTATGGAAATATGTGAAGATCAAGAGTCAGAGTCATTTTTTATACAAAATTCAAGGAAATTGGAAAAATCATCGAAAAGGAATTTGTAGGGATATCAAGGGGTTTAGAGGTACTGATATTCTCTTTGTCCTCCAGAATTAACGTGATTTGAAAGGTCTACGCGGATATTAGAGGATAAGTCGCATTCTTTTTAATAAGAGGATTTGAAGGATATTGGGGGCTTATAGGAAAGTCACTAGATTTGGACGTCTATCGGTGGTATCAGGGGACATAAAGGATAACTGGGCACTAAACATAGCAAGCGCAGTATCGATATAGTGTTATAGAGGCTAAATTGGAATTTTTGGGTTGTTTCGAACCAAGGCAGTAGTGGCAGTAATTATGTACCTGGTTGCGCCCCATGGGTCAAAAAACGAATATTTTTGGTTTAAGGATCTTCCAAAATTCCTGTCTAAGCTTTTAGAACCAGCTTAATTTACAGTTATAAGAGAATAAACCTTTTACGAGAATGAAGATACATTCACATAATAACAGATGAGTCTTGTGCTGTGGGATTTAGTTTATTTTCTTTTAAGATTCTGGCTCTTAGATTTCCAAAATTTTTACAATTTTCATATGCGGAGCTGACTTAAAAAATTTGGGATTTTTCTGAGAATTATCATCAAACACGAAGTTTGCGGACCTGATTATTGTGAACTCAAAATTTGAGGACCGACACGAGTAAAACACCACCCCAAAACAATTTGAACTACATACCCCTGCACACCCGCTCCCTAAACTTTTGAGATATGTACAACCCTATTGCGACCTCGAATCTATTATAGATTGGTTATTTTGTTACCTCGGAACTGAACTTGTAGTTTTAATGGATGTTAATGTTTTTAAATTTTAATAAATTTTATTTAAAAAATTTAAAATTTTTCTGTCAATATATCGATAATCTAAAGCTTATTCCACAGTGCGATTTTGCCTTCCCTCTTGCCCTCTCTCTCTTTTTCAGACCTCTTGAGAAAGAGAGAGGGCAAGAGAGAGGGCCCTCTCTTTTAGAAAGAGAGAGCCCTCTCTCTTTTAGAAAGAGAGGGCCCTAAAGGTTTATTTAAAAATTTGAGAGGGCCCTCTCTCTTTCTCAGACGTTTTACATAGGCAAGCCAATTTTTATTAGGTCCTCACTTCTTTTTCCAATACTAATTTGGCATATTATAAAAATAATCCTCCAATTATTTATTAGATTAAATTTGCAAAACTCCGGGATATACAATAGTACCGTCACAAACAAAAATTATTAGGCCCCCAAAGATGTAAGTAAAGCAAGAATTAACTCCTTATGCTTTGTAGAATTCATATAACTTGTAAAATATCTTGATGAGCGTCCTAGACCGAAAGTTTTCCAAGATTCAAGACCAAGACTTGACCCTAGACTAAGCCCAAATATAAAAAGACTCAAGGCAATTTTTGGTTATATGGGCCAAATTTTTGGTTTATTTTTTCGTGCCCTCGAGATAAGAAACTATAATTTCGAGGAATTTATTGAAGATATAATCAAAAATCTGAGAAAAACCTCGTATTTTTCGCCGAAAGCGCCAAAATTTTAAATTTTATTCTAGCGAAGTTCAACTCTGATAATTTTGGTAAAACTTTTATCGAGTCTTTTCGAATCGGACATCATTTTTCCGAGTCAGTTTCTCGGGCCTCATTTTCATCGAGTCGGACCGTACAAGCTTTTTCGGGCCAAATATCCTATGCCTGAATCATTTTAGCAACCATATCTCTAATACCTCGTACTTGACGAGGACTAGCAAAATAGAAATTTCCCAGTTTTGTGGATTTGAGATAATAATCACTGTATATTTTCAGAAAATGTATTATTATAAATTAATTTACATTTTCTTTTTGTTAATTTTTATCAACATTTCTGTTGGAAATACCAAACAAAAAAACAATTTATTATCCCACCGTCGATGCAAAAGGGGTAATAATCTGCGTGGTTGTTTTGGAGGTGGAAGTAGAGGAAGGCCTGATGATCAACCTTTTAAACAGCGTGAGGGAAAGGGAAAGGCACATGTTAAGGAAGAAAGTGAAGTTAAAGGAGGAAATTCAAAGAAAAGGGCTTTATTTGTTTGTCATAACTCTTTCTACTCTCATCTAAAATATAACGTAAATTTATAAATTTTACAATAAAGATCCAAGTTTTATTAAACTGCTGACTTAATTTAATTTTCACAAAAGACGGATTAAATAGATGAAATAGAGATCAACACCAGTGGGATTTGTGTGGCTCAAGCTTCAGCTCCGTCCTTTTTCAAACCCGGAGCTTACCCAGCACTAGTTAAAAGCAGAAATGGGTCAGTTACCCGATACCCGAAACTCGTTATTTTTTCCGACCTGAGGAATTTTCGAAAATCCGACCCGAACCCCGACTTTTCCATGGAACTTTTCACCATAAAAAGAATAAACCTAACTTCTTGGCCTTGCAAAATCGCTGAAAAGGGAAGAAATATGTGTTTACAACTTAAAGTATCGAAGGATTTATATAGAATGATCTCTTTAGGGAAAATATAAGTAGATAGATATCTTTGATTAGATATTAGGTATATCCCTCTTAATCTCAACTCCCTTGTTATTACTCTCAACCCTACCTGCCTTTTTTCTCAACTTGACCCATCCCTGGTTAATAGTTATTAAAATTATTATTAAAATTAATCTAAATTTATACTTATTAAAATTTAGGAATTTTTGGTCGAGACTTTGACTGAAAAATATATCGTGGTATGCTAATATATTAATTATATTCTCTAATTTCAATCTTGATAACCTTGATTTTTAGACTAGATCCCATTTCGGTACCGCCTCTAGTTTCTACTATTAGTAAGCAAATATAAATTACTGTACTTACTCAAATAATTACCCTGGATTGCTTCAATCTATCTGAACTGGGCTATTAATAGAGGCGGGGTAGTTAATTGAGGTTATTTTAGAAAGACTAATTATGACTATTTTTAAGATATAGTAATTATTTTCAACTAGAGATCGGTCTGGATCCAGACTGGATTTTTCCTGGATCAGAGTCAAGATCCAGGCATTCTTCGATCGTCCTGGATTTTTTGTTCATCTGGATTTTCCTGCAGACCCAGATCAAGATCCAGGTTACTAACCTAAATCCAAATCCAGACTTTTTGAAAACACCTATCTCTATTTTCCACCTATGGTTAGAGGTAGTAATTAATAGGATTGGGGGATTTATGTTAGAGGGGGTAATTATTTAAATAAATATTTACAGGACATGGTTGTCTTCACTAAAAAGAATAAACATGCTATCAATCTAGCTCCGAATCCAAATCTTAAAATTATTGAGATACTAATAGAAGACAATCTTATGCATAGGACTGTAGATTTTTATGTTAGAAATTATACAGGCTAGTTTTTTTCGAAAAAAAATATTCGGGTAATAAAAAAACAATTTTTTTAGATATTTTCAAAAACAAAAATAAGAATACTAATTATATTCGTAAACAAAAATATGCTTTTGGAATTGCTGAGTTTAGTGAAATGGCTGGAGCTTTTGCATTGTTTGAAGCTTTGGGAATTGAAAATACTTTTAGTGCTAATATTTCTATTTTCCTCCCAATGCATTTCCAATTTCTTGATTTTGATATTATAAAACATATTAAAAAAGGAAATATTATTCCAGGTTAAATAAAAAAAATTTTTTTAAATGAAATTTGATTTGATCGAAATTCCAATACATTTAATTTCAATTATATTTTGCCCTACAGGATTGCCGTTTTCGGGGTGCCGGAATTTTGGTCACCGGAATTTTGGTCACCAAGGATTTTCGGAACTTTGGTCACCAACTTTTTTGGAATTTTGGTCACCAGCGGAATTTTGGTCACCAAGTCAAAAAACGGAATATTGGACACTGAAATTTTGGTCACCAAACGGAAAAAAATAATCTTATCTAAAACTGGTATCAAAGTGATAAAAAATGATTTTTCAACCCCCAGTTGATCAATTTCAATGTTGATAACTCTCATGGCTGATCACTCCCTCAGTTGATCACTCTCGATCACTCTTCCGGATGATTGATTAACTGGCAGAGTGATCAACATTGAAATTGATCAACTGGGGGTTGAAAAATCATTTTTTATCACTTTGATATCAGTTTTAGATAAGATTATTTTTTTCCGTTTGGTGACCAAAATTCCTATTGGTGACTAAAATTTCAGTGTCCAATATTCCGTTTTTTGACTTGGTGACCAAAATTCCGCTGGTGACCAAAATTCCAAAAAAGTTGGTGACCAAAGTTCCGAAAATCCTTGGTGACCAAAATTCCGTACACCCGTTTTCGAGCCGTGCCGACGTTCGAGTCTTTTTCGGGCCTAATTTTTATCAAACCGGGCCGATCGAGTCATTTTTCGGGCCAAAATTCGCAGCCCGGTTCGATCTTTCAAACCGAACCGGGCAGGCTTTGGACCTTAAGCTTTCTTAAGCTTTGGACCATATTAGGACAACATAATGAAAAATTTATAGGATGTTTCTAACATTAGATAAGATTTACAAACATTCCAACAAATCACTTAACAAAATACCACGTGTTAATTTAATGTTACTTAAATATTATTAATTTAAGAATTTGATTCTGCAAAACCTGGAGACTGGATAGAGGAAGGAGGTATTAGTTATTTCAACCCTGAAAGGTTTGGGGAAAATTTAGAAGCTTACAAAAAAGGAATTAATTATGATAGAATTTATTATGAAAATACAAGTAGAGCTTTAACTGGAGCAATGAAAAGAGAAAATAATGACCAATTTTTAAAAGATTTATTTGGAAAAATTAAATATCATTTTGTTAATCAAAATAAATTTGCAAATTTTGAAGCTTTTCCAAAACCTTCAAATATTATTTATATTGGGGGTATTCTTGTTGAAGGAAATGAAAATATAAGAACTGCTAAAAATTATGTATGAATTATTAAATCTTTGTCTTGTAAAGCTTGAAGGTTTAATCCCTGAGAAATAGGCAAAACTCCGCCTAGAGAGAAGGTGCATTTAATCAGAAGGAAATTAAGGAAAAGCAGCTTACCGTATTTACCCGAATAATTCCCTCCTTTGCATAATTCCTCCTGTTACGGATGAGCTGAAACAATCTGCCTCCACAAATACCCTACTACACGCTCAAATTTCAAAACTAGAATAATTCCCCATGTCACGGATGGGTTGAAAAAATATTTCCCCACGTGAATTAATCGAGTAAATACGGTAGTTGGCTATCATTCCAACTTAGAATTCTCTATTAATCAATGGCCTAGTGTTCGATCGGCTTTAAGCCTGATCAAGTGGTGTACCAACACATTCACTTCGCCCACTTGCGTTCCTCTGGGAAATCTATCTATTGCATGCATCACCATCAGAAATGGGTCGGAATTACGATTTTCCGACGTTTTTTCCTTCTAATTTCCGAAAAAATATTGATTTCCGACTTTTTGCCAGTTCCGAGTTCCGGCTCTCCCGATTTCCGACACTACTGACTGTTTCGACCCACCTCTGATCACCATCAACATCTTCTCTCTTAATTAGGGTTGGCCCGTTTAATTAAATAATTAACTGTATCTAATTTTGTGATATACTACTCTTTATTTCAGTGGGAGTTTTTATTTTAAAATTTTTCCTAGCTGCTAAATAGGGGCAAAAGATCCAAACTTATGGCCATCCAAAATCAAAGCGTATTTTTTAAATTACACTACCCTCAATATTTAAGGGTGAATTACCTTTGGTGCTTGTCTCATTTGGAACTGTTAAACAAGGTGGAATAGTATCTGTTACGGATATTCAAATTATAGTGGATGTTTTTCGTAATTATCGGAATTCTTATTATTTTAAAATTAGAACAGGCGAGGAATGTGCGCCAGCAATAAAGGATAACATAGAAATAACCAATGATTTTCTTCCACAACAAGAAATATTATGTAATTTAATTATTTATATGTATAGTTCGAACATTTCACGTTTACGGGCCAAGGGATATGTGCAAGAGAGGGGTAGGGGATCATTGTGTACCGGCCGTTTGTGTATCTGGCCATATTTTGGGCCATAACTTTTTCAATTCTTAATTGATTTAAATAAATAATATATCAATTGAAAGCCCTGGATGTAGGATTATTTTCGCCAACAGGATTGATTTGATCAGATAATCATACAAAAAGTTACAAACAGATAAAGATCAAAATCACGATTGAGCGCATTTATCGAGATATAACTTTTTATAACATGATCTGATCAAATCAATCCTGTTGGCGAAAATAATCCTCACATCCAGGGCTTTCGATTGATATAATAATAATTGAAGTCGGTTAAGAATCAAAAAAGTTATGGCCCAAAATATGGCCAGGTACACAAACGGCCGGTACACAAGTGGGACGTTCCGCAAGAGAGACCAACTCAAAAAACACAAGGCCAAAATTTAACGCAAAAATTTTACACATAAATTTTGTGTTGGCCATTTTCCCATCATTTCTCAGTATATTGTGATGTAAGATTACTAACTGTACGAATCATGTATCAATTTTATGATATAAGATTTTGGATGGAAGTGATTTGGAGGGATATCGTGGATATCGCTCCCGGGGATTTGGAGAGTGGACAATTCGGGAGTGGACATTTAGGGAGTAATTTGGAGGGAGCTCAGTGAGTTGGGGAGATGTCGGAGGATTAAGATAGCAATGAATTTGAAGAGATAATGGGGAGATCAGAGAATTTAGAGGGATACGAAGAGGGCTATACATCCGGGGCCGAAGTTTGTATGAGCCGGCCTATGATTGAGGAATATTTGTATTTAGCTAAGGGGTTCCTCCTTTTAGCTCCTCTGTTTTCAAGAAGGAGCTCATAGCTTAATTTTAAGATTATCATACTATTAAATTAATTTTTATATTTTAGTTCATCCAAATACGAAATTGTTTATTTCCCATTGTGGTCAAAATAGTTTAACAGAGGTACCTCACTTTAAAATTACGACCGTCATTTTTTATTTTCCGGACGGTTTAATCATTTTTTAAATTAAATTTAAGATTAATTTTATAAGACTTTATTTTAAAGGCAATATATGCAGGTGTTCCTTTAATTTGCATTCCTTCTGGAGGTGATCAATTCTACAATTCCTCTCTAGTCGAATATTTGGGTATTGGAAAATATGTACTTTTAACATTTAAAGACGAGAGGGGCAATAATCAAAAGAATGAAAATTTTCAAAATGATTTTCAGAATGCTTTGGATGAAATGTTAAACAATTTGTTAGTGAAATTTTAAAATTATCCCATTGGAATTTTAGATTATATTTGGACAGTGTTAGATAACGGCTCCGGATGTCCGTTGCCATCGAGCACTGGGTCGGGTAAGTCCCTGGAGGGAGGAACCGTGCCCTAAAAACACTTTAAACGTCCACTCGAACGTTAAATTCCCTTACCAACCTAAAATATTTTTAAACTAATAATTCCAGAACATTATCGTGTGTACAGTAATCTGACAATAAAATTATTAAATATTTACAAAAAAATATTTTTTTATATTTTAGTGATAAATATTTCTACGAAATACATCAACTTAGAATGAAGATTTTGAATGACTATAACAATGTCGGAGCTAAGAAAACTTTTTTAGATACAATTTCAAAAGTTATTGGAGATTAATTTTATGAAAAAGAAGAAATAGGGCATAAATTTTGAGCGTTGTACCTTATGCCGCGGTTCCTTTGGGTGCACCTTATACCGGGGATAGGTCGGAATTTCGACTTCCGATGTTTTTTTCCTTCCGATTTCCGAAAAAATTTTTATTTCCGATTTCCGACTTTTGAGCCATTTCTGATTTCCGGCTTTTCCGATTCCGACACCTCTGACTGTTCCGACCCACCTCTGCCTTATACCACACCTTGTGTACCTTACAACTTGTATCTTTGGGTGCACCCACATTTGCATTACACTTTATTATTTTTACTTTTTCGATAAAACTAAAAAAATTTCCTTTATTTTTCAAATTTTTTATAAAAGCCTTGGTTTTCGATAAAACTTGTATAATTTTAAAAAAATGAATTTATTTTATTCAGGTAATTTAGGTAATTTTTCTAAAACCTTATCTATCATTTCAATTAATTTTTGTTCCGGGGATATTCTAGCTTTTGTATAACTTGTATATAATGCAAGCCTATTTAATGCTAATTTTCTTGTTCTATAAATTGTTGCCAAAAAATGTTCTGCATGGAAGGGTGAAAGCATTATTAAACGTGCCAATGAATTTGTTATATTTAACATTAAAATAATAAATTCTTCATTGATAATATTTGAGATTAAAGTGTCCAATAAATCAGATATTAGAGTTAAGGCAGCAAAAGCCGGTGGAATTTTGTACTTTAAATTATTAAAATTTATAAGAAATTTGAGGAAATTTTGTAGAAATGTTAGGAGGGGGGATTGTGACGTTTTAGGTGCAACAGTCTTTCTTGTAATAGGGAGAGTGTATTATGGATAGAATTGCCGTTTTCAAGGCACGGTCGAGGCATTTTTTCGAGCTTGCTTTTTATCGAGTCGGGCCGGTCGGGTCACTTTCGGGACAAATTATCTTAGACCCGACTCGATCTTTCGGTGAGTCGGTCTATTTTGGCAACCCTAATTATCGACATTTGTCGACATGCTCGGAACCTGATGAATAAAAACTCCATGTTAATTGCTATAGTGACCTAGTGACCGCCTTTTAATTAATTTAGTGAAAATATGGACTCCTAGAAAAAAAATAAATCCTCAAACATAGAGCTTCCCACTAATTTAAATTCCCTTAATAACCCATAATTTAAAAAAAATAAAAAAATATTCACATTTTCCAACAATTCAGTCATCAAAACAATAGTAAAAATACGCCTTTCCAAATTTCCTCCAGTAAGAAGTTCATTTATAGAATTAATTAAAACATGAGTTGAAGGAACTTTTTTGACTATAACTGGTATTAATCTTAATGGGTACATCTACAAAAACAAATTAAAAATTTTTTTGTTAAAATCCCCATCCAAAAACCCACATTAAAATGAACTAATTTAGGCAAATGAGTATCTGCAATAAAAAATTGATGTATTTGTGAACATAAAATTTGTTGAATTTCTTCCAAATTAGGTATATCTTTGGGGTTTCCATCACACAATTCAATAAATACTTGAACTACAGCTAAACGCTGTGTTCCAATGAATGAACGAAGTAATTCTTCTTTTTCTGCCATTTCACTAAAAATATTTGAATTTTTAAATTAAATAGAAATTTTATTTGCAGAAATAAGCAATTTTATGTGGGGTTCTCAAGCCTTCGAAAAAACAAATGAAATCTCAAGATTAGGGTTGTCGGTTCTGGACCGAATCGAAACCGAAGAACCGAGGATTTTTCGGTTCGGTTCAGTTTCGGATATCCGAAAGAATTTCCAGGAACCGACAAACCTACTCAAGCTAAATATTGGTATTAGTCGATTTTTTAGAAATTTGTTCTGAAATATTTAAAATATTAATTTGAAAAATATTTAACTAAAAAGGAGGAACAATTCCAGGATTTTATAAAATGTTGGAAATAGAAAAATTTATTTCTTAAGAAAAGCTAGAGAGCATGTATTGTGAACGGGTACACCCCAACTTACCGCAGAGCTATAATTTCGTTCAGAACTGTCAAATCTGGGATGTCCAGATATGTTTCGATTCAGCTCTTCGAGGCGTATCGAACCAAACCAGGGCTTGTCGGATTCGACAATTCTGAACAAAGTTATAGCTCTTCGGTAAGTTGGGCTCCCATTGAGGACAACAATAAATTAAAATTTCCCCATTTAATTAAATTGACATTTTTCTTTGTTAATGGACATGTAAAATATTTTAAAAAATTTTTAACCTTTTCGTATTATAAGCAATTGCCCTCGTTAATTTAAGATAATTTGCATCTCTACTTGCAGCCAAATAAAAAGCTAATAAACGGCAAAAACATTTTAAATGTGGTGGACTTTTAAAAACACGAGAGTCCGCTCTGAATAAAATTAATGGAGTATGCGATATAATAAAATCGTTGTCCCGATCATCTAAATTTGGAATTTGTGAAGCTTGAGGAGATTTGAGCCATAAACGGATTGTATCTTCGTGTAGACGGCGAGGGAGAACGCTTTAAGAGAAAAATATTTTTTAAGAAAGATTTAAAAAAAATTATTTTTTCGGAAAAAATGATTAAATGAACTAATTCTCGAGGCTCTGGTTTCAACATTAAATAGTAAGGAAAATTGACCATTACGAGATGGTCTCAGGAAGTAAGGAAAAATATGATCCGAGCACTCCTTTCATATAGAGTCAAAATTTTGATTAGACTCATAAACTGTCATGGGACTCATAAAACTTCATTGACTCATAAAATGTCTTTGGACCAGTCTCGGCTGGAGTATGTATCCAAGACCAAAAAAAAAACAAAAAAATAATACCTATCAAAACGTTCCCACAAAAGTTCCAATTTTTCTACTAATGCACGTGGCCAACGCTCTTCATCCAACGATACAGTCATCGCTTGCAAAATATTTTCAAAATGAGGCATTTGTGACTGAATTGGCAGATTAAACAATAAATCAGTTAATTTTGAAAGTTTAAAGAATCCACGTCCGTTGGTTGCATCTTCCAAGGCACAATTGAATTCAGAAACGGGGACGATACCTCTCTTTCCACGAGTAAAAATATGTGTAGTTTGGCTGTAGAATAAATTAAAAAAATTTTAAGTAAAAAAAGCAAAATAAACCCTTTAAACGAGTCAAAATGTATTTGCTCTGGAAGTAGATGGGGAAGGCTTAATACCTGAAAATTTAATAAAAAATTATTTAATTAATCAATGAATTTTTAAAAATGTTTATATATCCAAGTCATTAATTGGATTTAAAAATCGGAACGAGACAACAAAGCCCAAAACAAAAATCTCGGTTATCCAAGGCAATATTTTTCGAAATCTCCCAACCGACCTTTCCAGTTCGGTCTCTAATTGAATCCCATGGGATTCTAAATCACTCTTATTTAAAAAATAGTTTAGTAAAAAAAGTAAGTCAAGCCCATTAAAAATTTAAGTCTGGATTAGATACCGGACTGGGAGTGTCGTATGAAAATCGAAATCACAAAAAATTCGATAAACGAATTTATCTTGATAAATCTCGATCGAAATCTCGAAAAATCTTGTCGTACGAGAATAAACGAAATTTTAAATCTAGATCTCGTCTCGGTCCGGTCTCTAGTTTGAATATTTCGAAAATTGAGAAAAATGTTTTCAAAAGGTTTCCGTTTTACAAACCAAAAATAAAATTTAAATTTAACCAAATATCTCTGTAACATTAGCCGAATGTGTTGAAAGTCTGAATGTCTCATATCTGCCACAATTAACAAATAACGAATTGGAATAGATTTCCATAATGATTGACTATAAGCTTTGGGTGTTTTAATTGTTCCTCCTTCCTTATTTGAAGACGAATCCAATTTGAAAGTAAAAGAAATAAGAAAAGCGAGTGAAAGTATTCGGATAACAAGCTTGGAATCATCAAAAATTTCACCAGAAAAAATTTCCTTGTAAAAAATTTTTGTGAAATTTTGAAAATAATTATTTAATTTACCTGAAAAAATTGTTCATCAATTGATTGATTAAAATGAGGATATGTTTCTGATGGAATACAACTACTAGCAAAATTTTCTAGTAAATGTGGCACTATTGGATGTATAGGTGTATGACATTCAAGCATTTGTGTTTTGACCCATTCCTGAATTTTAATAAAAAAAATGATTAAACAAAGATGATGATGAGTGAAAACCCCGAATTTGGGCCCGGACTTCGGAAAAATCCGTCACGACATGGTTTGGAGCTCAGGCCCGTAGCCAAGGCGTAAGGGTGAATTCCCCCCCCCCCCAAATGGGGAAAAAGAAAAAATTAGGGGAAGGGATTGGACAAAATCCTGGCTACGGGCCTGCTGAAGCTGCAGACACTTAAATTCAGAAAAAATTTAAAAAATAATATAACGATATCTACATCCCAATTTTAAAAAAATCGCATAGTTTTGTGCTCGTTTGTAGGGAAAAGAAGGTGTTACAGAAAAACCCCCAAACCTAGCACTTTTTTTATTTTATATTTTTAAAATTCATTTTTAGGATTCTAAAAAAATACATTTATTGAAGTACTATATTTCGAAAAAGAACGCCAATGTAGCATCGCACAAATACAATGTACAGGCAAGTATCCAGACATTGTTGCATTCAAACGTTTTGTTATGTTTATATTAGCTGCTTTTTGTGCAACATCTTGTTGATTTATTGCATTCCCAATATAGAGTTCTTTGACAAAAGGTTGTTTTGAGAGAGTTTTTGGGACCTTATAAAAAAATTTTTTTGAAAAACTTTCTTTGTTCAAAATTTCTCTTTACTTTATGTCCGAGTATATTAGAGAGCAATATTGACAAATCTTCAGCATTATCAGTAACCAAATGTACATAAATAAGAATCATTACATTGCTGAGAGGGGCATATTCAGGCTTTTGAATGAGTGAATGGAGGTAAGAAAAGAACGAACTCAGACTTTTTCCAATTTTTTCATCACGGAAAGACACTTGGTCCCTTAAAGGATTGTAAGGATATAGAAGAGATTAATACTTACAGCATTAAATTTGGAGATGCCAAAATTGTGGCTAGCGCAATTTTGAGCGACACATCGTCAGTGTTTGTTTTATTAGCCAAAAATGAGACCCATTGACGGCTTTCATCGTTTGAAATACGCAAAGAAGAACATGAAGCGATTAATGAAACAAGCAAAACAACTCGACTTTCTAATTTGCGATCTTCATCTTTTCTAAAAATTAAAAATAATATTTATTGGACAAACTGTCTGGAAACCAAACAATTATTCCCGGGGAAATTAACTTTATAAATAACGAAATGTTTCCACAAAAAGGGAATGGGGTTGCAAGGAAGTCGTTATCGGATTCACTACTTGTCGAATCCCTTCTCGAAAACCCCAAAAAATCCATTCCTTATAGGGTTGGGGTTTTCGAGTCGGGCCGACGTTCGAGTCATTTTTATCGGGCCCGCTCGGCCGAGTCTTTTTCGGGTCATAATTCAATGCCCGACTCGATCTTTCGGACAGGGCCGGATTGGGCCCCCAACCCTAATCCCTTACAAAAAAATTATAACCTGCATTTTTCCATAATTGAACTTATCCGTTGACATACTGCTCGCATCGATGGTTTGTTTGCAGTTTTTGAAACAAACGAGACAAATTCAGAATTATTTCTATTTGAGAATTGTGCAATTAATAAATCGACAAAAAAATGGTCTCCTGTAGCATTTGAACAAATTAATTGAACTGTTCCCTTTACATCCTTTGCAGATTCAAGTTGTAAACATATTGAACGTTGAGAAGTTGAAGGTTCGATTTGAAAGATCTAAAAAGGATTTAAATTCTAAAATTTTTCATCTGAATTGTCAGTGTTTCCCTGTCTGATTGTGAGCGTCTGAGTCCCCACAAAGTGTGGATCTTCTTGTGAAAACTTTTTACAGGATCAAGGAACCCAAAATTACTTTAGAAAATCCCCTTCATAAAAAGTAGAGAGCGAGCTGGATTTGGATAGGAACCTTGATTTTTCCTGGATTCAGACAAGATCACAACAATTTTCTGAGTTACTTGATTTTTCCTTGACTCAAAATCAAGAATCAAATCCCGGTACCCAACGGAAATCAAGGACAAGACCTCGCTCTCTAATAAAAAGACGAACTGCTTAAACAATAAATTTTGTATAACAGACCTTAAACAAGGTAGAAATATCCTTGTCTTCAACAGCAGATTTGTCGGTCAATAATTGCTTCAATTTTTCTTCCATTAGAAATATTATTTGAAAATTAACACCTAAAATCAAATTGAAAATTTCAAATAATTGAAAAAAAAATAAAAACGAGAAAACAAAATCTCCTCTTTTAAAAAATTTTAATCAGAAAATATATTTTATTTCTAAAAAAACAAAAAAAAACTAAATAACAACAAACTCAATCATCGGATAAAGCAGTCTTTTTTTCTTCCTTTAACAATATTTTATGGGAACCATCACAGAAAGGCCTATTTTTTGTTTGTTTACAATTACATAACCACACTTCCATATCTCTATCTGAAAAAATATAAAAATACTTTTAAAGTTTAATTGAAAATTTAACCTGGAATAAAACGCACAGGTTTAAGTTTAATAGCCCATTTGGGCAAATAAACGGTTAAATGAGTACCATCACAAAGAGGCTGACTTCCAGAATATCCACAACTGCACCAAGTATAGACCTAAAAGAAATGATAAATTTTTAACAGAAAATAACTTGTTTTGAGGACAAGTTTAAAATTTTGTTTTATGCAACTTGCATACGTATTCGCTAGATTTCCCATTATAAAACCGGCTAATATGAAAGTTACCATATTGTCTCTAATAGACGCCCGACTCCATTAGAAGCCCATGCCCTAATAGAAGCCCACCAAGAGGGGTATTGAAAAATAGAAGCGCTGGGCTTCTATTAGAGACAATATGGTAATCTAAATATTTCCCGATCAATAACTAGCCGCTAAATTGACCGCAGTCTTGATGTAGAAGACAATTTTGAAACCCGTTTGTCTAAACCTTTACCCAAAAAATTGACCGAAAATTAACTTAACATAATAACCAGAAACATGTCTGAAAGCAATTAAACAAACCTTATCCTTCTTCAATAATGCTTTTGTAGGTAATTTTGAATGAACTTTTCCAAATTCTGGCAAAAGATGATTTGTTCCTTGAAGGCCATAAGGCATTTCTGGCTTCTTATCGTGGATCTAAACAATATATTTAATCAAGTTTTTAAATTTAAAATATACATGATGATATTTCAGAACAGAAGGCTCAGTCCCGACAAAGTGGACGCCTACCCTGTGCATCCGATAAGGTCCAAAACCTGTTTTTGAACATTTTAGAGATGACAAAAATAAACAAAGAGGGTTGGAGAATCGCATCAAAAAATTTAAAAAATATTAAAAAAATATACAAAATTAAAGATAACACAAAATGCCTTTAAATAGAGATTTAAACAAAAAATCAATTAAAAAGTAAACTCAAAAATTTATTTTTTAAATTTTCAACAAACAAATTATATTGCTAAAATTATCCTAGAAAATTAAATTCTTCTCGTCCTCTCAACTTTTCTTCTAAAGAGCAAACAAAATAAGAAAGCCCATAGTCAAGCAAAAAAGCCCCATAGCTTCGGACAATGCAAAACCGAGAATTGCATAGGAGAAGAGTTGCTGCTTCAAAGAAGGATTGCGAGCAAAACCAATGAGCTTAAAAAGTGAAACTGATTTTTAAAAAATCTAAAAGAAGATACCAAAGATCCAAAAACGTTTCCAATACCAGCACCGGAACCAGCGACTCCAGCAGTTGCCGCTCCTTGAATTTAGAAAGTTTAGCATGTAGAGGTTGAGAGGTGTCCGAGCTAAAAACGGTCGAGACCGGGCTCATTCGACAGAGAATGTGCCCTTTCTAGCAAGGATTTTTGTGACTTTGGAGGGCCATATCTTGGCAAGATAAAAAAGGGTAAAAACGGCTCAAAATCCTTGCTAGAAAGTGCAAATTCTCTATCGAATGGGCCCGGTCTCGACCGTTTTTAGGTCGGACACTCGCAACCTCTTCGTGAAAGCCTAAAATCTCAAAGAAACCTGCTCCAATATATTTCGCAGCACTGTCAATATCCTTTCGAACGGCACTTGTACTAAACATCATAGCCTGGTTTGGGTTAAACATTGCTTGTACAGGAAATCCACAGATAACTTGACGAAGATTCGATGAACGAGCAATAATAGCTACTTGACGAGAAGCGAGAGGAGCGAACATTTTTTTGAAAACGATCAATTTAAATTAAAATGCTTAACTAAAAGAAGCTTAAATTGATAAATAAAAAATGAAATAATAAATTAAAACTCCAAAACTCTCGATAAAAAATAGAAAAAATTTTTCTGGTTTCCGGAAAAACTTTAAAAGGTCGATTCAAAGTTAGCCACTTCTAAATTGGCCAGTTCAAAGTAAAACCATAACTTTCTTAGAAGTACAGCCCAAGTAGGCGCGCGGCTATAACGGCGTAGAGCCATAACTTGCTTCAAATTTCCAAATCTTAACAAATTTATTATTAAACGATTCTTCTCATCGAACTAAAGTGATTGGCAACAAAATTAATAAGGGCCAGAAATTTTCCTGTAAGTTATGGCTTTGCGCCTTTATAGCCGCGCGCCTATTTGGGCTGTCCCCTTTCTTAGTTTTCGCCTGATTTTCTCGTATCATTCGAAAGTTCTCGAGATTCGACATCTTTTTCATAATTAGACCGATGTGATAATGAGTAGAAGATATTATAAAAAAAAGATGCAGAACTGCTACTTTGAATTGGACAACTCTGAAGCGTCCCAAAACATAAACAAAACGCCAAGAGTGATGCCAAGAAGTCGAAAATTCAAGAGTGAATTTTCGTTAATTACTGTAAACTGAGAGAAATAAAATTTCTGAACGGAGAGAAGTTAAATTTTTGAGACTTGAACAATATTTGGAACAATATTGTCAGTTTACCTTTGTGTTTGTTACTTTGGAATTTCTTAGGTATTGGTTTTCATTCCTGTTGATCTTTTGGGTGTTGATCAATGTCGGTTACTCTTCCATCGATTGTCTTCGCTGGCTGCTGCCTTGGGAAAATACACAAGTAGTGGGAATGGGAAAGCGACTACGCTGTGAACGATTTTTGGTTGGTTGGGGATAGTGAAGGATTGGGGCCGGGAAATGCTTTTTAATAGAAGGAGGGGGGGGGGGGGTATGCTGGCTGACGACGATTTTTCTCCTTTTCTTTCTTCCTTTCATTCATTTTTTCATCCATAGCGACGGAGCGGCCGTACAGCTTTTTACGCTCCCATACCCCAAACCTTCCAGCAGCTCTCTTGTTAAGTAACTGCTTTCGTCGCTGTCGACGCGATGTCGACGCCATTTGCCCGACTTGAAACGTCACCAATGAGCACCGTCCCGCCCAGGGCCGTCTTTCGTTCATAACTCTATGAGAGAAAACTAACCAACAAACATCGACCCCCAAACACAGCAAAATGAATTGCTGCTCTTCTACTATTTTTTCCTTTAAACGAAAACGTCAACAGACCTGAGAATGAGAGCAGCCGGCTTGAGACAGCCAGTCAATCCAATGTCTTTTTTAAGTAAATGGACATTTTTTCACGATTGTTTGCTCTGCAGTAGAAGGAAATCATAACAGGATTTTTTTCTGATTTTTCTAGCTTTCCTACTTTACAACGGCTATTTTTGTTTTCCCCCTTTTTCTGGTAAAAATACTTCCAAAAAATTATTTTTGATTTTCTATTTGGTGATCTTCTGGATTTATCCTTCAGATTATTGACATTTTTTTATTTGACAAATTGACATATAGACACACGTATTTATATTTTTGAATTTGTCTATCCCTTATATAAATTTACGTCAAAAGAAAAATTTTTTTAATTCTCGCACTCTCCATTATCGCCATTTCCGCTACTACTTAAATTTTTTTTATTAATTTATTTTAATTTAAAAAATAAAAAAAATTTTTTTAAAGAAATAACTAAACACCTTCCCTTGCTGAATAATGTTTTCCTTCCTGTTTTCTCTCTACTTTTTAATGTTTTTCAAAAATTTCCTCTCTTGAATATCGTTTAGAATTTTTAACATTTAATGTTTTTTCTGCTAAAAAAATTTTTTTCTTCTCATTAATTCACCTTAACATTTTTTAACATTCAACATCCCTTTTTTCATTTTTTTTCTTCGCGGACATAACCATATTTTTTTCTTTATATTTTTTCTTTTTAGCCTCGTATTAAAGCTAGCCCCCCACATAGTCCCCTTCTATCCCCCATCTCTTTTTATGGTGATAAATAGTTGAGGAAGAGTCGGAGGGGAAACAAAAAATACAACAAACGGATAGAAAAATGGGGGGAAGAATTTCTATAGAGGTTGGGGAAGGGGGGGGGGGGGGGGGGAATGTGTACTCTAACAATATTTCCCCCACACTTTTTTATTTATTTTTTCTTCAGAAGCTTTTTCGATGTAGGGGCAAAATATGAGAAGAATCGTTTTCGTCATTTTTAATGTTATCTTCCCCTCTCCATTCCTTTTTTCTATTAAAATAAATCCGATTTATATATTCTTCTATTGTTTGAAAGATTTCCTTTTTTACAGTCAGATTTGGCCTATTCATTTATTCATAATTTTTATTGAGTCATAAAAGAATTTTCAGATAATTTGTTTTTCCAGTTACCCTATTGTTTTTCTTTTATTTTTTTTCTACAAAATTTTACGTGGTATTTTTCCTAATGAGAAGGTCCTCTTCTATTAGGGAGTGCCCTCCCTTTCTATTGGAGTGCCCTCCCTTTCTATTAGAGAGACACTTCTTTTATTGGAGAGTGCCTTTCTATTAGGAAGCACTCTCGTTTTATTAGACCTTTCTATTAAAGGGTATTCTCCTTTTATTGGAGTGTGATGCCCCCCTCTTTTTTAATGCCTCCCTCTTCTAGAGTATCCCATTATTATTTTTTTAATTTCTCATTCTTTGACCCTAAACTAAGTTTCGTATCTCCATTTGACTCTTAGAGACCGGAACAGGAGTATCGTACAAGATCGTTCGAGATATCTTTTGCTCGAAGTCTTGTCTCGATCTGGTTTCTATTTTATATAAAAGTCGTTATGGTGCCCCTATACTTTTCCATTATTTGAATTTACTGTGCATTTGTCTATTTTTTATTATGCTTATTTTAACTCTCCTTTTTTACGTTTATTTAAAAAAATTTTTTAATATTTTATTTTATATAATTTTTATTTTAAATCTACATAAGAAAACCGAAAATGCTAAAATAAAATTTTTTTTCTCCAATTGTTTTTTTTTAATTTTTTTTTCAGAAAACTAAAAATAAAAGAAAAGGCAAAAATAAATGCCTCGCAACGCCTTCTAAAAAATAATATTTTTTGCAAAGCCTATGGACGGCTAATCGACTTACTCAACAAATAAACATTACTTAAGGGAACGAGAACACAATAGAAAGAGAAGTTGGCATTTAGCCCGGAAAGAACACAAAAAGAATAAAAATACAAAACACTTTTTTTCTGAAAAGCGACCATTTGTGGAAAAAAGGTGTGAGAGTAAAGTAAGGCTTTTTGGGGCGTAACGACGTTTGGGCGCTCGCAGAAAATTGGGTCATATAGTAACCCTAGAAGATTGAAATTTTCTTTCTGAATTTTATTTCATAATTATTTTCAGAATTTTTTTCAGAATTTTTTCTGAAGATTAGAAAGCTCTATTTAAAAAAATTGAGCGGGATTTTATTACCTCAAGTGCCATTTTTAGGAGATTATTATACGCGCGCCCAAACATTCCTGCGCCCAAACAACACCAACTCTTAATATTAGCATATCAAACCGTTAAATATAACATTTAACTTTAACTTAAGCATTGACAACGAGTGCAAAAAGGAGGTGGCAACGGCTATAAAATAATTATAAAAAATATATAATCTCCTCCACCTACACATTGCGCGGTCTCTACCGAAAAGTGGCTGTGTGTATCCCAACAACATTAAAAAGCTAATTTCTTCTCAAACAACGCTTTTTTGCCAATCTCTTCATTCCCGTTCTCACGTCTTTTTTAAACACACACTCGCTCACTCATTTTCCATCATAAAAAATTTTTCTTGCGGCATCTTCTTTCCTCTTTAACAACATTTAAACACATTTCCGTGCCTTTATCTGACAACATTAAGGCAGTTTGGACAATCTATTTACAAACAACTCTATAAATTATCGAGTTTAGGTGTTCTCGACAGTTTTGGCCCCTTCCCCGAGCAAAACGACAGAAAAAATTGCCTCAACAACAAAAAAATTTTTGCCACATTCCTCTGCGCATTTTCTACATAATATAATATATTCTATTTATTCTCTCTTCTTAAATAAAATATTTTTTTTCTACTTTGTGTGTTAGCTGTTTATATCTCTCAAAGCAACGCATTATTTAAATAACAGCAGCAATCTTGTAAACTTCTCTTTTTTTTGTCATCAACTCTAAAAAGCTTCAGTAGAAAGACCAAAGTTTATTCAGTCCAGCTTTGTTTCTCTTTTTCTTTTGTTGACGAAAAAAAAAGATAAAGAAGGAAAAATTGGTGTAAACGAAGGTGCTTTTCTCTCTCAGTCATTCTTCAAGCGGAAAAATTTTTTTTCACACATTTATTGAAGAGAAAAGAAAAAATCTTTTAAAAAACTTAATCAAGAAAAAAACTTTTCTAAATGTCCTCTTCTTTTCCTTATGGACAACAACCTTCAGGCAATGGAAATTCTTCTAACGGAAGTGGAAACCAATCTAATAACAACGGGACGAATTCCACTTTGAATGTTTCTGTACAAAATGCTGCAGCTTTAGCGGCGTTAGTTCAGCAGCAACAACAACAGTTGGATACAAGCTCGCCTATTAGTTCTTTGGTGTCTGATCAGTTCCAACAAAATCAAGTTGGCTTTTTTGAATTTAAATTGTTAGGTTATGGTATTTATCGATATTATCGATATTAAGAGTTTTCGGTAGATCGAACTTGATCGTCGAACCATCCTTAATTTTAAGTTTCATATTGAACTACAAAGGATGTTCCTTATGGAACCGGATTTTGTCGTTCTTTATAATCCCACCAGGGTTCTCATTTCAGAAATCTCGGTAAAAGAGATATATAATTTTGAACAAACTGTTTAAAATGAGCGATCTTAATATAACAGCATAAGCTAAGTTCTATTGTGATTTAAAGTGTATTTGAAGTGCGTAAATAAGGCTTGTAGATTTCCCTAAAAATTTTTGGCCATCTTTATTTTTTATGGAAAATTTTTCTATTTTATGATACGAAAAAATTAAAAACATTGCCTTCTTTCATTTATACACAAAAAAGTTTCCAAATTAAATAATTTTATAACCTTTTTATTTGTACTCAATTCCATTTAACAATTATTAATCCTTCCATTTCCTTAAAGTTTTCCACTTTTTAAAATTTATATCACGCATTAAAATAGCTAAAGATTAGTTTTTAATTGTAAACAAAAAGGACAGGTTTCACCGGAAATATTGAGGGGGATTTTTATTTTTATGGTATAGTTTTTCTTTGCGCGACCGACCTTTTTTATTTTCATTTTCTTTCTAACATTTAAAGATTATTTTGACTTTCTTAGTGTTTGTTTAAAAAATTAGGCAGTTTAAATTATATGATTTTTAGACTTTGAGACAAGGCCTAGCCAGGGGTAGGGGGAAAAGTTCTGGTTATGGGCTTGCTTTGAGATTTTGAGAGAGATTTTGAGGATTTTGAGGAGATTTTGAGCTTTCTAACGGATGCCTTTTTTCTTTATTGATCCTAACATCCTTCAGTCAGTTTTCCCCTTTCAAATTGTGTAATAAAAATTTTCATTTTAGGCAGGGTCTCTTCTCAAAAACAAAGCTTTCTCTGCACAAAACCTGACTATATCTTTCTTAACTTGTCCTATCTAGTGTTAGACACAGTTCTACCGGTACTACCGCGATACTACTGGTATTGATATTGAAAAAAACCATTTCTTAACACTAGTCCGAACCCTGGTTCCAGGACCACTATGAGTGAGATGTATTCTCTCTATAACCAAACAGCTATTCATAAGATTATTTAATTAAGTTGGAAGGATATTAAGCTTGATTATAATGGCATCCATGTCCTTTGGGCTGGCTTATACGAAAGCTTTGTTTCTGGGAAGGAATCTGCCTAACATGAAAATTTAATTAACTATATTTTTTTTAATTCTTGTTTCTACTCTATTATTCTCTAATAGTCCAACTATTTATTTTTATATTGTGAAATAAAGGCGGAAGTTGTTAAGAGGAGGAAATGTTTTCAAATGCAAGGATAAGGCTAAAGAAAGAGAGTAAACAGCTCTGGGAAAGTCTTTTCCCTCCATCATTTATTGACAGTCTTATGACGTTTGGACTTTGAGGATTGAGAGGGGAGGATGAGGGAGGTCCTCTCTAAGGAATTGGGAAAGAAAAGCAAGGCGCTTTTAATGAAATAAAGGAAGGAAAAGCGCCCTTAGAGTGGCAGACAGAGAAGCAAAAAAATTTTTTTCAATTCTCTTGTCAATGAAAAAAACTCGTAAAAGGGCAAATCCTTAATTAAGAGATTAAGGGATCTCCCCAAAATTTAATTAATTAGCTAGTCAAAACAAAAAATATTTTCACGGCTTTTTAATTTTCAAAAACATAAAAGTGCATATTGTGTAGACTTAAAAGAAATTTTAAATAAATAAACATATCCTCCCTTTATTTTGTGTGGCATTTTTCGAGAAAAACAAGAAAATTTTCTCAGACTTTTTTTGAAAATAATTTTTTAAAATTTTGTAATTTTGCACTTTTAATTTTGTATAAAAACAAAGCAAAAAGAGTTTAAAATCCGGGGTTTTTGGTATTTTACAGGAAATTTAATCTCTTGGGAGAGGGATTGAAGAGTTGAGAGAAAGACGTGATTAAGTGGGAGATTAAAGATTAATTAAGGGAGATTTGACTAGACTTCCTTCAATTTTATCCATGTCTTATTCTTATTAAAAAATAGGAAGCCTGACAGATTTTTGCTTCCAAAAAATTTTTTTCTTGAAATTCTTTAGTTTAATTAAGGAAGATTATATGTATAAGTGATTTTTTAAAATTTTCATTAAAAAAATTTCAAAAAAATTTTTTTCAAATTTTCTCACTTATTTTTTCCTTCCTTCGTTTTTTTTTTGGAATTTTTCCTTCCCCAATAAATTTAGAAAAATCCTTTCAAAATTTTTTTTCAACTTTTTTCCCACTTATCTTGCCTTCTTTCCCATTAAAAATACTAACAAATAAGCTTTTAATATAGCGCTGACTCATTTAAATATCAATTAAATAAATAATATTTTTCTAATAAACTCATAAAATTAATTCTATTTTATTTTTTATTTATTTTTCCAAATTTGGAAACTCAAAACTAAAAATTAAAAATAGGCAGCTGAATTAATTCTTAGAATTTTTTTGGCCTTTTTTCCCACTCATTTTTAGAAAATCGTATTTTTTCCCTCAACTTTCCCCTCTTATTTATTTTTTAAAAAATATTTTTTTCGTAAACAAATGATTTTTCATTTTTCTTGTCTATTTCATGGGATCAACCCAGAAAAAAAACACTCCAGAAGGTCAACACCCTAGAGGTGAAAAAAACTGACCCAGAAGGTCAATTCCAAATATTTGAGAGGATAAGGAAGGATTTGTGCACATTAAGAAGAATTGCGGGCTCTATCTTAGGACATGCGTCCCATGAACTTTTATGCGTCTCATGAAAGTTTATGCGTCCCATCAACAAAAAATTGGATTTTTCTTGGTGTTGGAAAGTAGGGGTATGGGTCCAAAACATTTTTTCATGTTCGGGACCTACGCCCACTGGGTCTGGGAGCGACTAACAAGGGGGATATCGATGGATTTGGGCTGAGTTAAGGGGGATTTGTTGGGACTAAGCTGGATTAAGGGAGTTGACCTCTAGGGCCGACCTTCTGGACTAGACCCCTCTTTAATGCCCTCGCGCTCTATAAAAAATATTTCTTTTCAATAACAAAAAAATTTTTTTCTGTCAAAATTTATTACGTCCATGGGAAGGTGTTTTGTTTGTTTTTGAGAGAATTTTTTGGTCTTCATTTTTCTGTCTGCTGACTTTTTAGTAAAAAAATTTTATTTTTTTCTTCACCTCAATACATATATCGATGTGTGTTTCTTCCCTTTATTTATTACAACAACTAATTTTCTACCACTATTTTAGCGGCCAAAGTATCATCGTCATAAACTGTTAAATAATTTCATCATATTATTTTTCCGTTATTTTGAAGCCTTTTTGAGGCTGTAGAAAATTAGGAAAAAAAATTTTTTAAAGAATTTTTTAAGGAATTTTAAAGGATTTTTTTGGGTGTTTTTGTTTTTTTGTTCCTTTTTTCATTAAATAAATTGAAAAAATACTTTTTTATTTTTTATTTGTTTAAAATTCGGATTTTTGAATTATTTTTGCCGTAATTTACTAATATTCCGTTTTTATATGTATATTTCTAATCTTCATATTGTAGGGGTCAAGTGAAGGAGATCAACACATGGTCTACCTTGAGTTTATCCTAGGAAGTCCCGGTCATATACTCTCACTTATTCCATTATTCTGGGGTTTGGGCCCATCACGTTGGAAACAAAATCGGGGTCCAACCTCTATTATATTTATTAGGATTCGACTTTTTCAATTTTCAAATTTCTGGGCTTTAGATCCATTTTCCCCTTCAAACTGACCTGTTTTCCGGGATAATCGGTAACCCCTGTCCAAATGTTTTTAATTATTTCTGTATTGTTCCCAGAGCCCAAAGCTGGTGAATTTTGTAAAAACCCCTTTCCTCCTCTCCTCTCCCTTCTCTTAAACCAAAATCCGTGCAAAATCGCGTCGTAAACTGTAAATTTTTTTTCATAATTTCGACGCAACTTTTGTGTATTTAAAAAAAGGTGAAAGGGGGGGGGGGGTGAACTTAATACTACATAAAAATTCAAAATAAAACAAAAATTAAAAAAACATTTTTTTAAACATTCTAGGAGAGTATTAATCTTAATTAAAAACAAATAAAAATATTCTGTCATAAAAAATATTTTTTTCCCTAAAAATTTATTTTTATCTTTAATTTTTTTAGCATTTTTATTTTCACTTTTTTAATATTTTCTCATTCAATTTTTCATCAGCCGTTTTATAATACCTTTTTTTCGTTTTGTGTGCTCTCCATTATTTTACCAGTCAAAAAACTATTTTTAAAACCCCCACCCTCCTTTTTAAATGATAGCTCAACACTTTCCCTTCCCTCCACAACACTTTCCCCTCCCTTCCCTTCCTCCATCAATTTCCTCGTGATCTAAGCCCGGCATATTTTATCGTCATCAATTTTATTATAACAATTCTTGATGGCCTTTATCAACCGCCAACATTAAAAAAAAATTTTTTTTGTGTCCATCATTCATTCTCTTATTTTTTCACAAACATCTCGTCCTCTCCCCTTCCCCTCCCTTCCTTTAAACCAAAATACCAACAGAAAAAATTAATGCAAAAATAAAACAATATTTCTCTCTACTAGCTTCAATCAATCACCCGAGAGAAAGTCATACCAAAAAAAATTTTTTTTCTAATCTTATAAGAAGTTTGTGGAATTGTAATGTAAAAAGTCCAATGTTGTTTGTGTTTATATGAGATGGGAGGGGAGGGGTTGTTTCGGCGCAAAAAAAGTTTTGGCGGGAAATTAAAATTTTGGTTGGGAGTTTCTAAGGGATCCTTTTTTTGGCCTGTGAATGAGAACATAGAAGTGTGGAATTTTATTTTTTTTAGCTGCTAGTAATAGCTCCCTTCTAAAAAGATTTAAAAAATTTTTTCTTTTTTAGAAGAACTTATAAACGTTTTTTTTGGGTACAGCCCAAGTACGCGCGGCCAAGTAGGCGCAAAGCCATAACTTTCTTTTAGATTTCCAAATCTTTCAAAATTCAGTATTTAACGATTCCCCTCATCGAGCTAAAGAGATTGGTACCAAAATTGTTAAGGTCCAGAAATTTTCCAGGTAGTTATGGCGTGCGCCTACTTGGACGTGTCCCCGTATTTTTGCATAACTTGGCATTTTGCCTATATTTCCGAAATTAATTTTCAAAATTTTTTAAATTTAAGGACCGGATACCTAAATCCAGAGAAAATTTATTTACAAAATTTCAGACCACTAACTTTTATCATTTGGCAATTTTATTCACTTGCGCCAAAGTGTTACCGCGCCAAAACATCCCCTCATTTTATTAATTTTACAAGAGTCAATCTGTCGTTTAATTTTATTTTCTCTCTCTCCATGTTAATTATTTACTCTGTTTTCTCTAAACAAAATTGATCCTTAGTCCCAAACCACTTTTTTTAACTTTGTAGTGATCATTCTTTCCCCCTATCATCGCCAAATAATTTTCTGATAACAACGTCCATTTTGACAAGGTGCAGCTGTAAAGTGGCTGAAAAAGGAGAGAAGAAAAAAATTTTTGAGCAGTTTATGAGCAGCTAATCAGGGTGTGCGCCATGGAATTTGGCGTGTTTTTAAAATTCGAAAAATTGGCGTTTGGCGCTCCACGCAAAAATTTTGGCGCACAGCCATGGAATTTGGCGTGTTTTTAAAATTCGAAAAATTGGCGTTTGGCACGCCACACAAAAATTTTGGCGCACAACCCTTAAGGGAATGATGTTTTATCTAATAAATTCTCTCCTCTCCTTTTCAAAAAAATTTTTGCGGATCTTTTTAGGGAAAACTAAAAAGAAGAGAGAGAGTCTGTGAAAAGCACGTCATTTTCAACGTCTCAAAAATTTCTTTCTGCTACACACACATAGCGGGTGATCGGTGAGAAAAGAGAATTTTTAATTGATTGTTTGAAATATATTTTTGTTTTGCTCCGTCCTTTCTCTCTCCCCATTCATTTTATTTATCGTCACTTACTGCCAGTTTTTAGTCGTCATTTTAAACCTCTTTTTGATGGTTGGTTTTATTAAAAATGTTTGTCCTCCGTTATTTCATTTAATTGGTTACCCAGAAGATCGAATCCCCGAAAGATCAAAAGCATTTTTGTTAGGGCCTTGAGGGGATCTAAATTTTTGTGGATTCTATAGATTGAAAGAGAGAATACAAAAATAAATATTAAAATTCTAAAGTTTGATTCGAAACTCGAAATTTAGAAGGTCGAAAGTCTGTTTTATCGTCACTTACTGCCAGTTTTTAGCCTTTGATCAATTAGCCTTTGATCAAGTGTGAATGTTTTCCTTCGTCTTTTCCCTTCTTTCCTGGCCATTTTACATAGCGTATATCCTCTAAAGAAACCCCCCCCCTCTAGAAGTCGATCGGAAAAAATAACCCCTCCCTCTAAAACAGCCCCCCTAAAATAGCCTAGTCCCCTCTAAAGTACCCACCCCCCCCCTCCCCCATTTAAAATATTTTATATTCGGGTGATGATTTATAAAAAATTTTTTTGACGCGTTTATTTTTATTTACTTTTTTCAAAAGAGAAATTTAAAAATTATAATTTTTGTAATATTTATTAAGACAATTTTATGTTTAAATTTAAGCTTTCCTGCAATATTAATTCTCTCTAATTTTCAACCGTGTTAATATGTACGTGGATTTCTATGCACTTTTAACGTACTTGATAAAAATATTTCGCTCCGTTTTATATTAATACCCCCAATCGTAAAAAAAGCGGGGAAAAAATTGGCGCGTCATAACCCTTTTTTTACTAATGAGGAATTACCGTTAGTTTTTTTAGTATTTCTCGGTAGCGGTATTACAGTAATAAACCTTCTGACACATGCTTTCTTGACTAGACTGGAAAACAAATTTTGGATTAAGGTAACACCTATACCCCAACGATTGTTAGGCAAAAATCAAAATCGACGAGAACATCGATGGGTCAATCCCACCAGATACATGAAAGATCTACTCCCAGAGTCCCAAAGTCAACTTTTATTTTTAACATCTTTTATTTTTGAGCAACCACACGTCATAAGAGAGATCGGTTCTTAACGACCCTTCTAGTCCTGTTTCTATTGTGTAACAAAAATTTTAATAAACTACATATTTAGTGAATTTTATTTCTGATTCTCGCTGAATAAATCTTTCATATTTTGTAGCTAACTAATATGTATGTAGAAGTTTCTATTTTGAAAGGGTGATTGGAGGTGCAATTGGGGATACCTAAATTTGTTTGCACTTAAGTCAGAGCTACCCCTTAATGCAATACTTTTGTCCATATGTAATTTGAAAAAAATTATTTCTCTAGTTAAATTTATTCATGTAAAACACTATACATAAATACATATAAAATATTCTATTTTTATTCATTATTCATTTTTCATAATTTTTTGAGGTTATTTTTGGTTTTAGAATTTTTCTTTCTCCTAATCACAAATTTTGTTTTTTTTCTCATTTTCTTTCTTCACAAAAATATACTCATCATCATCATTCCACTTTTGACAGCACACACAAAAATATTTTTTTTTGGAATTTTTGCAAAAATTTTTTGCTCTTTTTCTGTTCCAAAGTTTATTTGGGGACATTTATACATATTTATTAATTTATAGAGAAACTGCCAAAGTATATATTTTTGTGTTTCAACTGGTTTTTGAATTAACTGACAAATTTTTATTTTTTTTTAAATTTTTGTTAGAAAATATTTTTGAATTTTTGAAATGTCACAAGTTTAATATAAAAATTTTTGAAAGTAATTTTTTGGAATAAACAAAATTCTTTTTTAATTAGTTTTAAAAATACATCATGTGTTTGTAGTGGATGGAGAAATGTTAAAAAAATATAAAGTCGAACATCTTAACAAACCTCTCTAAAAATAGAAAATCTCTTTGCCTGTATCAAACTAAAATTTTCTAAAATTTCAAAAAAAGTGGCGTTAACGTGTACATAGATGAGAAGAAAGTCTGAAGATGCCCTATTAGCCTTGTCAAGATCAGAAAGATAAAAAATCAGCATTAAGGTTGTCGTTCTTAAATCGGACCGACATTGTTTCTGGCCTCATTTTAATCGAACCGGACCAATCGTGTCTTGTTCAGGCCAAAATTCAATACCCGATTTGATCTTTTTAACCTAACTAGGCCCCCAACCCTAATCATCATTATCAGTTTAAAATCAGAAAATTCAATAAGAAAAAAAATTAAGAGCAGAACCGGGCCGAGCGGACCGGACCCTTTAATTTTCTTTAAATAATGCTTAACTCATCTTCTCTTTAATTTTTAATTTTCACAATTTAAAAAATTTATTTAAAATATTTTAAAATAAATAATGATTTGCAATATCTTTATGTGATTTCATTAATTTATTTATTCTTTAATCATTTCATAAAATTTTACAATTAAAAAAATATTTCCCCCTTTAATTTCATTATTTTGCACTTTTACCGAGGGGTTTCCCCTTTAATTTCCTTGCTTTTCATGTGTTTTCCCATTTCAATAATTATTGTTTGGGGGGTTCCCTTTTAAAATTTAATTGTGATTATTTCCTTATTAAAATTAAAAAAAACATCCGACAAAGTCGTGCCACTCTTATTGTTAGTGGATAATGTTGGGGCATTTCACGGAATTGCCAGTTGTATGAGTCTTTCTCCTTTGTCTTCCTCCAGTCTTAATCTGCCGTGGACTTTTCCTTTCTCGCGTTTCGTCTCCTCATTCATTTTCTAAATTTATTTGCAACATTCCTAATTGTACTCGGATAACCATATATTCTCTTGAAAATTAAATAGGGGGATCTAAGTGGGAGAAGGACGAAACGCGAGAATGGAAGTCCACTGCGGATCATCTTTAGATCCCATTGAAGATCCTCCTTTATATATCCCCCATGAAAATTTTAGATCTCTTTGTGCTTTAGTTCCCCCACTTAGTGTATCCCCCTTTTCAATTTTCAAAAAATATAGACCTCTTTCTTAGACCTCTTTATGGTCTTTCATCGAATTGTCTTAAATATTTTCACCGAATCACCCTTCCTTTTTTCCTCGCATCACCCTATTTTTTTGTCTATCTTTTTTATAAAAAAAATAACAAATACTTTGATCAATCCCCCATTCCCAAAAAAGTGCATGGGAAAGAGGGGAAGTCCGACATCCTTTCCCTATTAAGAAATCTGTTTATGTAAAAGTCTCTATTTCCTCTTTCCCATTTATTTAAATCCGCCCTTAAAAGGGCATTTTTACTTTATTTTCTCATATACAATTTTTATTAAAAAAATTTTTTTTTTCAAAATAATTTAAATAAAATCATTTTTAATTAAAAAATTAAATAAAAATCTCTGCTTTATCTTGTGCTGTTTTAATTGAGATAAATACAAGCATGGGTGAGGTGAATTTTTGAGACTCTTCCTAGGCCTAAAAGTTGCCTTAGGAGGCCGTGGCTAGGTTTAGCATTTCAGTGGGATAGTAAAGTGATTTTTTGGGGAAGGTATAGAAGAGGGCTATTTTTAACAATTCTTAAAAAATCTGTATTGTATTTAATCATTTTTATTATTTTATCAGTAAAATCTCGTCATTTCTAATAAATTAACCAAAAAATGACTAGCAAAAATTTTTTTAATTAATTAATTTTATTTCTTACTGTTTTTATCATTTTTATGTTTGATTTTTATTAGATTTTAGATATTTTTCAAATAGAAAGAGTTTTGCAAAAGTTTAGCCACCGGGCAGGATTCGAACCTGCGACCTCCCGCTTTCGCTCGCTATATGCAGGAGCTCTACCTCTGAGCTACCGGGGCATCGACTAATCTTTTTCCTTTTTAGATCGTTTAACCCCCGCCTAAGCGTTTTAAATGCTGCTGGATGAATCATCCTTACAAAATGAATCAAAAAATGTCTGTATTCACTCGTGTATCCCTCGATTTTCCGACTACATATTGTCCATATCCGTGAACAACCTCGTTTCTACTATTAAATTTTGGCTTTTCCTCTTTAAACACATGTTTCTCCCCTTTAAACTCTTCCGAGCTCCTTCAATTTACCAAAATCTTAGACCCTCCCGAATTTTTCTTTCCCCCCGCTACACTTATCCTTTACACATTTTTCTTTATAATTTTCACTTGAATACGAATATTTCCCTTAAAATTTACACAATTTTATATTTATAGGATCTCCGAACTTTAGCTTTGCACCAGCAACTTTCTACGCTGATGCAGCAAGCACAATTACAGCAGCAACAACAACCGGCAGTATCACAATCTCAACAACAACAACAGCCCTCATTATCTGCCTTTTTGCCATTAAATCAACAAATACGGCAGCAACAACAACAACCACCTCCTTGTTCGTCTGCTCAACTTCAACAACAACAACAAACAAATCCTGGAGGGTCGTCTTTACTTGGAATTTATCAACATTTGCTTTCATTACAAGCACAGCAACAACATAATTCAACACCTACTGTTGCTGGACTTCCACAGCAATTTAGCAATGCTTTACATTTGGTAAGAGAGGAGAGATTTTTGGACTGCATTTTCGAAAGAAGTGTGGAAGACTAGGCTTAGGATTATAACTACCCTCATAACTCTATATTATATACCATAGATGTCCTGGGTGAGAAAATGTCGAGATCGTGGTTTCAAAATTTTCTTTGAATCGGGTTTCGGATTGGAAAAGATGAAAGAGAGACATCCCTGTCATATCTCCCATAGCCATTTAATCCTCTCTTATTGGTAAAGAATCAACTAAAGTCGTGAGGGAACTTTCTTTAACATTTAACTCATTTCAGCAAAATTCCTCTTCAGCTGCTTCAGTATTACCACCACAATTGGGCGGAGGTGTTCCCTCTGCTCAATCAGCCACTTCAGGAAGCACAGCCGGACTTTTAAGTACCTTGCTTGCTTCAAATCCAGCCTTGTTGCATTCTTTACTTGGTCAACAGCAACAACAGCAGCAACAACAATTGGTTGCTTTAGCTGCTCAATTGCTCCTTCCTACTGCAGCGCAACAACAGCAACAACAACAATCACAACAATCCTCCCTTTTACAAATGTTAAACCCAACAACTCTTTATGCTTTTGTTAATTATTTGCAACAGCAACAACAAGCACAACAACCACCCCCAGTTAACCAACAACTTCAATTACTCCTTCAATTAGCTTCTAATGGAGGTGGAAATGTTGGGGGAAATACTGGAGGTTTGCAAGGATTGTTGGCCTCGTTGAGTGGTAATCAACAGCAAGCGTTGTTAACTGCTTTGGCTGCTCAGCAAGCACAGCAGCAACAGGTACTTGAAAATTTCCTTGAAATCAAAGCACCCTTTTCTCTTTACAGGAAGCCACTACCCAACAGCCCCCACCACCACAATTGCACCAACAACCTCCTCCTTCCCTCCAACCTCAACAACCCGATGAGAATCGCTTACTTCTTGAGCATCTCATTCGTCAAAGTCGCGAGGTTCAACAACAACAAAAATTGATGCAACTTGAAGCTGTCGCTGCAGGGCGCCCACAAACATATGTTGGAAGTGAACAGATTGAACACTCCACACCAGCTACTCTTTCTCCCACAATAGGAGGCTCTACAGCTTCTGAAGTACTTCCTGCTGCTCCCCAACAAGTACAACAAACCTCTGCTGAAGTTCTTGCTGCACATCAACAACAACAGCACGAAAATATTGGGGCAACTATTCATTCTCAGATTAACGCAGAACAACAAGAGCAGCAACGACAAGGGCAGGGAACTCCTAATGAGCGTTTAATGACTTCTGAGGCTGTACAAGATAGAATATCGCGGTAATATTCAAAAATATTAATTTCTTATTTATCTAATATATAGTCTAATCAGCGAGAATGAGGCTATTCTTGAACCTAACCCTGTTCTTTTGAAAAGAAGGCCATATCAAAGACAGAGCACTTCAAATTCTATGACTTCACAAACGTCGGAGAATGCTGGTAATGCATAAATTTTACTATAGATTTCTATCTTATCATTCGACTTGTTTTTTAGGGTTGTAGAGAGGTCTCACTTTAAGGGACAATCATGAGTGACCTTTGTGTCAGGTTTTAGGTCAGCCTTTCCAGCCTTCTACTCAGAGACTTAGGCTCTTCTTCTAAAGGAGAAGAGCTCTTCCAAAAGGGAGAGATTTGGAAGACTCTAACTCCTTTGGGTTGTTAAGGTCTTCTCTTTTTCTGGGGATCATTCAAAAAGGGAGACATACACTACACACGTTTTCACAGATACAATTAATCTTAAAGATCAATCCCCTAATCTACCTATTTCTTCCTTGAAGGTACTTCACAACGAGGATCACCAGGCATTCGTTCACCCGGTCCCAAACATCATCCAGCCACAACTCGCTCCTATTCACTCCATGAAACTTCATTTCTTCGTTTTGGAGGAGGTTCCCTAACTTCTGGCCAGCCTATTAATCGTCAACAACTTTCCCTTCAACCCCAACCTTCTCATCAACATTCCCAACAATTAACTTGCAATTTTTGTCATTTAAAATTCCCCAATGAAGCTGGACTTGAAGCGCATGAATTACGTTGTTCAAAGAAGGATTCAAATTCTTGTAGCAATCAAATTCTTCTTCAAAAACAGCAAAGCCAGCCACAATTAAAAATGGTACACCAACAAAGACAACAACAACAGCAGCAACAACTTCAACTACAATTACAACAATTACAAGACCATCAGTCTACTATAGCTGCACTTGTTGGTGGGGGAAAAGGTGTTGCTAGAGATTTGGTGATTAATGGAAGTGGTGGAGGACGTTCTTCTGTATGTTCGCAAAAATATTTTTTAACAAAAAAATGTCTAAAATGAGGGGTATTTTCTCTCAAATTACAGTATCCCTTTTGGGATGTGCGCCAAACATTTTTTTAGTTCAAAGCAGGAATTTTAAATTATATCTCTTGACGCTTTATTGAGCTTAAATCGAGCCTAAGCGAATCATTTTCCTTATAAAACTCCTTAATCGAATTTTACCTCTATATTACGTACACCCTTTATTAGACCTAATTGGAGGTATACCTTAAAGATTTTTAATTAGGTAAAATCGCTTGGAGTTATCCACATTTTTTATTATTCTTTAGAGAGAGAGTAATGTGTGCGTAATATAGAGGTATAGATAAAAATAATTTAGATAATTTTTAAAATTTATTTTTGTTTCTTCTATAGGTACCTTCACTAATTCAACAACATTTTTCCAAACAACAAAGCAACATTTCCCAATTAGTAACTTCAAGTTCATCAGATTCCCGTTTAAAGAAGCGTGGATTAGACCAAGATAGTGGCAGTTGTGGCAGTGGGACAGATTCTTTAGAAATGATTTATGACGTCTCTAATGGTGGCAATGGTGGTGAACAACAACAACAGCAGCAGCATGGAGCTGAATCTTCCAAAATGGCACGAATTGTTAGTAATTCATCTCCTCCTCCACCTTCTCTTACTTTATTTTCTAATTCTAATAATACTCCTCCCTCAACTTCTGGGGAAGAAACAAACAAAAGCAATAATTAATATTATTTTTCTCTGACTCTCTCTATTTTCCCTTATATTTCTCTTTCTCTAACTTTAATTTTTTAATTTTCTAAAAATATTTTTTTCTCCTAAAATTATTTTTTGAGCTTATTAATTCTGCTTTAGCTTTTCTACTAGCTTTACAAATTTTTTGTTTTGTTTTTTGACCTCCAATAATCCTCCTTTTTTTGTTTTATCTCCCTTTAATAAATACTATATTTCTCTAATTGAGCGGCCGTTTGGGCACTTACCTATTTGTTAGGTAGAGAAAAGACAGTAGTTAAGGATTATGACGGTAGTTAATGAGCCCTTCTCACTTGTGCCATATGGCAAATATGTGGTCCAAGTTAACTTTGGTAGGATGGTAGAGAATAAGGTCGACGTATAGTTGGGCATCTTCAGATATCCGTATCCGATATCCTAAGCGAAAATTTCCGGATATCCGGCATTTTTCGGATCCGGATATTATCCGGATCTACTTACCTTATTAGAGAAGTATGTCCCTCTTTTTGTTTTTTAAAATAATTTTATTTTAAATTTCATTTTTTTATAAAATTATTTTTCAAAGTCTATATGCTCTCCTCCCGGTAACAACAACTTTAATATTCTAATTTTAATTCAGATCTCTAAAAAATATTTTTTTTAATTCTCAGTTATTTTTTTAAAAATCTCCTTCATTTTTCCATACTTGCCCTAGAGCAGCGTGATAAAAATATAAATTTATTTTTTATATTCCCAGTGATCTCTCTCTCAAAAAAAATTCTTTTACCCCTCCATTTTTATCTCAATTTTCTACTATTTTTTCTGTTAAATTGTTTATTGTTTCTCCAAAATTCTATATAATTTCTTCTCAATTACAAAAAAATATTTTTTAAAAACAATTCTCTCTTACTGGCCGATGAAAGCCAAAAAAAATCAGCTTCTTCTGTCTCCTCTGCTTCACGCTGCTCTAGCTTTTATAGGTATGTTCTTATTCTCTTTTACAAAAAAAATATTCCGTTAAAAAATTCCAAAAAAAAAATTTTTTTTCAAAATTTTTCCTGTTTTTTTCTTCTTTTGTAATTTTTTTGTTCTATTGTTCTTCCATTCCAGCACCACTTTTCCTTTTTTTTTCGAGTACACAGCAATATTTTACAGTGCAATATCGCAGGACTTTATACATAGTAGAGTTTCACCGGAAGTTCTAGTTCCGGAAAGTTACGGCGTTTTTTTTGGGTCCGGTCTGGGAACCGGAACTTAGATGGGATTTGTTTCTGGTTCCGGACAAAATTTTGGTTCCGGTGAAACACTACTCTAGAGGCAGAGAGACTTTAAGAAGCACCAGTTACATAAATATTTTGGACAATTAACAAGCATCATTGTGGATCTGAATTGAACAGATATACCATATACAGATTAACAATATCCAAATCTAGAGGCTTTGAGTAGGCTGCACTTTCCTGTCCCATACTTTTTTTATTTTGACAAGTCTTGTGTTTGTTATTGTCAATTTTAAATTTTTTTTCTTATTTTAACATTACTTTGTAGCCTAAAAGCTTTTTTTAAATTTTTTATGACTCATTTTTTTGTTATTTTTCTTTTTTTTAATTCACTTACATTCTTTCATTTTTTAAAATATTTTTAGCACAAAACAAGGTTTTATAAAATCATGAAAAAATATTTTCCTTTTTGATCTTTGGGTTAAAGAATTTTTTTAAATATTTTTGTAGGGACTAATGCTTGGAAGCTCGTACTAAAGTTCGTACCCGTACTTAGGTACGAAGTACAAGTACGAGCAATTCTGAAATTTCCAAACACTGGTAGAGACTTGGACCTCTATATTAATTATACAGATTATCTTTTAATGTTTTGCAGGGATGAATCGGGTTGGGGAAAATATCCGGTTTCGGATTTGAGCAGATTCTCGAAAAAATTATCTAGGGGTGGTTTCTTGTATCAGATAGGAAAAAGTCCATATTTTGGGTTTCAGATGCTCGATCCATCCCTAGCTTTCGATGGCAGGGGTTCTTGTTTTAGATCGGAAAAATTCCGAATTTTGGATTTCAAGTAGCTCGATCCATCCCTGCCTTTCGATTGCAAGGTTTAGAAACTTTCATAATTTTCATTTCTTTCTGAAACAAAATAGATATACCATATTTTTTCTCTGAAATAAGCCAACCTCTAAGATAAGCCCCTCTAGAGGTCGATCGAAAAAAATACGCCCCGGGACTTATTTTAGAGAAAATACGGTATGTCAGTCTCTGTAAATATTTAAAAAAATTTTAACGCAAAATCTGAAAGGGATTATAATTTCTTTTTAATTTTTTAAAACCTTGTTTTCTCTAGAAATAGTGAGGGAAGGCTCTACCTTTAAATTTTATCAAAAAAATAAAGAAATATTTATTATCCTTTTTTAAACAAAAAAAATTTAAGGATGACATGTATTCTATGGAAATACAGCAACAAGAACATATCCAACAAAATATCCAAACAAATATCCAAAAAGAACAGCAACATTCCCAAAATTCCCCAAAAAATCACCATCACCAACAACAAAAAGCTCAGCCAATTTTAACAATGCGAGATGCAATTATTTTTGCCATTACATATTCCACAGATCTTTGCTCAACAATTAAAATGCCCTACTTTTTAACTTTAACACAAAATGAATTACAAGAGTTGGCAACAAATGGGGGAGAACAGGGGAATGAAATTAATAATGGGGGTGGGGCTGGAAGTAGTTGTAATATTCGTGGAAGAACGAGAAATATTACTAGTGGTAAATATTAAAATTTTGGAAATATTAATGGTTTTAAAGCTTGAAATTAGGGTTGTTGAATAGTTGGGAATCCTCGGATATCCGGTATCCGAACCGAAAATTTCGGATACCCGAATCAGACGACCTTACTTGAAATATTTTTTATTCTTGATTGTATTAAAAAAAGGGGGAGTTTTTCAGTATATTAGCTTATTGGGGACGATTTTAAAAATCGCAACCTTTAATCAGTTGGATACTGTATATGGTTCAAGCATAGGAAATAGTACTATAAGGAAATACTAAGCCAGGCTTTGGAAACATTCTTCATTTTTAAAAACGTTTTTGAGTCGGACCTATTTTTGTGTGTTTTAGTGGATGAGCTGACATAACTCTATTCAACTTATAAATAATGGGATTAAATCAAGCTTATATGATAGAGAATTAGACATGAAGCAAATATAATAAAAACTTTTAAATGTGCCCACTCTTTGCTCAGATATAGAGTTGAAGGCGCACGGGAAAATTTTAAGGACTTAAAAATTATTTAACCAATAATTTCATTAACAAAAAAAAATTTTTTTAAATTTTTTCTTTAGAAACTTTCATGTGTTTAAACAAAGTTCGTCCAACACCAAACGAACATAGAGACAACTGTTCTGCCTACAGTTTTTGGACTCCCTCAGAATGTTCTAATGGAGAATCCCAATTAATCCAACTTCTTTTGTGTGCCACAAATTCATTTTCTGCCCCATGGCAAAAGAGAATATGTCCATTAGGTTCCCATTACACGTTAGCAGCTAATAAAGAAAGTATACAATTGAGAACAACACATTCCTCTTTTTGGGGACAACAACAGCAACAACAAAAGGTGTGAAAGGCGGAATATTAAAAAAATATGTTTTGGGGAAATTAGAAAATAGTTTCATATCAAAAATTATCTTAATAAAATCTAAGAAATAAAATTGTTTAATGGGAAAATATGGTTGTCCTAGGTTATAATTAGTATTAAGGACAGCTAGGTATTGTACTGGTAGAATTTGAATTTTCGGTACTCGTTCAATACCAATACGTTTCGATTCTCCTTTATTAGTATTGAAAGACTTCATTTTCCTAACACTTTTATAATGGCAACCTGCAACTGTAGATCAGTTGATATTTTGAATTAGGTAGTTAGAATTTATTGTCTTGATGGCTCTTATATCCTTATATTTCCATTTGTTCTTATAATTGGAGTATTTTATATCTTTTTCAGTACCTTCTTAAAGGATTCTAATGACCACATCCTATCATGATTCTTGGCGATCCGGTACCCAAAAATCGGGAATTTATTTTTTATTTTGGGCTAAACCCGTTTACCCTAAGTAAATGAGAGATTATCACAGTTCAATTGTTTATAAATTTTCCAAAATAATTTTTTATTTTTAGATTGCTCAACAACAAACAAATAATACATTTTTCAATCCCCAACGCCAACATTGTGATGATTTAATGATTGAAAGAGGAGGAGGGCTAAGTAAAAACATTCCAAAGAATGAAGATATGGATGAATTATATCAATTAGAGAATTCACAAATTATTAAAATGGAGTTGGTAAAAATAAAATAAAGAAAATTGGAAGATATTCCCTTTTAAAATTACTCAACTCTCGTTATTAGCGACTTCACCTTGAATTGATAAATCTCGATATAAGCGACTTTTTCTTGTCTCTAATAATGGGAGTTGACTAGGAAATTGGTCCAATCCGAAGTTCCTTTAAGTGCCAATACTTCATTCTTTCTATTAGAGAGGCCCTCTCCAATATAGGGTCACCCTGAAATCACTTACCTCTATATAAACGTCTTGGTTTTTTGTCTCTTATAATGAGAGTTAATAGAAAATTAAGCCAATCTGGGTTTCTTTAGTTGCCTACACTTAAATCCTTTTTATTAGAGAGGCCCTCTCCAATAGAGGGAACATTTAGTTAATTTTCCTTTATTAACGGTCTCTCCTAGTAATTCAACCTTTTTAGAACTGACGATAAAGAAAATGGAAGTTTGCAACAATCAGCTCCATTTTTACCCTCAAAAATGGATGAAGAAGAAATAAATACAAAAATAATTACTACAACAGATAATTCAATAAAGCTTCTAAAACTTCCACCTAATGCTACTTCTAAAGGTGTAGGAGGATTTGGAGCAGGAAAATACTCTTTTAATAAAACGAAGACAAATATTAATGAGGAAGTTCCGGTAAATCCTTTTTCCTTTTTTTCGTTTTTTTATTTTTCTGATTAAATAAGTATTGTGCGGGATATTTGGTTTTGGGAATGTGTAAAATTTTTTTTTAATATTTTGGTGACGCGAATTGAACTTGAAGGAATTAAATATTTTTATTTATTAGGATTGTACTAGAACCGATTTTAAAAAGCGAAAGACTGAGATAAAGCGGAGGGAGACACTCCTCTGCTAGGTACCTACGAACAGTGACTTCAGTAACTTCAGTAACCTCAACCTTCTCCCCTGAGAATTCCATACCCCCAAATCTAAGTTGATAATCTTTGGTAACTCAAAACACATCCCTGTATTTCCCTATCTTTTCATTTGAATCCCAATAGTTAGAAAGTTTTCTGATTCTTATTCCAAATTTACAGATTTCAACAACTCAAGCAATGGTTCAAGTTTACATACGAGGTCGTGGACGTGGACGTTATGTTTGTGAAAGATGTGGAATTCGTTGCAAAAAGCCTTCCATGTTGAAAAAACATCTTCGGTAACCTCCTTTAGCCTAAAAAATTCCAAAAAAATTCTCTTCTAGTTCCCACACAAATGTCCGCCCTTTCACTTGTATGACCTGCAATTTTTCTTTTAAAACAAAAGGCAATTTAACAAAACATTTGGTCTCAAAAACTCATAAACGTCGAATGCTTGACTCAAATAATGAGGAAACAATGCAAGGGATTAATACAACAAAATCTTTATTGGAAAGAAATTATGGGAATGAAGAAGACGGGGAAGAAGGGGGGAGATTGGTGGTTGTGGAGGAGGATGAGGAAGAGGACAACAACAACAATAATAACATCCCTACAACCTCCTCTAAAGACCAACAACAACAACGCTTGGAACGTATACAAGAACAAGAACAAAGAATGCGTTGGGAAGAAGAAGATTGGGATGATGATGATGAAGAAGACGAGGAAGATTGGGGATTGTTAGTTGACCATACTCCTCAAAAAGATGTTGTGCCACCACCTCCACCTCTAAACTATAGACATTTTGGGCAAGAAGTAAGGGAGAAAAGAAAATTTTTTTGAATGGGGGATTTAGTAGGTTGAACGGGATTACTAAATGGGTACAAAATCCTGCCCGTGCCACTCTAATGAATATTATAAAAATAAGTTTTGAAGGATAATTTTAGAAGATATTTGTTAAAAAGGATGTTTGTCCTCTTGAACATTTTCCTCTCATAATTTTTATCTCCACATTATTCATGCCTTTATAGGTCAAAACATTTCTCTTCAAGTCCCCGGGGTTTTTTCCCTTTTCTAGTTAAATCTCAATATAATGCTAGTTGACTTATACCGATTTACTATAGATCAGTTGATATATCGAGTATCTCTTTCTAGGGTAATTGGGAGAGACTGGGTATCTGCTAATTTCACATTTTCTTATAAATCCAATTTAAGCAGACCTACCAACTTTATTAAATATTTATTCTCATTTTAGAATATCCTTGTGGAGCGTGAAACTCACACACCTCCAACTCTTTGGACTCGTATAGATTGTTTCGGCACTTTAGCAGCAGCAGCTGGGGGATATACAGATGTTAGCGGTGATGAAGAACCTGAACCTTTAGATATGGGTTGGCCTCCACAAGATTCAGAAAGAATATGTCAATCAGCACCTCCATCTGCCCTTCTCTCGCCTGGAGGACGTTCAAGAACTAAACGGAAGAAGAAGGGGAAAATAAATAATAGCCAAGCAAATGTATCCGATTTGAAAACATCGCCAACAAAATTTGAATTTTTACAACAGGTGTGGGGTTTTTTAAAAGTCTATTTTGATTCGTAATATTCTACACATTAATGACCCTTTTTATTATAACAATACACTAGCTTCACAAAATTTTAGAGGTTTCTTCCTCCAAAATCTTTTTGTGTAACCTAACTACAATTTTCTTGGGGTTTGCGGTATATCCGAAAGTCAGATTTATTTCCTACGTATTTAACTGACTTAGTATATTTAATACATACATGATTGATATTAAAAAATATAACACAGACACTCTTATAGTATCACTATTTTGCTTATGTATCAGTTAAAAGCAGTGTTTGGAAGCTAGTACTAAAATCATACTTGTAGGTATGAGTACGAGCAATTTCCAAAGATACAAATAAGTTATCCTATTACAAATAATTTCTGAGTTATCACTCTTTCTGAGTTATCGCTTCAAACTAAAAATTTTTTAAATTTAATATTCTCAGGATTCCCAACAAGATTTATCATCACCTCCAGTAGACCATCAACATCAACATTCTTCCCTAATTAATCAACAACCTCCCCCAGCCTTAGCTAACTTCATTCCTTCAATATCAGAACAACAACAACATTCCCTTCAACAAAGACAACAACAACAACCTTCTTTAGCTGCCCAATTAGCTGTCGGTTTATTACAAGTCCCTCCATTTAATAATCAGCAGCAAACAACTCCAATAGACTTAAGACAATCCCAATTTCAAGCCCAACAATTTTATTTCCAACAAATTAGTGAACAACAGCAGCAACATTCTTCTGCTTTTGCTCCTCCAATATCTTGTACTAACAACGGGAATAATGGAAATAATAATTTTGTTTCTGCTTTAAAATTTCTTGAATGTCACCAAATGAATGTTGGGGGAACTCAACAAATTATTGGAGGGGAAAATGAAAATAATAATAATAATGGAGGAGGAGGAGGTAGATTTTTAATATTTTTTGAAAAATATTTTTTTCCTATTTTATGGCATTTCCTATTGGAAACCGGACTAGGGTTGTCGTACGAGAATCGGGATCTAGAAAAATTCTCGATCTTGCTAACCGAGGTTTTCAATCGAGGTCTAGTCTCGGTCCGGTCTCTATTACCATGCTTTTATTTTTAGTACTAGTGAGAGATTCGAGAAAGTGATATCTTATTAAATAATCTCAGTTATCAAGCAAGATTATTTGAATATTGATCACTATCAGGGAGCCGAACTGATTGAGTTTTTCGGTTCGGTTCCAGATATCCAAAGATTCTTCAAGAACTGACTAGTTGACATTTTTCTGAGAATGCCTTATTTTTATATTTTCCCAAGAAAAAATATTTTTTCATAAAATAAAAATTTAGATTCATTCACTACAAGAGGACCTCAATCAACATTAGAAGCATTCCTTGCCACAGATATCCAACAATTTCATTGTGACATGTGTGACCGCAAATTTCGAAAAGAATCCGAACTTTTATTACACAAACAAACACACTTAATCGAAAGAAAACAAAAAAATAATTTTTCTTCAAATTCTGTTAATAATTCATTTCAATGTTCTGAATGCCCGACAGTTGTTAGGTCAAAAACGATGTTGAATAGACATACGGAAAGTGTTCACGGAAGAAGTGTGAATTTGGAACAATTAAATAATGGGCAAAATTTGACTTCTCAAGTTCAAAATATTGGTGAGGAACAAAAAAATTTTTGGACTCGAAAGGAGATTCTTATGATTAGAGACCGGACAGATAGTCGAGACGAGAGTCAAGACGAGACGTCGAGATGACTGGTTAGAGTCGAGACGAGGAGAGAGTCGAGACGAGGAGAGAGCCGAGACGACTGGAGAGAGTCGAGACGAGAGTCGTGATCATGATCTCGAAAAATTCTCGATCTCGATAACCGAGATTTTCTATCGAGTTCTCGTCCCTATCCGGTCTCTACTTATGATCCTTGTGATGATCGGGCACTTATAAATCTGTCTTATGAGTAGCTAGAGCCATAAAATTTTGCATTTATATTATTATATGTCTTGTCCATCTCCACCGAAAATTTCAGAATTTTTGCTTCGATATTTCAGAAATTATGGATAAAAATGTTCCAACACCTTAAAGAGTTATGGAGCATTTTCTTTCATAACTTTTAGAATATTTAACCAAAAATTCTGAAATTTTTACTGAGGATTAATAACACTCTGCAGTAGAGATTGGTTTGGATTTGCATCCAGTCTGGATTTTTTCTGGATCCTTATCAAGAATTTTGTCCAGGTTACTAACCTAAATACAGAGCCAGGATTTTTGAAAATACTCCAAGTACAATTTCATTTAACTAGGGTCACTCTTGACAGATTTATATTATTTAATATTTGTCCTTAACCTATTTTCTTATTCAGATGTTTCCTAATAAATTTCAAAATTTTAATTATTTTTAAAGGTCCCCCTCCTTCATCCTCACAACAAATGCTACCTCCACAAACAAATCCAATACACAACAACCATTTACGAAATTTTCTCTGTACAGATTGTAATGTGAGCTTTCGCTCTCATGGTGTTTTAGCCAAACATTTGCGATCTAAACAACACGTAAAAAATGTAAAGAATTTTTGAAATTTTCGTTAAAAATGTGTCCAAAATTTTCTAGTTAGTTACACTTGGAAAGTTGTCAGAAGATGCCAATTCTTTATTAATTCGTGACCATAGCAAAGCTTTGGGCAATATAGACGCAAGCAATTGTGAGAAGGCGCTTACCTCAACTAAAGGTGTGAATTGGATGAAGTTGCCTATCTTATCCCCTCCCCCTCCCCCCTTAAGCCTAAAATCTTTAACTTATCATATCATTCAGTAGATATTCAAGCTGGATGTCTGAAGAGTTTAGATTGACCCTTAAGTGGTTAATTATGGAAAAGATTTGGAAACGAATGGGTTAGAAATTTGTCTCCTATGTGGCCATAATCGGGTCATCCTACATGAGGACCCACGAGACCCACAATTACCCCCACCATCATAGAAAAATGGCTTTTATATCGATGATCCTTTTGTCCATCTTATCCCCTAAGCTTAAAATCCCCTTAAGCATTTTCCCCCTCAAAATGCTACAACATTTTGAGTTAACCCCAGATAATCTTCCTTTACATAACAAATTTTTTGCAGAATTATTGGCTAAAATGCGAGAGCAGTTGGGCATTGTTAGTGATAATGCTACTACTGTTTCTTCACAACAATCGAATAATGGAAGTTCACAAAAAACAATAGCAGGAAACTCCCCAAGGATTATTAGCAGTATGGGGAGTACAACACATAAGCGTCCAGCAGAACCTTTGGTACATGGATTGAAAAGGAAAAGCAACGATTTGTAGGTTTTTGTTTAAAAATTTTTTTGAAATTTATCAATCCTATGGATTATACTCTTTCAATTTTTCAGACCAAGCATCGACGATTTTGGAGGGAGACCTCAAAATCCTCCTCAAAATGCTACAACACCTTCCCCACAATTAAGACGTGATTCTTTTTCTTCTCCGTCTCCGCAGAGGCCAAAATACAGTCGAGATGATTTGGCTCATCAAGTGGGATATCTTCTTATTCTTAAATTTTTTTGTTTCTTTCCCCTCACAAGAATTTTCCTATCCGACTTATTGTTAGTGTGGAGATTCTCAATACTTAGAGAGCCCGGATATCCGAAGCGAAAATTTCAGCTATTTTATCTGGACTTCGTATATCCTAGCTTTTTTCGGATCGCGATCCGCCAGCATTAATGCTGGCTTCTTCTCCTTAACTTTGCCCCTCTTTTTCCTCAGTTCACCCACATCTTCGTCCTCTTTACTTCTCTCGCATAAAAATTTATTTTTTCAAGTCTGAATCACCTTTACATTCACTTGCTCAAGTTGCTGTTGCAGCAGCTGCAGCAGCAGCTGCACGTCATCCATCTCCTTCTACATCTTCTCATCATCATTCACAACAACATTCAACTTCACGTATTGCAACAGCAAATGTTTGGGTACCCCCAAAAGTAGAACAATTACAGCCTTGTAATGCTGGGGGTGTTTCTCCTATGTCTACCATTGATGCAAGAAAATCTGTTACCCCTGAAATGCATCAATATAATGGATTGATAGCTAATGATAGATTAGGATGTTTGTCTTTACAACTTTAAAATTTTATTATCCATTATAAGTCCCAAGTTTAGGGGGTTTTAGTAGTCTGCCTGGGCCACTTTCGAGTTCGGAAACAAATTCTGATATCGTCTAAAAGCACCAAAAATTTTTTTATTTGACTTCTACCTTCCCCTATTCAATTAAGCATATTAGAGTCTTTTCTATACTTTTGGCATATTTCCTTACAAATTAAAAGCTACCCAAACTAATTCATAATTAAATTTAAAAAATCCCCCTAAAATTTCAGCAATGCTTTCAAACCGCTCTGCGGAAGAAACTAGCGAATCTACTGGTACTCGAAGTGAATCAAGCACTCCAGTCCAACAACGTAATGTCTGTCAACAACACCCAGGATTTTCTCCTATGCCAGCTGCTACACGTTGCCAACTTTGTGATTTAAATGTAACTTAGACCCCTAAAAACCCTTAAAAATTCCCTTATTTTTAAGTTTGACTCTCCAGCACAACTTTCTGTTCATTTTCATGCTGATCATATTTTAATGCGTCATGGAAGGGATTTTCGCTGTTCTAGACGTAATTGTGAAAAAGTGTTCCCTTCGAGAGAGTCGCTAAGAGCTCATATTTATGCGCACTTTTTTGGTGGATCCGATGGAAGGGAAATTGATAATCATCTACAGGTACTTTTTAAGAAGGAAACTGATTGATACTTATTTTTTTAAATATTTGGATATTTAATATGCGCATATGATCAAAAAATTTTGAGATCATGTTTAATTTCTCTATACATTCTCTCATTCTACCAATTCCCCTTTCATTTGTGGGGTTACTGTAGCTTGATTTACCTAAGTATTTTCTTCCTTATTTCATTGTTTGTTTCTTGGAAGTTCTCGGATATTTGGAATCAAACAGAAGAATCCTGGGTTCTTCTTACTATTGGATATAAGCCTTGCCTGTCAGCTTCCCCCTCTCTTTTGGCTAGGCGTTCAACTGCTATTTCTATTTCTGACTTGAGTTCAGTTTCAAGACTTTCCTTTTTTTGACAATATTTTTTATTTAGGTATCTGATCTAATCCCTATATTTTTCTAATTTAAAATTAAAATTTTCTAGACCTAATTTCATTAAAATTACTTTCCTAGGCACTTCCATTTGCCTCTGCTGCCGCTTCCTGTCCAGCTTCCCCCTCTCTTTTGGCCAGGCGTTCAACTGCTCCATCAGCACCCCCACCATGTGCTCAAAGTCCGGGAGTACCAGAAGAATCACATTCAGCTATCGGAAGTCAATTAGCAATTGGAGGGGGGCTAAATAACAACAATAATCATTCATTTTCTTCTCCTCCTTCTGTTGCTTCTTCTTTTGTTTCTTCTGGGATTACAACACCTAAAACAACTGGAAGAATAAAAATTCCTCCAAATCGGCGAAAGGGAGAATATACTAATAATAATAATCAACATTTAAATAATGATATTAAAAGAAAAGAAGAAAATACAGCAACAAATCCGTCTTTGTTACGTTGCCAATTTTGTTCTGAACAATTGCCTGATGTTCAGGCTTTACAGGTAGAAATACAGTTGTTTGGAATAGGGTAACTTCCCCGTCCTCCGACAATTTTTTTTTGGCAAAACCCCGGCCCGAACTCTCAAGTCTCTAACCCGGCAAACCCTGATCCCTGACGATCCCTACTCCGAAGGCTTGGGGAGCTACCCTAGTTTGGAAGATGAATAAATTAACCTTGGTAATAAATTAGTAAATTTAGAGGGGTAATCCTGATGGATTTGAAAGTCTTTTGAGATAAATTATGAGCTGGGACCTTAAGGTCGATTTAACATTCTACCTATGTCCTTTAAATTATAAGTCGTTGGTGAGATGGTGAGAAATTTGACTAGAGACCGGACCGAGCCGAGATCTTGGGCAAACTCTTTGTTACCAAGTTCAAGACCTCCCTAACTCTCAATTGTCTTCAACTATCCTCTGTTGATATATATTTTTTTCTATCCATGGATATATTATTTTAAGAATACCTTTAGCCCCTCGTTTTAAATTAAAAAAATTTCTTCTAAAAAAATTTTTTCTAAAAAATTTTTTTGAAGACTCATTGGGTAAAACAACACATGGCTCAACTTACACGTCCCCACGTTTGTGTAGAATGTGATGCTGGATTTACAACAGAATTAGCATTACAAGCACATCGTGAACGACAACATAATTTATCTACTAATAATAATGGAATAAATTAAAATTGAACGAAAATTTTAAAAATTTCTTAGAGAATTAATTTTTTAAAAAATATTTTTTTCTATTTAATATTTCTGTTTTTATTTTTTTTATTTTTTTTTAATTTTTATATTTACTATTCGACATGACAGATTTTTTTAAATTAAAATTTTGTTATGGAAAAGTGGATTTTGATTATTAAAAAAATTTTTTTTGTTAATTTTCTTCATTGTTTCAAAAATAAATTTTGCTCAAAAAATTTTTATTTTATTGCCAAAATCCACCCTTTTCCATTTTTGTTATCTCCATACTTTTTTTTGCGCAAGTCCCTATGTATTTCTTGTTTTTTTATATTTTTGCATGCATCTAGCAATGTATATAATAAATAAATTTTAATAAAAAAATATTTTTTATTTTGGATAATGTTTTTATAATAGGTATTTTAAGTTTTATTTGGGTCGGTCCTTATCTTTAAGAGGCAGTTGATCTTACTTAACTTCCTCCTGTTACCTTGACTTCTTAACTCTACATATGTACCTATAGCATATTAACATAGTTCCTGTTTATTACAGTCAGGTATGACTACATTGTCGCCGTACTTGTTTGTCAAGTTGACTTCTGATTTTCCTTATAATAATTCTCACTTTCGCCTAGTCTTACACCACGTGATTCACCCATAGATTCGCTTAATACCCTGACTTCTTATCGAGATTTTATATGATTTTTTATGTTATTTGTTATTTATTTTTATGTTATTGATAGTCAACACCTTAGTAATGTTCAACTACTTGAAAAAATTTTTAGAGGATCAAAAATCATTAAATTCAATTAGTTTTTAACTAAAATTTAAATTTTCTGTGTCAAAAATTTATTAAAATTACTATATAAATAATTTTTATATTTGTACATATCATCAAATTGAAGCAAGAACCGGTTGTTTTGAATTATTAAAAATCTATAGATTTAACAAAAAAAAATTTTTTTTTGAAGGATTTGGCATTATAAATATCCCTCCAAATACGAGAGAATAAAAAAAAATTTATTTTTTAATCCCTAAAAACATTTTTCGAGAGAAAAAGCTTTGTAAAAATTTTGAGGATTTTTTAATAAAAAATATTTTCCCTTTTAGCGCAAATCCCCGTATCTTTTTCACATTTTTAAACGACCTGTTTACGCCCTGGACTGTGTCCATTTATTTAATTCTGTTTTTATTTAAATAAATTTAAATAGTGAAAGTTTTTGTTTAACAAAATTTTGGTGAAAACTGGCTTTTAAACTGTTCTGGAAAGTCATAAAACTTGTTAAATTTTGGTGAAATTCCAATTACAACTTTCATTTTGATTTTTTAATTGAAAAATTTTTTTAGAATTTATTTAAAAATAATGGAAAGAAGATTGCCTTCAATTTCTGATTTTTCTATTAATTTAATTTATTTATTAATGGCTTTGAAGTTACCTGCTTTAATTATTCTGATTTTTAACGACAAGGCTAAAGGTATTTAATATTCTGATTTTAATGTTTAATTGAAAATATAAAAATCTGAATTAATTTGAAATCAGAATTATTCTTAGGTTAAAGAAATTCTGAAAATCAGAATTGATTTATTAATCAGAAATCAGAAACTCAGAATTAATTTTCTATTCAGAAAAATCAGAAAACCAGAATTTTAAATCAGAATTATTTTTTCTGAAAATCAGAATAGTTTAAAATCAGAATTAATTTATGAAGATCAGAATTAGTAATTTAAAAACCAGAATTATCCATTTTCAGAATGCTTTTAAAATTCTGAAATATTCAAGTTATATTTTCCCCTATAGAAAAGTCGTACTTTTTACTTCCACAAATCTAATTATAATTCTGTTACGTCAAAAATTAAAAATTCTGAATTATTCTGAAACTTTTATTTAAATCTTTTTATCTCCCACAATTTAAGGTTGTTTCCCGTTACAACCATCAATGTCCCCTACCTGCTTCCCACCTTCAACAGGTTGTCCCTCTGACAGTTATTCACCTTCTACTTATGGATCCGAACCTTCTCCCTATTATTCTTATGGTGAATATCAACCTCCAGAAGTTTATTCTTATCCTTCCTCTCCTTATGGATCTCCCCAACAACCTTACTATCACGCTTCTAAATCTCGTACAATGCCTTCTGTGGCTGAAGACTCTCCTGCTAATCAATTGAAAAGCAGTCCAAGTCTGGATTCTTGTATTAGACGATATCCAGATACTCGACTTGTCTGTGCTTTACCTTTTGAAAGGAGAACACCAACAAATGAGAAGGAATGTAAAAAGTAAGGGATTTTTGTTTATGGTGCACAAGAGGCTGATTCCTAGCTAGGATATTAGGGTCTTTTGTATTTTGATTAAGCTGGAGCTCCTTATTTTCGAATTTCTTCCTCAAATATTTCTATCCTCGAATTTTCCAAAATTGGAACTCGGGGCTTTCACTCTGAATTATCTCACATAGAACCATATTCTTATTTAAATGGACCTGATTAAAAGAAAAGCCGAGTCGAGTTTCCTGTCAAGTTTCAAAATTTCTCCGGTTTGGGTTTCAGATAACCTGACCCATTCCTGGTTGGCTCAAAGAATATTTCTGGCTAAATCCATGAAAGTGATGGTAGTTAAAGCATTACAGCTTTGATAAAACTTCCAAGTCCTCTGCACCTAAACAAATTTCCAAAAAATTTAAGGAATTGTCTCAATGTCGGGCCTCGTTGCCGTAGCTTTCAGTATGACCCGGCTGGCAACGTCTGCGATCTGTTTGAGCATTCCCTTGCCCCATCAACCTCTTCCGGACAAACAACACTGCAACCACCACCATCCTCCCCCTCTGATCCTTTTGCAGCTTTGGATGATTGGGATAACAAAAAATCCAAAAAACATTCTTTAACCGTAAAAATGCTGTCTGCAACAAAGTCAAAAATTTCAAGAGGACAGGAGAAGAGGTTTTCGCTTCACAATGGAGTTCCTTTGGATGAACATAGTCAATCATTAGCTTATGGAGCGAATTTAGATGAACGGAATTCTGGTTTGATGGCACCTATTGGCGGAGGAAATGAGTAAGTTTTATAGTGATGATTGGACTACTAGTGGGTTATGGAGGATAGAGTTCAAATGGAAGGTTTTAAACAATGTCTGGGATTGGACTAGCAGATCCGGATACGATTAAGCCTGGATATTCGAGAACTCTAGTCCTAGTTTTCCTCAGACCTGTGTTTGGATATTGATATTGATAATATTAACATGCCTTCGGATATCCGCATGTATCCGCCGTATATATCCGGATATGGATACCATTACCCGTGTCCATGCACAGGTCTGGTTTTCCTGACATTCTATATCTTTGTCCTTCTCTCATTTTTGGTTATCTAAAGCATATGAGTACCAAGTAGCGCCGGGGAGATCTCTCTTTCTCATAAATTGGGGGAGTATCTAAATTCCACAATTACATAACCAAACCAAAAGATATATAGCAAAAAATTTTAAAGCCTTTCTTCATCCACATCTCATTGTGTCCCGATACTTGAACGAAAGGTCGGAGTTGTTTTTACTGGGCTAGAGCCAGGCTGTGAATCTGTCGGTTTGGATGAAGGGGAATACGAAGGAGATGAGGGAATAGGAGAACAAAAAGACGGTTATGAACAACAATTATTGGAAGATCTAGAAGATTTAAAACCCAAAGCTAGTCCACCTCCATTAACCACCAAAGCAGCAACAAATCTTCAGAAACAAGAACTCGAGCCTATGACTACAACTTCTGTTGGTAAAAGTAGAAAAGAACAGACTACAACAGATAAATCAAAAAATGGGGGAGATATTCAAGAGGAGGTTGATGCTTCTTTGACAAAAACAAAGGATTGTCAAGAAGGACATAAAGCTTATATTCAGGTAGGAAATTGTAAATAAGGTTTTGTAGAGGACATTCAATCATTATGGGATAAGAAGATAACTAACTACCTGTCGATCTTTTAAATTTTTCAATGAAATAGAATGAACTAGTGATTGGACCGGGACCGGCCGTTTAAGAATTTCGTTATCCAGATCGATCCTCAACTTAGGTATCTAAACCCTAAAATCAATTCGCAAAGACAGAAATTACTTACCTTTGAAATTAAGGTATTCCTGCCATTCAGTCGATTTTCCTGACATTATGTTTCATACAAATCTTTCAAAAACCTTTCAATTAACTTGGATTTAAAAAATTCACTAAATATCTTTCAAAAAAATCAGAATCTTATTTCAAGTTAATCGACGGTATTTCACTAATCGGCCAATTACCTCTTCTTCAAGCAGTACAATTAGAATCTGCTGATGTTTGTCTTCAAGTCTGCCGTCAAAATAGAGTTACTTCCTTATGTTAATTTTCAATTCTAATTTTTCTTAAAGAATCTGGATGGCTTTGTTTTACCAAATTCTTGTCGTTCAGCCACTTTTCATAGGCAATCTGGCCGTTGTGAATTGTTAAATGATTCAATTTCGCCTAATGGTCCTCTTCAATATATCCCAAATCCTGACTCTCTTTACTTTGAAAAACTGTGTATTCCAAGTACACTTTTGTAGAAATTTTATAGAAAAATTAATTTTTGTAGAATCAGACTTAATTTCTAATTGTGAGGATGTTATACATAGAATTCCTCAGCATTATTTGGACTCTAGAAAGAAACAAAGTGACGGGGCTGCAGTTAATGCTCAAAACCAGTTGGAATGTATTAGACAGTGTATTGGAGCTAAGGTAAGTTTTATACATTTTAAAGGTGTGCGGACATATCAGGACGGACATATCGGGATTGGTGTGACAAAAATAATTTCTTCCTTGTTTACATTTGTTCCAAGACCCAGTGACCGTAGGTCCCGAAAGCAGTAAAGTAACTGTTCTTACATTGAAATATCCCGATATGTCCGTCCCGAAATGTCCACTTGCCATTTTAAATTTACCGTATATGCTCGCGTAATTACCTTTTTTCAAATATGACAATAATTTCGCAGGGTAATTATTAGAGCATTTACGCTAATTAGATTACAGTTCGGTTCTTCGGGTTCGGTTCCGGAAATCCGAAAACTTCGGTTCGGTTCTTCGGTTCGGTTCGGATCCAAATATCCGAAGATTTTCCAGGAACCGACAACCCTAGTCAGCCCTTTTATAAAAAAATTCCTTGGTTTGGTATATTTGGGCCAAAAAATCACCTAAAATTGAGGGTAACTATTAATTGGTGTACTTCTTAAAATTGAGGTCTGACTGTATTTAAAGTTTATTTAATCCAGAGTTTATTTTTAAGAGCAAATTAGGCTTTGAATGTGCATCAGCAAGTTTCTTCTTCGACTGGCAAGGCGATAATTGCTTCCTAAGCAGATTTACACGCCTCTCTAGATCTGATTTGTATGCAGCAGAAAGAAAGGAATTGGTGGATTATATGGAAATACCTCCTTGCTTTAGATTATCTGGTAGATTTTCTTATAAAATCTAGGAAGTACAGAACCCTCTTACCGTAACACTAGAGACTAAGCCCTTGAGGCGTCAATTCCTCCCTTTCCCCCTCTCAAGTTTATTTTCCAGTAAATAATGTCAGACAAAGGGATGTATTAACAACTAATTACCCTTCATCTTCAACCTCATCCTCTTCTTCATTTTCTTCCAACGAAAAAGAAGAATCTATTGAAGATACTTCATTTACATTAAAAAATGATTGGAGTGCGTGTATTGGAGGCATACGTTGGAGACCTAAATTAAATTGTAGCATTGCTACTACTAAAAATAATAATTGTTTAGAATCTGAAGCTTGTTCAGCAACGAATAATCGTAAAAAAATTTTAATTTTTGGGAAATTTTGAGCATAATTCCGACTTAGTGCTATTTTTAATTAATTATCAAGTGTCATCTAATGCCTAATGTTAGCATTATTTCTTAAAATATTTCCAAGTTTGAATCGTGATTAGGATTAAGACCTAAGACCTAGCACTTGGTCTTAGGCTCAGGGTCTAATAATCTAGAGGAACCGTCCTTGTTGGAGCATCCTCTCTGGCCTGAAGGACATTCCCAAAGGGACCGTCTGAAGCATCCTCCCCCTAACAGTCTGGAAGGAACATCCCCACTATCTACTTTAATAATTTTTTAAATTTACGTTATTTTCTAGAAGCAAAGCCTATAGCTCCAAGCATTGAAGTAGCCAAACGATTTAAGGCCCCAGATGTTAATTCGCTTGAGGCTAGGTATTTTGATAAATGTTTAAAAATAATTAATAATTTATTTCTCAGTTTATATGGAGAACAGGATTATGAAAATCAAAAAGAAATAAGTTTCTTTGGACCTCCACATGAAAATACTGATACTAAATCAAGTAAATTTTAGGAGTTATATTCAGATAAATACACGCGGAAAGCTTAAATCGAAATATAACTGAACTCCTACTCATTGTAATTTGAGACCGGAGTTGTGAGGCGATAGGGATTCGAGAATGATATCTTGAAAAAGATAATGATAATCGAGGGTTAGAATTGCCAGTTCTCGATTTTCGACTATTCAGAATCGAAACGAAAAACCCTACGTTCTTTGGGATTTTCCGAAAAATCCTTTTGGTTGCTTGTTGAAATAAGATTGCTAAGATAAGACGATTTATAAAAATTAGACAATTTGAGACATTAAACTAAGATAAATCCATGACCCTTATAAATTAATTTGTTTAATTTTTAGATAATTTGTTAAAATCAGAAACAAAACCAAATTGTGATCCAACAAAGGATTGTTGCCCTATAAGTGAAGGAAAAGGAGGAATAAAAGGAATGGTGCGCGGATGTTCTTTAGGCACTAGAAGGTTACTACCCAATGGAAAGTCAGTTAGTTGTGTACCTGACAAGTGCCATTGAATAGAAAAAAAATATTTTTTAATTCAAAATACCTATATTTAATTTATATTTTTGAAAATAAGTATTTATTTAAATAGTTTTAAAGTTTTGAAAATTTTAATCCTTGAGACTAGGCAAAATGTTCCGCTCAGACTAGGATTATTCTCATAAATTAGGGGATGTTATTTGGAAATGTTCTATCCACACAAGGGATATTCCTTTCTGACTAGACTAGAAGGGATGTTCCCTTCTCTTTAGTCCCCCGTTCTTGGAACAACTTACCCACGGAAGCTCTTTCGAATGAGCTGTTCAAAGGATATCGTTAAAGAAACCATACGTATCAAAATCGTAAAATTACACTAGAAACGAATGAGAGGAGAGATTCCATCTTTCTACTCAAACCTGATCAGGATTGATAGTGATAGTTCACCTAGAGCATTTAAAACGCTTCGGGGGGGGGGGGGGGGGGGAGGGGGGGTTAATGTTTAGCAATAACTGTCAGGAGGTCGCAGGTTCAAATCCTGCCCGGTGCTACTCTTTCTTAATCCATCTAATCACCTAATCTCACATTTAAGAAAAAATCAAATTTTTTACATTAATACAATTTATTCATCGTTAACTCACAAAAATTAGCGAAGCATATACATTATACATACATACACATTAGCATAGAAATCACAACAGCGGGAAACACAAGAATAGCAATGTGGTATTGGGATGAGTAAATAATATATTTGGGTATATACATACAACCTGACAATATGACACCAATACGGTAAAGGACAATTCAGAGTGAAGAAGAAATTCAGAGGGGGGTACAGATAGTAGTTTCCTATGTACATTACAAGGTGATAAGGGGAGAATAGAAGTGGGGAATAGATGTGATATTCTGATTATTCCTCTCCTCCTTCTTCGCCTTTGCCTTCATCCTCTTCCTTGCCGCCTTCTTCCTTCTCATCCTTCTTGCCTTCTTCCGCTCCCTTCTCGCTCTTATCGCCGCCCTCCTTCTTCTCGTCGCCGCCCTCCTTCTTCTCATCGTCGCCGCCCTCTTTCTTCTCCTCATCCTTTGCGCCTTCCGCAGGTTTGTCTTTGTCAGCCTGAAAAATAAAACACATGTAAGCAAGTCAAAAAATAATCTTTTTAAAACTCACGTCGTCTTTCTTCGATTTCTCTCCTGGTTTCTCGGCTCCAGCAGCGCTTTTCTTGTCCGCTCCCTCAGCAGCCTTATCCGCCGGTGGCTTCTCATCTCCAGCCTTCGATGTCTTCCCATCTCCTGGACCCTTCGCTTTTGCATCGTCCTTCTTGTCGTCCTCTTTCTTCTTGTCGTCGTCCTTCTTGTCCTCACCAGGCTTAGCAGCAGCAGGTGCCGGAGCGCCAGGCTTTGCACCAGCAGCAGCAGGAGGAGCGCCAGGCTTTGCACCAGGTGGTGGAGGAGCTCCCGGTTTAGCGCCAGGAGGTGGTGGAGCGCCAGGAGCACCAGGGCCAGCAGGAACGCCAGACTAAAATGAAAAACAAGGAATTTATTAATACACTAATAAGATTTATTCAGTAAACTCACTTTTTTAGCTGCCTCAGCTGCCTTTGCGATAGCGGAAGGAGTACCAGGCTTTGCACCAGGAGCGCCAGGTGGAGGAGCGCCAGGGGCGCCAGGAGCACCAGGTTTCGGAGCGCCAGGAGCGGCCGGCGGTGCACCAGGTTTCGGAGCGCCAGGTCCAGCAGGTGGTTTCGCTGCTCCAGGTTTCGCTGCTGCTCCAGGCTTTCTAAAATGAAAAAAGGAATCAGATCAGTATGAGCTTTGAATACAAAAAAATAAAACTCACGCGGGCGGCTTTGCAGCTGATTTTGCCGATGGTGGCCCTTTTAGCGATGCTCCTTCTTCCGGTGGTGGTTTCATCTCTGTACCTGGAGCCTTCTTCTTCTTCTTGCAGCATTGCGCGGCGAGCATGGTTGCAACGAAGAACATCACCAGATATTGACAGCCGAACACGAGCATGCGGATTGCCTCTGGAGATAACGAAGATATGTCCATCGTGCAGCAATCGAAGATACGAGTTTTGTGACGAAGTAGTTATGTGTTGTTGGTAGAAGTATTACAGAAAGCTGAGCTTTTATACTACCGTATTGTGAGGGGGCTTTTATATCATGCCCCTTTGAGTGACACTTGACGAGAGTTGAGGGACGAGGGCTAAGGATGAGAGCAATTAGAGAAGAGAGAGTTATTGGTCGCACAGTACTGAATCTCAATTGTAGGAAAAGGAAAAAAAGAAAAAAATCCCTATGAACAACTTCCTCTTATGTCATTGGACTTGCCCCGGTTGGAATAACATACCTAACTGTTTTTGGAAGAATATCCTCCATATTGGAACTTATGTATAATGGGGAATTCACCTTATTTGGAACTGTTTTTGGAAATTTTACACTCGCGCCAAAACGACCCCAACCCCAGCTTTGGTAACTTCTTATCTAGTTACTAGAGTTCGAACTTTTCACTTTGCCGGGCCCGGTATCCGGGTTTTTTTCTTCCAATCAGACCCGGGCCGGGCTTCCGGGCTAAAAACCTCGAAAACCCGGAAGCCCGGAAAAACCGGATTTTTTTACACCCGGGCCCGGACCCGGTTTTTTCAAAATTCAAAAAATGATCAAAATTTAGCTTTTTCGCTGAAATTTTTCTTATTTTGAATAAGAAATTATTAAAATTTGGTGTCATCTTTCATCTATACGTGTTTACTAAAAGGATTTAGAGATATTAATCTGAATTTAACGGATTAAGGGAAATATTGGTGGATTTGGCAGGATCTGGAGGGATTAATATGGATTTACAGGGATTAGATAGTCCAGATATACCTCTAAATCCTCGATATCCATCTCTATAATTATTTAATCTGGGGAGGAGGGTCTTCTTGTTTATCAACTTCCCCTGTTGATGGAACAACCTTCACTTTTGTTGGAACTTCCGAGTTACGAGGGCTTTTCCTATATCATCATACTTCCGACAACTCCGACTTACGTTAACTTTGTCAATTTCTGACCAAACCGTGTTTGGACAACTTCCTTAATCATTGGAATAAGCTTCCCGATTGTCGGAACAATATCCCCCATTGTTGGAACAATATTTCCGGGGTGTGCAAGTTGGGCAGCGGTAGGTTGGCATGCTCCCAATCTGGGGATTTGGTGGTGTTAATGTCGGTTTGGAGGATTAAGGTGGATATCTGGGATTTACTTTGTTTGTGGGATAAATGTGGTTTAAATATTATCGTGGGATTCTGCAGAGTTAAGAGCCAAATCGGCAATTTAGAAGGATTTAGGAATAGGTCTATGAAGAATAAAACATTTTATCAGCGCCGCAGGCGAAAATTTTTGAATTTTTGGATGATTAAGGAGTCAGAATCGACCAAAAAGTCAGAATATTTTATAAAATTTACTCAAAATTGGACCCGGGCCGGGCCCGGGTTTTTCAGATGCGACCCGGGCCGGGCTTCCGGGCTAAAAACCTCGAAAACCCGGAAGCCCGGAAAAACCGGATTTTATCAAAATACCCGGTTTCCGGGCTACCGGGCCCGGAAAACCCGGTCCCGGGCCCGGCCCGGGTTCGAACTCTACTAGTTACACTAAGGATTTGGAGCCCTACACTAAGGTTACACTAAGGACTCAAAACAGAGAATAAAAGCACATCTTTTAACCCGCCTGTTATCTCCCTTATTAGCAGAGCTACATTAAATTTAGATAAATGGCAAAACAAAAATTTAAGCTCGAATCAAAACAGTGAATATAAACATTTTAGACAATTTTAGAATTTATGAGTTTTTCCAAATAAAAATATATTTTCTTCCAAAATATTTTTTATCTTGACAAAAAATGACGAATAATTTCAACAGGTATTGGCACCTAAAAATTTAAAATTTTTTTAAATTTTGTTCTAATATTACAATAATTGTAGAATTTTTCTCAGCAGCCACAGAATTTAAAGTTTGTAAAAATCTTAATTGTAAAGCTGCAGGTGAGTCAGCTAGCATTGTAGCCGCTTCTTTTAAAGAATTACTTGCTCTTTGTTCGCCTTCTGCCGCTATTACCTTTAAATTTATTTTTGAATTTTCTCTTATTTGTATCAGAACACCTTTGCTCTAGCTTCTCGTGTTGCTTCAGCCTCAGCAGCCATTGCTCTTTGTAACTGCAGTGGAAGCCGTACATCCTTTCTAATAAGTATTTTAAGAGTTTGAATTATTACAAAGTTAATTCCCTAATAAATACTAGAAGGGAAAGACTATGAAAATTTTAAAATTCTCAGCCATGAGGCAAGAAAATGGATTTAAGGGTTTTGTTAAAATTCGTTTTACAACGAATTGAGAGCTCTGCTGGGAGTTCTCAGAAGAGGTAAGCATCCCTCTCTATCTACATACAACCCAAATCCAATTGGAGAATATTAGTCGAATCTACCAAACACCCCCCTCTCTTTCCCCTCTCCCAAAAACCCTCTGCAATTTCTTGGGGAATATAATCTACCTATATATATATATAGGTAATTTAATTTTATTTAATTTTGAAGAGATTTGTTTAATAAAAATTAAATTATTAAAAACGGATTTACATTTCTACTCGTTCCACTTTAATTCCCCAAGAATCGGTTGCTTCATCTAGCAGTGTCTGCATTGTCTAAAAGTTTTTAATTGAAAGGATTTAAAATAATCCAAATAACCAAAGCTATTGAATCCCTATCTGAGAGAATTTCTGCCAAAGTTTTTATTCCAAGCCTTTAATTTAAGAAAATAATTATTCTAGAAATCCTGATTAAACCGATTGCAGGCTAACCTCATTTATAGATACCCAGAAAATTATGTAATAGGGAACAGGGATGGGTCGGCTTGAGAAAAAGGTCTAACCGGGTTTCGGAGAATTTTCAAAATTTTCTTGCATTCGATTTCAGGTAACCCGATCGATCCCTAGTAGGTGGCCGTACCTTCTATTTACGGCACGATACCTTCTATTTAAGGTATTCCTTATTATAAGATAAGATAAGCCTCAAATGGGTATCTAAAAAGAGGTTCGACTGTATATAATTTACATATTTCTCATTGTAGTTTGAGCTAATAAGCGAGTAGAGTGATGCGCATTTTCAACGTTGGCAACACTACAAAATTTTTCATAAATCCAAAAATATTCTTTTCCCCAACCTAACAGTTGCATTCATTATTCTATAATATACAACAGCATCAACTGAGACAGTAACAGAGTCTCTAGTAAGAATTTCTTGAGGAGGCACACTAAAGGAAACAGTGCGCAAGTCAACTCGAACATAAGATTCTATACAAGGCATTACCCAGAAAATGCCTGAAAAATAAAATTTAGATTCTTTGAGAGGATAAGCAAGATAGCACCTCTTTAGTTTTTTACCATTGTGGACCTAAAGCTATCCTACTGACTGACGTATTAGAAATTAAAAAAGACACCTGTGTCTACTAACTAGAGGTTCTAATTAGAGGTTCTATTAACGATATGGGTTATCAAATCTGTAAAATAGAAAGTAAGTGAAACGTGAAATCCGTAAGATAGAGGTCAAGATCTATAACATACTTGGTCGATAAGATAAAGTGTATTACGTACAGCGTTTATAAAATAGAGGTTTTAAGATAACGAATGATTCTATTAAATAGTAGAGGGAGCCATAAGATTGAAGGTTTATTGGATAAAAAATCTTGTAAATTGAGATCATACAGGTTCTTGTAGCCATAAGAAACATTCACCTGGTCCTTTCGAACCTCCACCAATTAGCCTTCCCAACCGAAATATAACAGCTCTCTCATATTCTTTAACAACTTTAAGGCAAAAGCAGACAGAAACTGGGAAAGTAGCCAAAACAATTAGCCAACCCAAAAACCAAAACCCCCATTGACATAACCAACTGCTAGTATCTCCATCATAATCACCAGCACCTTTTGGGTAATAAGAAAGTTTGAGTTGGGCAAGTGATTGACGTCGCATTTCTCTTTCTTCCTTAAAAATAAGATTTTAACCCATAGTTTTAGGGATTTGAGGATCGATTCAATTAATATCTTGAAAAATCTTAATCTCGATAACCGAGATTTTTGAGTGAGATCTCGTTTTAATCCTCTCTAACTTCGTGTTTTTTAATATCAGGCGACATCCTTAAATGGGTACAGCCCAAAAAGGCGCGCAGCCATAACTTGCTGGAAAATGTCTGGCTTTATACATTTTGGTACCAATCTCCCTAGCTCGATGAGAGGAATTGTTTAATACTAAATCTGGTAAGATAAAAAATCTTGAAGCAAGTTATGGGTTTGTAATTTTATGGCCGAGCGTCGGTTTTGGCGTGTCCCTCTTTAAATGGGTTTTTGAATATGACTTATGGCTTTTTATGGATATGACTTAGTAGAAGGTGCTTATCTCCTCGGTTCTTTAATTAATGAAAGAGTCAGTAGGATCAAATAAGAAAATTGGAGTTTCCCCATACCTTTGCAAATATCAACGGATTCAAAGTAAAACGTCTCCCCATTCTTGGACGCCCTCCAGATTGACTATGCCTAGGAGTGTTTAAAGCACTTGGAGTAAGAAAATAACTAGGACTTCCAGCACCACTACCAGTACCAGTCATTTGTTGTTGTTGTTGTTGATGGCTACTTTCTGGGGTTAAAAAATGTGATTGTTGCATTAAGGGAACACGCTCTCCAGCAATTATTTGGTGTTCCTCTTCCTCTACTTCTTTTGGATTTTGATTATTTCCAGCAGCAAAAGAAGCGTGTGGTGGGGAAGAACAACGCGAAGATGTTCCCGATGAGAGAAGTGAGGATGACTCGTCTGGATTGGATCCACAAGTTCCTGAAAATTTGAATAATATTCAATGAATTAAGGGGAGATTTAAGAATTTATGTGAGGGATATCATTATTTTCTCTCTAATAGGATAGCATAGGTTTTCACTCTAATACGAGTTGGTGGTGATTTTTAATAATAAAGCAGCTGAACCCATTCAGAAACTAGCAAAATTGGGATAACAAAGGAAAGAATAAACCCGAGAACTATCCCACGAAGGGGTATCTCTCGGAAGGGACCCTTCCTAGAGTGTAAGGGATTTTGGGAAGGGTGATTCCTTCGATTAATTACACTATTAGCTAAAGATTGAAACAATGATTACCCAGGGTAATTAATCAAGAAAATAAGAGTAACCAGATTTAAAAGAATCTTACTTTACTTATCAAATGAATTTTTAAATGAATTTTTGAATTTTTAACTCTAGGTGGCTTGAAACTTTGTTGACAACCTAAGAATTATTTTCCTTCCTTCTCAACCTTCCACAAACTCTTTTCATTTCCAAATACACCTAATATTTTTTTCTAATCTCCTACTCTCGTCATATCCTTGTTGATTTCCAGCAACTCCCCTCACAGCATCCCCTCGTCTCCTAAAGGAAGACGGAGCTGAACGGAAGCGATTCAAAGGAAGAGGCTCTCCAACATTTTCGGAAGGATTAGGGTCGAGTAATTTCATTTTAGAGAAATTAATTTTTTCTAAAAAAATAAAAATAAGAAAAAAATGGGAGAGGAAAACAATTTTTTATTTCTTTTATTTTTTTATTTAATTAGCAGTAATGGAATAAATAAAAATAAAGGAGAAAAGGCTGTCCAAGACAAGGACATTATTTTAAAAAAACAAATCGTGAAAAATAAAAATTTTTTTGGTAGAATAACTGAGTAGAAATAAGGCAAATTTAAAATGTTTTGCTAAAGTGAGTTTTAAAAATGTTTCAAATTAAGACCTTATTTAATTAAAGTTGAGAAGCCTAATTAGAATTAGGCTAATAAAAAAGTCGGGTATCACAGATTTGGCCAAAAAAGACTCGAAAATTTTGAAAACGGCAATAATACTATAAATATGTTAAACAATTGTCAAATGCAATGCACTGACTTTGGTAACTTAAAATGAAGGTAGGATAAGTTAGAAATTGGAATTTAAAGGTGGAAAGAATTTTTTAGTTTAAATTTGTTATGATAGTGTAAGTCTTTTGAGCTGAAAAATTAGAAAAATTCACGTTAAAATGAGCTGTACATTAATAATATGGAGATATCGGAAGTATGCCTAGGTATCCCCTCCCTACACTCCCTCCCTCCCCATAATCAGGAACTAACCACGTTTAAAAACCCGGATTGTAATGGGAATATAAATTAACTCGACCGTAATGAAATTAAATTCAATTTAAATAATCTTGCCATTCGAAAACTATTTTGGCTATTTAACTAAAATTCCCTAAAAAATTATCTTGATTTAATTGAGGTCACGCAATCCTCTCAAAAATGTCCCCAAATTCATTTAAAACTTTTTTTAAAAATCCTCCCTCAAAAATACAACATTTCTTCCTTTTTATTTATTCACAAAGTTGGAAGATTTAAAGAGGCCAAGCTTATTTGTTTCCGCCTAGCGTGGACAGGCTATAAAAATAAACTTGGTTGACCGGAAAAGTTGAAAAAGTTGGGAGAAGGAAAAGGGGGTTATTTAAAAGAAATATGTAAATTACTCAAATTTTAAGAAAAAAATTTTTGAAAAAAAAATTTCAAAAATTTTTTTAAATTTTAATTAGAGACATTTAGGACTCTTGGTCTTAAGTCTTGAATTATGCCATTTATTAGGAGGTTTTCGGTCTTGAAGTGAGGTGAAATCTTGGTCTTTGCCTCAGCTTTTATGAGCTTTTCTAGACGTACACCCTAAGAATTAAATGTTTTGGATTCCTTAAAGAGTCTTGAGAGGTCTTAGAAAATTTTTATTCTTCGAAATATCTAAGTTAATATTCTTACCAATTAATATTTTTGTGCTTTTCTCAACATTTTCAATATCTTCTTGTGAGGGTTCTTGAACAAGTTGAATTTTTGGAATTTTCATTTTATTTTTAAATTATTTCTTAAAAGATTATGAGAAGATTTTTAATAAAAAAATAAAAATTTTGGAAACATTTTCGAAACAAAAAAATAAAAAAATAAAAAATAAGTTTATTATTTCTAAGAAAATAAAAGTAAAATATTTTCGAGAACTATTGCCAACAAAAATATTTTTTTCAAAAAAATATTTTCTTAATATATTTCCTTGATATGCTTCATTTGTTTTTTTGCTTAAAATGCGCGTCTGTCATATTACTTAAAGGTATTTACCGGCCTCCCTATTTTAGCCTTGAGAAAGTCAGCTAAAAGTTATTCAAGCATAAAAGATGGAAATTTTTACCAACTTTTCCCCAACTTTTACTATTAACTTTTTTCGAACTTTGTTTCAACTTTTCTCCAACTTATTTCGAACTTCTTATCAGCCTATTTCCAACTTTTCTTCAACTTCTCCCAAACTTTTCTCAACCTTTCTACAAACATTCTTCAAACTTTTTTCCAGCAACTTTCTTTCCAACTTTCTTTCAAGCCTATTCTCCTACAACTTCTTTTCCTAAACTTAAATTTCCCCTAATTTTTGAGGTCATTTCACAGTCCAGTCATTTAACAGTCAAACTAATATGATTAATTTAAATTAACTAAAATTGCCCCAATTTTCAAATAAAATATTATTTTAAATATAAAATAACGGCTTTTTAGTCTAAAATTGTATTAAACTTAAAATAAGCTTTCTAACTAAAAAATAAAGGCAGAATTCACTTAAAAATACAAAATTTCGGTCAAAAATTATTTATATTTTTAGCTCAAGTATTAAAAAGCCTTGAATATTTTGACTATTAGAGGAGGTTTTTATGAGAAAGTTGCATTTTTTTCAAGTTTTGCACTATTGTTTTTAAAAAGGAAGAAAGTAATTTGAGCAGATGGAAGAAAATGAAAAAAGAAAAAGCAGAGACCCCCCCCCCCTCCCCCTCTATATTTTTTCTTTTATTTTTTGAATAACTGAATAGGGGGCTTTTGGTAGAAAAAAAAGAGAATGTCAGTGAAAGACTTTTTTTTTAAAAAAGTTGTCAAAATGAAAAAATGGAAGGAAATGTTTTGTTTTTTTTTTTTGAGAGAGGAAAATGTGGAAGGAAATTAGGGGAAATGAAAATAAATGTGTAGATTTTTTAAAAATTTTGAAAAGATTTGAAAAATAAATCAAAATTAATTAGGTTACATATTTTAAATTTTTAAGAAAACATTTTATAAAGAAAAATAAAGAAAATGTTAGAGAACTTCTCCATTATATACATATAGTCTTCTGTTCAACTCCTAACAACCCCGAATAAATTTTCAAGGTTAAATTTCTTCAGCTTCTTCCCTCTCTAACCATATAGAGTTTGATCCCGGTTGATTAAGAGTTCCGAATTGAAATATCGGAAACGAAAATTTCGGATATCCCAGGATTTTCCAGATACGTCAACACTAGAGTTACACCTCTTAATCTATTAATTATTTTCTTATTTGGCCCTTTCTAATTAGAAGGTTAGGGTTTTTGACCCAAAAGTCGGATATTGACTGACATGAAATTTATTTGAACTTATAATTCTTTCAATTGAACTTAACTGTTCAGCTCTTAAATAGATGTTCAAGAAAATAATTTGAAAATAAAATATAAAAAATACAAAAATATTATTTTTCTTGGAATTTATTTGAAAATTTATTTTTCTATAAATTACTTTTTTAGTAATAAACCCCAATTTACACCAGCCAAAATATACTTTACTTCCACTAATTTAATTTTATTTATTTTTGTTGCTATCTCAACATTTTTTTATTTTTAAAAAAAAAATTCTAATTAAAATTAATAAGTCTCTCCACAATTAAATTAAAAAAAACATTCCTTCCTTCCCCTCCCCCTTTAAAAAAATAACAAAAAAATTTCAACTTGCCCTCTAATTGAATTCTGACATGTTGTATTCTTCTACGGTCAACAATTACACTACTAGCTGTCCTATAACTGGTATTTTGTTGTTGTTGACTACTAAATATTATTGGAACATTCCCTCGTCTTAAACTTTCATCAGCAAATTCTCTTTCATTTTGAGGAGAATTGTTGTCTAAATTTCCTCCTCTAAGCCTTAAACCTCCTCCTCCACCCTCTGGGATTTCTTCTTCATTTACTTCCATAAATGAGAAAAAAATTTTTTTCTAAAAATGTTTAAATTTCAATGATTATATCAGAGGAAAATGAGAGGAATTGAGGAAAATCGAGGAAAAAATTCTGCAAAGGAAAATGAGGAAAAGGACTGGAAAGCTGGAAATAAAATATTTTTTAACAGATATTTAGTGTTAATATAAAATTTAAAAAAGATTTAATAATAAAATTGAAATTTTGGGTGATTACAGGGAAAAATAAGATCAAAATTTATTTTAAAAATAAACAAAATTCCGAAAAATAACTCTCAAATAATTACCCTAGGTAATTATTATTTCGACTTCTCGCGGGGGGGGGGGTATTAAAGAGATAGTGCTGAATTTGGGGTATATATCTAGACAAATTGAGGCCGAGGTTGATTTATTTATTTTTGTTCAATTAATTAAAATTCACAATGATTTTTTTACTATTTTTAATTTAGTATAATAAAAATAGGGGATAATTATTGAAAAGTGTAATTAGCATTTACTATAGCATATTTAGAAATTATCTAAGAATTCCAGGACGGAATTTTCTAAGGCTAAAAACCACAAAAATTCCAAGTCTCAACTAAATTTTACAACAAAAATATTTATGTAATTTGTCCAAAATCCATTCAAAAGGGAGAAGCAATCAATGGGATAATCGAATATTATTATTAGCTATTTGTCACAAATAACTACCAAAAAAATTATTTTAAAGTTTGTCCTTTCCCAAAGTTATTTTGGAGTGTAAAAATTTGTGGGAAAAAAAATAATTTGTTGAAAAAAGGGAAGAAGAAGATTGTCAAATGTTGAGGAAAACGTAAATTGGATTACACATATATATTAGCTGTTATATGAAAAAAACTGGAAGAAAACGCCCTCAATTGAGTTGAAGGAAAAAATAAGCTTCTTTAGAAAGCTATTTAAATGTGTAGAGCACTTGTGGTCATTAGTCTTTGTTAAAAAATAATTTTTAAATAAAGATAGGTGTCAGATAGAGGTGGGTCGGAACAGTCAGAAGTGTCGGAAATCGAAAGAGCCGGAAATCGCAAAGGCTCAAAAGCGGAACTCGGAAATCGGAAGGAAAAAACGACGGAAATCGCAAGTCGGAATTCCGACCCATGACAGGGATCTCGCCGACCCGATTCACGATTCCCGAAAATTGGTAATTTGGTTTTCTGTCGGCGCGAACCTTGATAGGTGTGTTGTAGCTAATAAAAATTTTGAAAAATAAAATTAAATTTGGAATTAAAATTTCATGAAAAAAACTGGAAGAAAACGCTTAAAAAAATTTTTTTAAGAAAAAATTCAAAAAAATTTTTTTTGAATTAGTATTCCTAATATGTAATGCACATGAAAAAAAGGTTCTAGAAAAAATATCTTGACCAAAATTAGCGGAAGAGCAAGATAATTTATCTTAAAAATTGAGATTTCAAAAAAAATTAAAGCATTAAAAAATTTTAAAAATAAATTAAAAAAAAAATAATTTTACAAATTTATTTAAATTTTCCCCATCATTTTATTTGCAAAATATTCTTCAATAGAAATTGATTTAATTAATTCTTTTCTCAAAATTAATTTTGATTTAATTTTCTTCCCTCCTTCATTTTTAATATCCTCATAAATACAAAAAGAATTTTCTATAGGTGTTTGTAAATTAATATTTGGAAGTTTTGATGAATTTAAATAGGGAGTTTGGGGATGATTTTCTTCGTTAGTTATTTGTAAATCAAAATGGTCTTTTGGCAGTCCAAAAAGTGCCTTAAAAATAAAATGTGAGGGAGTCATTTTTTTTAAATAAAAATTTTTTTTTTTGAAATCTTCCCCAAAATTTAACCAAAAAAAGTTGCTTTGAAGGATTAAATTGTCCTCTCTAAAGTGTCATTTCGGTAATTCTTCGGTTCGTATTCCCCATTTTTTATTTTTTCTTCCCTTTCTCCCTTATTTTTCATGTGGAAATTATCAAAAACTGTCGAATCAATAATCACGTAAACTTTCCAAAAAATCTCTTGAAAGGAAATTTTTATCGAAAGGCCAAATCTAATGAATACTATGTATGTTAAGGCTGTTTTTCTTATTGTTAGTTCAAGAAATCGTAAGATTATAATTAAATTTATACTCTTCAACCCCAGGTTCTGGTTAAATCCTTTTAGAAAATGGACCAAGAATTAATAGAACACCTTTTCACAAAAACAAACCTGAAAGTCCAAATCATTAATTAAGGATTCACTAATTTTTGATTTTTTAATAACTTGTTTTGGTGGCGCAATTGGAGTTTTAAAAAGAGAAGAACTTTGATCAGTATGGTCATCAGAAAATATTTCGAATCTGTCAATTTTTGACTTCTTTGTGACACTTAAATTAATTTAGAAAATTATTTTATGACCAAAATATGAAGTTAAAATTTTCTTTTTTTTTAAAAAAATAACTTAAAATTTTGCCCACTTAAGAGAAAATTAGAATCGTTCAGGAAAAAATAAAAAGGCGAAAAATTTTTCTATACGAGGGCTATTAAGATAATTTATAAAAACAAGGCAAATTACACTAGAATTCCAAGATAAAAAGAAACACAGCGGACACTATAATTGTAGTCCAAAATTCAGGCAATCTTGGAGAATTGGGATCCCTGCGAAAAAATTCTAAAAATAAGAAAAAGGGTTTTTCTAGGGTAAAAAATAGCTATCATTTGCATATTCAAAATTCGGTTCGGGATTCGACTTTTTTTCAAAATTTGAGCTCAGATTCGTATCAGCATATTATTTTACCCTAGAAAAACCCTTTTTTCTTATTTTTTAAATTTTTTTCGCAGGAACCCCGATTCTTCGAGATTGCCAAAATTCATGGATACATATTAGACCTAACAAAAATTTTTAATAACCTCAAAACTCCAGGCGGTCCTTGAGGCAATCGTATAATCGGTGCAAAATGTAAACGTCCAATTCCTCTAAGCCTTGAAAATGTTGTTCTAGCAGACTCAACAGAATCATTAAAATCTTCATTGTCTAATGGATTTTCGGGATTTTGTTTACAAATTGACATTATATTCGATTCGAGTTCATCACTAGCTTTGTGGACTAAATCTAATGGGACAGCGTTCATTTTTAGAGCAAGTTGAAGCTTCTCGCGTGCTTTATTCCACCATTCTATAAATTAAATTTTTAAATTTAAAATAATCTATATATTGGCTAATTTCCCAGTATAAAATTTTTTGCACATGTTAAAAAATTTTCCACGCTCCCGAATTTTCCATCATTTTTAAAAGAGGGCCTGCAACTATAAAACTCTTCTGATAATATTTCAGCTAAATAATCAATATCGAGTTTTTAGCCAATCAATCAAAAAAATTTTTAAGTAAAACGGAGAAAGAATACTTACTAACTTGACCATAGAGAGAAGGGGAAAAGTCCGCAAAAAATTTTTTTTCGAAAATCCGCAAAATTTTTGCGAAAGTCCGCAAAAATTAATTTTTATATGTCAAATTCTCTACATTTTAAAAACCCCACTCGAATAAAAAACAATTTAAAAATTCAAAAAACCCTAACCAATTGACTGATACATTTCACTCCAACAAATATAAAATTTAGCCAGATTGCGACAAGATCCTTTGAGGTAAGCAAATTCCATTACAGCCAAACTACTTTCTGGAAAATTCTCGGCCAATTTAAGCCATATTTTTAATAGGCGTTCATCATTCTTGTAAATGTCCATATTGCAATAAGTAACACAAATTTTGTACAAAATTGGGTAAAAGAAGTTTCTCTTCCCGCTAGGGAAATGTTCTTCAAACCAGGCGACATAATTACACATTGAAGCTAAAGGGTCTTCTTGCTTTTCGGCTTCCAAAAGTTCTTTTTGAAATTTCTTTTCTGCTTCGTCTACGGATATCTAAAAAAATTTCTTAAGTTGAATTATTTAAATGAAACCTTAGAAATGGAACTAATCACTTTATTTAAGGTATCCCCACGTCTTCCGCCACGAAGAGGGCGAAAATTCTCAACATTATCGAACCATTGTTGATCTTCATTAAAATTAGAATTATCTAGACTCATCTTAGAAAAGAAAAAATTTAAAGAAAAAAATTTAAAAATTTCAGAAAATTTAAAGAACGAGGGAAGCCTGAAAATATTTTTAAATTTAATTTCCATCGATTTATTTTTTGGCGTTCTGACCTAATTTTTCATTTTGGATAACCTCACAAAACTCTTCATTTCACCAAAAATCTAGGGTGAAATTTAGAAATTTTCTTACCCTTCTCTTTGTTTTTTCGTAAAAAATTTTTTCTTTTTTTTCAGTGTCAGAAATGATTTCTGATGCCACCTATATTGAAATGCTTAAAAACTGCTCAAAATGGAACAGCCGAGTAATGAGTGGAAGAACACGTTCACAAACTGCTGTTTATGACCAACAGACTGGAGTAATGCATCGGTATTTTTAACCTTAATATTTTCTTTACTTATTGATTTTAGCCCTACTGAGCACCTTTTTCGAACGGCTTCTGAACGTTGTCGGTCACGGAATCCTATGCAGGTTAATTTTTTGAGCCCAAAACGGCGCGCGGCCATAACGGCGCAAAGCCATAACTTGCTGGAAAGTGTCTGGCCCGGTATGATGTTATAATGCCAAAAGCTTGTAATGCCAAAGCGTGTAATGCCAAAAGCTTATAATGCCAAAGCTTGTAATGCAAAAAGCTTGTAATGCCAAACCCCCAAAAGCTGTTGAAATGCCAAACCGTGGAAAATAGCTTGTAATGCCAAACCCCCAAAATATATTGAAATGCCAAAGCGTGGAAAAAAGCTTGAAATGCCAAATAAATACAAAACTAGAAAATTTTTTGTTATTTCTGATAAAATTTGTTGTTAAAATTTTGTTTGTTCCAACAACAAGGATGTTGTTGTTCCAATTGAATGTTCGCTGGAAAAACTCCAGGCCGGGCATGCGGGGAGGGGCCGGCACTACTGGGAATGTTGTTCAAATTGTGGGGAAAATTGTTCCAACGGTTGGGGGAGTTGTTCCGACTATAGGGAAAGTTGTTCAAATGACGGGGACGGTTGTTCCAGTGATGGGGGAAGTGTGATGTTGATCCCCCGTTGACGGACCAACTTCCCCGTTGACGGATTAACTTCCCACGTTGACGGATTAACTTCCTCCATTGACGGATCAATATCCTACGTCATTGGAACAACTACCCCCGTCGTCGGAACAACATCCCCCGTCATTGGAACAACATTGTGTTGGAATAATGTTTGGCATTTCAACATATTTTGGGGGTTTGGCATTACAAGCTATTTTCCACGGTTTGGCATTTCAACATCTTTTGGGTGTTTGGCATTACAAGCTTTTTTCCACGCTTTGGCATTTCAACAGCTTTTGGGGGTTTGGCATTTCAAGCTTTTTTCCACGCTTTGGCATTTCAACAGCTTTTGGGGGTTTGGCATTACAAGCTTTTGGCAATATAAAACGCTCCGGTCTGGCCCTTGTCAATTTTGGTACCAATCTCCCTAGCTCAATGAGAGGAATCGTTTGATACTAAATCTGGTAAGATTAAAAAATCTTGAAGCAAGTTATGGCTTTGAGCCGTTATGGCCGCGCGCCGTTTTGGGCGTGTCCCTAATTTCAATATTTTTATTCCCTCCTATTTTCTTTCATAGGTCTATGTTTATACTCCCCAACGTTGGGTCAGACCCAAAACTACACCCTCTGCTGCTGTTGAAACAAACTACTTTCTTAAAAATAATCCAACTTTGAGGGACGTTCTCAACTCTAAAGACCCAACTCAATTGTCTTTACTGTCAAATGTAGATTCAACATCGAATGATCAGGCACAACAGTTATATACCAACATGTCTGTCCGTTCGAATATGTCTTATATGGGAGGGAATGGAGGCACAAAAATTTATGTTTGTGAACTTATTTTTTATTATCAAAGAATTTTTGAGATCTTTTTTGTATTTTATTTGCTATTCCTGGCTTTTAATGAATTTTCCGCTAGCTATCCTTCAAAAAAACTTGAAAAAATTCTAAAAATAAAAATTAAGGACAATGATGTAGACCTGAACGATTATGATTTAGACGAGCCTGAATTAAACGAACAATCTGATGAAGATGATTGGGGCTCGAACAAGCCGAAACAACGAAAAAGGGGTGGCGGTGCCGTTGTTGGAGGCCGTCCTCTTCTTGGCCGTCCACCTAAAAGATTAGCGAACGCAAATGTGGGTGGTTCTGGCGGTTCTACTCCATCTGTTATGAGAATTGCAAAAAATGGAGAGCAAGTCGATTCTCCTGGTTATATGGGTTCTAGTGGTGCAACCGAGGATGGAAGATCTGTGGCCGCTCCTCCTCCAGATATTCGTCCATTTGTTTGTCAATGTTGGTTTTTATTAATTTTTTTTTCTGGGTGTTTTTGAGGTTTTTTTCTTGTTCAAAAGAGCACGAATTTAACTGACTGAGTTAAGCCAAAATAAATTTTCTGGAGTAACAAATCTGACCTTCACTCGACTTAAGCTCCGAATACCCAGCCTACCCCTCGAAATAGTCAAAAATAAAAATTTGGGTTCCACCTAGAATATCACCCCCAACTTTTTTTAAATTTAATTTTTTAAGTCTGTGGAGCCAAATACAAATCCAGACCAGGCTTAACTTATCACCGCGCCCACACTCATCAAGCAGAGATAGCAGCCACAAAAAATGATGTGCCACCAAGTCCTAGTACGCCCTTTACTAACACTTCAATTTATTAACTTTTTTTATAGTTCCCCCCTAAATACTTAAAAGAAAATATTTCTAATATTTAATATTTTTTTTGTTTTTAATGAGGCCCTTTTTTATGCTTGAGTTAAAATTTAGTAACATATTTCTATATAGCTTATTTTTGCCATTTTTTAAAAAATTGTAATAAAAACTTAAATGCAATATATTGTTTATTGTTGTTGTATTTTTTACTCTTAAATAATAAGCAGTCTTTCAATCTGACTTTTATTTTAAAATATTTTTTATTAATTTTTGTTTCTAATTTTTTTGAAAATTGTTTTTGTTTATGTTCATCACATTGACAGATTGCTTATATGAAGAGAGAAAATTTTCGACAACAAAAACAATTTTAGAAAAATTTTTTGGATCAAAAAAATTTTTTTTTGAATTTTTACTCAAGCAAAAAATTAATTGTTTAAGCATTTCTGTCAATGTTATTGAAAGGAATTTTCTAATTATCAAAAATATTTTTTTAGTGATATCTTCAAAAGTACAAGCTTCGGATTATTGTGACTTTTGTCTTGGCGATTTGACAAAAAATGCGGCTGGGAAAGCTGAGGAATTGGTTTCCTGTCATGGTTTATTTTTGACACAGTAAAAACATTTCTGTTTAATTTTCAGATTGCGGACGCTCTGGTCATCCAACTTGCCTTAAATTTACCAAAAATATGTTGATCTCTACTAAAAGGTTTTTACTGTTTGATTTTTAAAGATTAAAATTTTTAATTTTCTAAAGATATGGCTGGCAATGCATTGAATGCAAAGCCTGTAGCATTTGTGGAACTTCAGAAAATGATCATCAACTGCTTTTTTGGTATGTTGAGTAAATCGAGTAACAGGAAGTCACGGGTTGGGGAAAAGTCGAGTTGGATCCAAATTTTTTCGGACCGGGGAGGTTGGAAATTCGTGTCGGGTCAATTTTGGGGATTAAAAGGGAACAAACCGGGGGTTGGAAAATTTCCCGGATCGGGTCTTGGGTCGGGGAAAAGCCTGGAATTCGGGTAATCCTAACAAAAATAATTCTCTAAAAATAATTTTTTAGTGACGACTGTGACCGTGGCTTCCACCTTTACTGCCTAAAACCTCCATTGCAAGTGCCACCCGAAACTGATTGGAGTTGCCATTTATGTATTCAGGCGTTTGGCGTAAATGCTTCAATTAATAAATCACATTAAGAATGCTTTGTAAGATCTTTTAAACGACATAATTTTCCTAATACCTGATATTATGCATTTTTATATTAAATTTTTTCACATTTGTAATTTTTAAAAAAAATTAAAATCATGAAAATCTTATGTGAGGAGTGGTTAGGTGGCTGGTTAGGCCTTTCTTCATATCCTGCTTTCTCTCCGCCCTTTAGAGCCAAAGATATTAGTTCACATCAAGCAGAAATGGCAGATAACTTAATTAGGGTTGGGGCCTGGTTATCGAGCTTTTTTCGGGCCCAGCCCTAATCAAGCGTGTTAAAGTATACCTAATGATTTAGGATTTGGCCAGCGGAGGAGTTGATCGAGCAGTTCGCTGAATTAGGCCTGAAAAGGGCCGGATTGCGAGATTTGAAATATGTTGGACAGCGGGCCCTAACCTTAATTGATTACTCATTTCTTTTAAATCATTTTTAGTTAAAAATATTTTAATTAAATTAAAGAGATATCTTAAATAGGAAAGGATACAAAGTTTTACATATTTTAATTTACACAATTTAAATGTAATCATCATGCATCAACTGCCCATTCATTTTCCTTCTCAAAGTGTTCTACCACTTCACGCATTGCGAGATTTGGAATAAGTTGGTCGGCCGTTAATCTTAAAATAAAAAAAAAGAATTTTATGAAAAATAGGACAGCCAAAATCCTTTTCAGATATTAAAAAGAGTCTTCCCTACAAGATGTAACCCAGAATAAAAATCCTGTTATAAACCGCAGGCCACAGGGAGAAGAAAATGTGAAATCTCCCAAAAAATGAAAAAAATTCAATGAAAAATTCCCTAAAAATTCCTCCAAACCTAGGGTCCTAACAAGCATTTAAATTTCCGATTCCTACCCAAAAACCAGTCTAAAATTAAATTTTATAAATTCGTACGGAACACGTGTAACAGGATCAAAATGTCCAACTCTATGAAGATGTGTCAAAATATCATTTCTGTCATAAGTTATTCCACTTGGAGTTATCACAGGATCTCTAAGAAGTTCAAAACTAATTTTTCCACAAAGAAAGTCGGGTATTTCTCGTCTCTTTCGGCGTTCATCGACCTCAAAAAATTTTTAATTTTAAATAAAATAAAAATTAAAAATTTTACTTGGGCAAACAAATCGTTTAGTTGTGCTTTACTAGAATCTGCTTTTGTTTTGATTTCATCAATTTTGTCGTCTAATGACTCGCCGCCATTTGACGAAACCTTTAAAATATTTTACAAAAAATTATAAGGAAACTGATTTGACATTTACTAGATTCAAGGCCACTAATTTTTAGAAAGAGTTCAATTTTTTCAGAATTAATTGTTAAAACCCATAAGAAACAGCCAAATTTATAGAAGAACTTTTACATTTTAGGGGACCATAAAACTAAAAGAGCAGCCGTAAAATTTTATATTTTAACAGTTTGATGTCTATCACAAAAAATTGGGAAAACCCTTCTAAACAAGTAGATTGAAAATTATTTTCAGCTTCCTTTCAGTCTCCATTATCCATAATATGAATGTCAAGGATACTACCCCGATCAGAAGAGCTAACCCCGATCCTAAGAAAATTAAGAAACCTAACATAGTAAACATAAAGAAAGTTCTCAAACCCCGACCCGATATTTTCTTTTCCTATGACATCCTTGAAAGTGATCCTGGATTTCTCCTGAACCCAGAGTCCAGTCATTTCTTTGACCTTCCTGGGTTTTTCCTGGACTAAAGGCCCAGGATCCGGCCCAGGTCAATAAATCAAACCCAGAGTCCAGGAACATCACTAATCCCTGATTCTTACATATCCCACAAGGATTTCCTGCAAAGATTTCCCTCTTTTTTATATAAAAAACCTGTAATATATCAATTTTGTTCTTCACATCATCGTCAATTAATAAATTTAGATAACTTTGCAATTCAATTTCTTGGTTGATTCTAGCATCCTCTTCTTTTCTAAACTTTTCTCTTTTTGCCTGTCTTAATAATTGAGTAATTTCATCTCCATAAGAATGTCGTTGTTTTATTTCATATTCATGAGCTCGAGTTAATACTTTGGCTGCCTGAAAAAGTAAAAATAGAAATTGGAGTTTAAAAATTGAAAGACGCGGTATTTGGGAGTTATCGCAAACAGGCTTATGAGGACAGACAACTTAAAAACCGATTAATTTTTGAGAAAATATTGAGGATTGGAAGGGGTACTTTGTTCATATCCCGCCCCCCACCCCTATTTGAGTCTCAGATAAATTTTCCTTCTTTGCTGTCAATCATTTATTTTCCTCTTTTTAAATGCCAATAATTTTCTTCCCTCAAATATAAGACACCCAAAGAGGCGCGGGGCCATAAAGGCGCAAAGCCATAACTTGCTTCAAAATTTTCGAACCTTACCAAAATTAATATTAAACGATTCTTCTCACCGAGCTAAAGAGTTTGATACAAAAAATGACGTGTCAAAAATATTCCGGCAACATATGGCTTTGCGCCGTTATGGCCGCGCGCCCTTTTGAGCTGTACCCCCTAAACATCATAAGTTTTAACTTGCCTTTTATATTTGAGGGAAGGAAATTTTTAAAGGAGAAAAATAAATGATTGACAGCAAAGAAGGAAAATTAATCTGAGACTCAAACAGGGGTGGGGGCGAGATATGAACAAAGTACCTTGGAAGGTCTGCACCCAGGGAAGGGTCGGATTAGCGAAACCAAGACTTTTTTCGACCCTAAATCAAAAACCCGGACAGGAGAAAACTGTGAAAATCCTATCTGAATCACTACCCGATTCTTTTCTCAATCGGCCTGCCATGGCTTAATGTCGGTATAAATTTTAGATCGCACAAAAGTACCAGTTTTGGTTTTCTAGGTCGTTGAATGGGCAATCCAGGAGAATTGGGGTCCCTGCGAAAAAAAAGTTTAAAAATAAGAGAAATTATGTTTCTAGGGTACAAAAGTATGCTGATTACGAATCTGAACTCAGATTTTGAAAAAGTCGAATCCCGACCCGAATATAGGTCCTCAAATATCGAAAAACCATAGGGGGGACCAAGTTGATTTTGGGGTGGAAAATTCGAATATGCAAATTATACCTCATTCGAAAGAGCTCTTCAAGCTGAGTCGAATGACACCAAAATCACTGTGATTGAACAAGATCGGAAAAAGTTATACCACAAAAAACAAACAACGTCAACCTATGTTTTTTGTGTCATAACTTTGTCAAAACTTGTCGGATTACGTTGATTTTGATGTCATTCTACTCAGCTCGTCGAGCTCTTTCGAATGATATATAATTTGACCAATTTGCTCTCAGAAATTTTCCCCAAAATGTCAAATGTTCGAATTTCGGGTTCGAGATTCGACTTTTTCAAAATCTAAGTTCAGATTCGTAATCAGCATATTTCTTTACCCTAGAAAAATCCTTTTTCTTATTTTTAAGATTTTTTTCCGCAGGGACCCCAATTCTCCTGGATTGCCGTTGAATGGAAAACGTTGACCAACCTATTTATTTTTAAATATCAGATTGATTGTGAATAAAACCCTAACTCCCCAAATGATTTAATTGATCAAAAAAATTTATACGAGGCAGTGAATTAAAAACAAATTATTTTAAATGGCCTAAATTATACCCCAAACACCCAAAAATTTTATAAATTAAAAAAAAACCTCATCATACTGCCCCAACTGCATATAAACCTTTCCCAAATAATAATTCGCCTTAATATTCTTCCTATCCAAGTCCAATGCCTAAAATTATTTTTCTATTAAAATTAAAAAATTATCAAAAAAATAACCCTTCTACAATCCTCAGCTGCCGATTCCCACCTTTGCAAATTCAAATTACACAGAGCTCTGTTAGTAAAATATGTTGGCTCTGTAGAATCCTTTAAAAAGGAAAAAAAAATTTTTTCTGAAAAATTTTTTCAATTAAAATTTTGGCAATCCAATTTGATAAATTTATGGGAGGCAAAGAATTAAAAACCATAAATGTCCTAAATTATGCCCCAAACACCCAAAAATTTATAAAATAAAAAATAAGGAAAAATGGCTCTTTCGATATTTCTGAGGCTTCCAAGTAATTGAGTGTCCTGAGTCAGAATACTAACACTAAGTTCAGATTCTGACTCAGGAACCAGACTGTCTACTGGTAAGCCTCAAATTATCGAAAGAGCCATTTTTCCTTAATTTTTCTCAAATCTTAAGGATTGACAAAATTTCAAAAAAAACTTCACCTTAATAATAGCTCTATTATAATGTGCAAGAGCATCCTTAAAAATTAAAATTTTATTCAAAAAAATTTTTATAAATTAAAATAACCTCATATCTTCCTTGTTGATAATACTTATTGCCCTTTTCTTTGTGTTCAGATGCTTCAAGAATTAAGGACGCCATTTTATTTTTAAATTTTAATTAAAATGCTGGGAAAGGATTCAAAATTTTGATTAAATGATAAGAAAGATAAGAAGCCTAGAAAACTAGAAAAAATTCTGATATTAAAAGAAAAAAAATAAAATTGTAAAAAGATCAAAAATAAGGCCGAAAAAGAAGAAAAATACAGCTGGAAAAATAAAAAAATGAATAAAAACAGAATGCCAAAAAAATTAATTATTTATTTATTTACAGTAATACAAAACAAAAGAACGTGAAGCATTGTTAAACATTCCGCAGTATTTAACAAAAATTAATTTAGCTCGTAGTCAGCTCTACATATGTGGCCCAAAAGCCCTTAATGTCTGTTATGTGGCCCAAAAGTCCGCAAAGTTTGTCCGCAAGTTTTTCTCAAAAAGAGAATTAATGGTCAGATTTTTCCTCTTCATTCTCAACCTATTGGCATATTCAAATGAGAGTGAGAGACTAATTTATCAAAAGGATTATTTTATAAATATCTCTAATAATAACCTCTCTCTCTAATAATAGGAGCCTGACAAGGAGAAATACTTTGAAAAATAAAAGGATTTTTACCAAATAATTTTACAACATATAAAATAATTAATTTATTAGAAATATAAAATTCGATAAATTCAGTAAATATTTGAGAATAAATTTAGAGGTACATAAAAAATTAAAATTTGAATATTATTTGGATATTTTTAAAAATTATTGTTTTTGATTGAACTTCTCGGCACACTTAGTCTTGTTCCATAGGGGACATTTGAAACAGCAGAAACTAAATCTTGCGGAATATTTGTTGGCTCAATTACTGAAAAATAAATTAAAATTTGCTTTGGGAATTTATAAATTAGCTGAGAAAGTAATACTTTTAAATTATTTCTTTTACAGTCCCGGAAAAAGATAGGACCAGGGCTGTTAAATTAGCTTTTTATCGCTTATCTCTTTTTTATTGGAATTTAGGAAAAAAGTTTTAATATCAAAATTTTACTACTTTAAGCAGATATTGATTTTGGTAGCCGTATCCGGATGTTTACAGCGGATACAGGCGGATATCCGCAGGCATTTTTATTATATCTGTATCCATGTCCTAGTCTGCCTTTCAGTGCTCTTTAAAATGAGCTCTTTAAAATGAGCACTCTTCTCTTCACTCTTCTCTTTACTCTTCTCTCCTATGTTCTAGCAACAATGATCTCGAGGGTTTAGGAAGTGAGGGAGATTCGACTGTATTTGCTACAGATTTTAATTAAAAATATTATTTTTTTTCTAAATTTTTTCTTTGCCAAAATTTTTACACTGAACACCGTAAAGAAAAATTAAAGTTAAACTCTTCTTCACTCTTCTAAATTTTCACTCTTCTCTCCTATATTCTGGCAACAATGATCTCGAGGGTTTAAGAAGTGAGAGATTCGACTATATTTACCTAGATTTCAAATTAAAAAATTTTTTCCTTTCTTTCTTTTTTAATTTTTTCTTTGCCAAAAAATTAATTTTTTACACTGAACACCGTCAAGAAAAAATCAAATTTAGAAAGAAGTTAAATTAACTGTAGTCTCACCATTTATTCTTATATCGGCTGTCTCATTATCCAAAATCACTTTTAGACAACCACAGCATCCTCCCATCGTTGCTGATTTTCTCTTGTGGTTGTTCTCAGATTTTTAAATTTTTTAAATTTTTGAGAATTAATTTTTGAATTTTAATTGAATAAAGACTGAATTAATTTTGAATTAATTAAAAATAGATTTGTTTTTGTGTGTGAGTTTTGGGTTATTAATACATTGTATTAAAAAAGAATTTACCCTAGAATGTAAAGGAATGAAAAAGAAAAATTGCCATGGATACACAAAAAAGAATCTTTTTGTTTTATTACTTCCCTTAATTTTTTATGAGGAAATGAACAAAGATTGAAAAAAATAAATTAAAATTTCAAGTATTGAAGGAAATTTTTTGAAGGAAAATTTTTTTAATGAAGGAAATTTTAATACTGATTCGTCTGGGTCCTTTTCCAAGTTCCCACTCCAAGGGTGCGATCCGTACTTATTATGCAAGTACAGGACTTAAACCGAGCTTCGTACTTACAAATTGAAACTGTACTTAGTCGTAAGTACGTACTTACAAATGGGCTTTCTGGTTAAAAAATTAAATTCACCCTTAAACTTCTCAAAATTGAAACTTTTGGCCCCTTAGTTCCTTGATTTGCCTGTTCCTTGTCTTGGTATTCCTTGAGTTAAGCACCACCCTATTTCTGAATTAAGCTAGTAAATACTTAAGCTTAACATTTTCTTGATCGCAAACTTGCCTAATTAACCTAATCTACCTAGCTCAATTTATATTTGTTTTAACCACAACTAGATAAAATTATTCGAACAATAATATTCTTAACAAAAAATTTATTTTTAAATTTCAATTATTTAATTCAATCACTCTATCACATAATTCCTTCAATATTTTTGAACGTTTCTTAAGACAATTTAAATCGAGAATACTATCATGATCAACATCTTCACATTTAATCAAATTTAATCGTTTAGTTAAACAAGCCCATCCTCCATCTAACGAGCTGCCAATATAATCACTGAATTGTCAATTAGTTAAATTTATTCAACAATGGACTTTATGGTCTTGGAACTCCAATATTTTCTAGAAAATGGATTTCATCTTTTAAAAATGCAGGAGAAAGATTTTTAGAAAATTTCAGAAAATTTTTTTCAAGTTTTTTCCTAGCAGTTCAATCACATAAGAGCTTATCTCCCATTAATCCCATTTACAATAAAAAATCAAAAAATGCCAATAGAAAGTCTATTTCTGAACCAAGATTCCTTTGTTAAATCGAGCCTAAAAAAGGGACCACTCGAGAAATAAATTCGAGTGGTCCTTTAAAATCTAAAAAAATTATTAAAATGAAATTTAGAAAGCTCATCAGGGATGGACGCAATTGCGAATTGCGTAAAATTGAGCGTTTCTTTGAAATGCGGATTGTGTTTGCTGATTATAAAATTAAAACTGCGGATTAAGGCTGCGTAAAATTTTTTCAATTGCGTCCATCCCTGATGCTAATTCTTCCATAAAGAATGAGCATTCTAAAATAATCACCTAAAAACCAATTTAATTTTCTTCTCAGCTGTAAAAAGCCAAATTTCCGGAGAAAGTTCAATATTAGCAATAAATTTGTGTGTGCTTAAAAATCCTGCCAACTTTTCCGCTCCAACGGAAAGAGAATTGCACTGATGAATTGAAAAGTGATTGAAACAATCCTAAAAAGGGCCGTAGGATTTTTAACAATTTCCTGGATAAATTTACCAAAACAAATTGTTTGGCTTTTTTAGGGCATATTAATTCTTGTCCAGCAGCCCAAGAGTCGAACATTACAACTAGAGGAACTCGCAAATTTGAGAAACAATTTAAAAATTTTTTGTTCAAAATAAGAGCAATTTCATAGGCGAGAACACCTCCTAAACTGTGGCCAATTAATAATAAAGGAGTTTCTTTTGTGTAGGCTTCAATCTGAATAAAGGTGAGAATTAAAATTTGGTATTAAACTAACGCAGTCAACCTCGCTATAATCTACGCCCAATATTAGGTACAACTCAATTTAAGATCCACTAAATGCCCTACTAGAAGCTCAACCTAAATAAAAGCTGGGCTTCTTTAAGAACGCCTATGAGGCTCACCTAAAAATAAAAGCCCAAGAGGCTTCTATAAGAATGTTTGCGGTATGTTTTTATGCCCTTCGGTTGGAGGGAGATATCAACGATAAAAACGAGTCCTCGAGCTTTCGAACCTAAAGCTCAGACGACACTAGAATCACAACGAAAATTCAGGGAAAGTATCAATTCTGGGTAAAAAATTATTTATTCTAAATACTACATAGTCAATCTACAGGAAAAGAAATTTCCCTGGGCGTCTATTAGAATAAATTTAAATTCCATTAATAAACTGCCCAAATTCCTCACCTTTTGAGCATAATATTTAGCCAATTCCCCCAAACTTGAAGCTTTATTAATCAAAGAATCAGCTTCAAAAGCATATTGAACACCCACAACATTTGCCCACTTAGGTAAAATTCTAGCCAAATGTCGATATAAAAGAGCTGAGCCACTAATTGGATGAATACAAAAAATATTTAAGGGCTTTTGATTGTTCAAATTTTTTGTTGTTTCATTCTGAAGTGGTAAAAATAGTGGAAGAAATGTTTGGAAATTATTGGCATTTTTTTGTTTTGTTGTTTGTGTAAAGGTTGTTATAGCTAAATTTAAAAGAATTAAGTAAAATAAATTTTTTAAAAGAATAATATTAAAAAATTTAATACATCAATAATTCCAAAATTTTATTTCTATTATTAAATTTATTTTGTTTAAATTTATTATTTAATTTGAAAATAAATATAAATAATAATTAGGGTTGTTCCCTGACGAAGGGGGGGGGGAGGGGAGGGATAACTTTTAAGGGGAGACAGCGGCACGGGGGAGGGGGGGGGGACGGGGAAAATTTTTTTTTACAAAAGGAGGGAGAGATTTTCAAAAAAACTCCCAAATTCCCCGACTTTCGGAGAAGGTCAACAACACTAATAATAATTCGTCTAATAATAACAACATAACTAGGGCATGATTTCTCTCGAATAATAACTCTCGACTTTCATAGCTTTGACATAATAGATATATAATCTACATACAAAACATATCCACACTATTATAATTATTTATTGATATTATTTATTATTATATTAAATCTAATTATTCATGTATAGAGTTATGCCAAGTTATGCGAAATTATGTAGGAAGCTATGCGAAATTCTGTGATTTTATATGTAAGGTTATGTTATTATTATTATACGAATTATTTCTATTATGCATTTTTAAATTAATAAAATAAAAAAATTCTAGAAAAATTTCCTTATAATTTCCTTATTTATGATACCAATTCAGAAGGTACGTATAAAGATGAGTCGAAATTATAGCATATCAATCCCCTTATATTTTTGTCCCCTTACATTTTTGTCCATTAATCCCTTTATATTATTTTCCAAATTTTCTTCTTTGCCTTTCTATCTTATCAAGCAAAAAGGATTAATTTTTCATATGTATAGATTGATGTCTATTTTCCAAAAAACAGAACGTTGCAGTTATACAACAAGGACTCTTATATGAAACGATCCTTGTGTCAGTGTGAAATTTAATCCTTTTTTTTGTATTAAACCATATACATAGCAGAACAGCCCAAAATTTATTCCCCAATTTTATTCCCTAAATTTATTACCTTCCAATTTATTTGAAGTCCCTTCCTCATTTTCTTCTAAATTTTTATTTTTCCTTTTTTGGTCAAAATATTCACTTTCTTCTTTATTTTTAATTATTTTCCAAATTTCTTCAACAAAATCACCAATTTTTGGATATTTAAATATTAATTCAATGCTTAATTGGCCATAAGAAATATTTAATTGTTTCGACAATTCCCAACTTATTTGTGCCGCTTGGATTGAATTTCCGCCCGATAGAATAAAATTTTTTTCTCCTAATGCCTCTCCCGAGGCAAAAGGCATATAATCGTTCCAAGTCTGAAAAGAATTTTTTTAGAAATATTTTTTTAGTTTTTAAAAGTTTAAAAGAAACAGAGCTTATTGTCAGATCAAACAAACGGAGGACTGACACGTTCTTCCGTTCTTATTTATCCTTGTTTGGATTTCCAATATTTCTCCAAATCCAGAAACAAAAAATACCTTAACAACAATCTCATGTAACTAACATAAGTAAACAAAAATTTAAAATTTGGGGAAATCTAAGGTGACTAGACATCATGGGAATTTTCAAAAAATTTTTTGATATTTTTGGAAAAATATTGGGCAACCCAAACGAGAACAAAAAAGAACGGAGTATATAAAATGTCGTTAAACTAGAGTTGCGCGAGATCGAGATTTTAGAAAAAATCCGAGACCGAGATATCGATCTCGCGCAACTCTACGTTAAACTAAGCAAAACTAGGACATTTTGTATAAGAACGTGTTGTTCTGCTGATTTTACAACACTCACATGACAGAGACATTTCAGTCAATTACTTACTTCTTCGTACGTATACATATTTTTTAGTGAAATGTAAATCGTAAACATGTTTACGAAGAAAAACCATGTCTCATGTTAACAACATGCCCGCCCAACCTTCTAAGTACAACAACAGCCCCCAGCCACAACCTTCTCTTTAAGTTCTGTTCTGTTTTAGTAAACGTTAAGGACGACTTAAAGGAAGGGAGACCGCCCAACCTTCTAAGTACAACAACAGACGCCCCCAGCCACAACACCTTCTCCTCTTTCAGTTCTGTTCTGGTTAGTAGACGTTAAGGACGTTAAAAGAAGGGGAGAAGGGCGTGGCTTTCTGTTTCTGATAAAAAAATGTTTTGTTTTTTTATTCTGGTTATAGTCAACGACTATTATGTTCTGTTCAATAGCCATCGATCTCCCGCTTCGAAATCCAAAAAATAAAAAAACACCTTAACAACAATTTCAGTCAGTTTCTCCTTTGTTAGCCCTCCACCTTTTAATTTAACATTTAAATTTTCTTGCTTCACCTCTACAATCTTATTCTCTCCATCTACAGTAACCCTTTCATTTCCTTTATTTTTTGTGGATAAATTGAAAGGGACTAGCATTTCTTCTTTTGAGGGATTTCTTTCTAAATAATCAAAATTGTAACCAGGCATTTTATTATCCCATTCTTCGTTGTAAGAGTTGAATAATAAGTTGAAGTTGACTGAGTAACCATTCTAAATATTAAAAAATATTTTTAAAAATTAATTGGGAATATTTTTGGAAGAAACAGTTGATTTTCTAATATCCTTTTTATTAAACAAAATTTTCAAAATTAAATTTAAAATTATTTGCTGTAAGGATTGGGGTTATTAGGTACTTGTGTAAAGCATTTAGCTATTTACTTCCTGAGGCAGTAGGCGGCGTGGTGTAATGGCTAACACATCAGTCGGTCTACTGAAGATGCTAGTTTGCTCCCAGCCGCCGATTAACCTTTTGCACTAGCTAAAGGAGATAAATAGCTATAGCCCAGCTGCTTTACTCTTGTTAGCTTTAGGCATTCATCTTTTCAAGTTTAGGTTCAGGCAGGCATTCCTGCAACTTCTGGCAGTTATTGATAGGCGCTTTCGCTTAGCGAGCGAAAGATCTACCTTTTGAGCTCCTTTCACCTACTCTTATAAGCTAAACCCCCGCCTAGTACCAACTGGATCCTCGGTTTTGTTTACATTGATCCAAGAAGATTACCCTCTCTTTCCCAAGAAAAAACGAAAGGGAAAATGAACCCGAGCTTCATTAAAGCTGATAATTTATTAATTTTATACCTGCCAAATTTGGGCTATTGCCTTCAACAATTGTGGCGGCTCTTCATCAATTTCTCCAGTAAATCTTTTTTCTCTTTCAATTGTGTTTATAACTTTAATCTTTTTATTTGAATTAATTTCCAAGTCATCCTCAGTTTCTTTTAATAATTGAGGTAAAATGCCAGGCGGGCCAATTTCTAATAGGAGAGAAGTACGAGGATAGTCACGCAATAAGCTTGAAATAAAGAAGATTTTTGTGAAAATTTAATTGTAGTGTAAAAGAACCTAAACCTTTTGGATATTTTAAAAATCCAAAAAAAATTTTTTTTTGAATTTTTTCTAATTTTTTTGTACAAATTGTTTTTGAAAAAAATTTTTGTAAACCTGTTATAAACAATTTTTTGGGGCTTTTTGAAAATTTTTGAAAATTTTTTTATAAAAATTTTTTTAATTCCCTTCTTGCTCATTTTCGAGTTTTCATTTTTCTAGAAAAAAATTTTTTTTTTAATTTTAGGAATTTTTAAATTTTTTTGAAAATTTCTTATAAATTTTGAAATTCTTTAATTTAATTATAATTAAAAAAAATTTCCCTCACGTTTGAAAACACAAATCAAGCCTCACAGGTTCAGACAATTGTCTAGTTAAATATTCGGGAATATCCAAATCCCTTAATTTCTTCCCATCCAAATTTGAAAGAACAATTCCTTCCAATAATTTTCTTTTTTTATTAAATAATTTCAACAGATAAAATTTAAATTCTTCAAGTATAGGGGCCATAAATTCTTTGGAATGATATCCAAAATTTATTTTTTCCAAAATTTTTGTTGAAATAATTTTTTGATTGTTCTCCTCTTTGTATGCTTGATTTGCTAATTTTTCGATAGCTGAGGGCTTTCCAACATAAACAGAAATTGAAGAAGAGAGACGAGCAGATAAATAAACTTGGTGAGGGAGTTTTAGCTGCTAAATAAATGGATGTGATTAAAAACTGAAAGAGTTCGAACTTTCAAACTGCCGGGTCCGGTTTCCGGGTTCGAACTCTAATAAGTATTCTAATTAAAAATTTAAAAGAGGGGCTTTATGGAAGACCGGAAGACCGGAAACTAATTTTTAGAAAAAAATTTTGACGGAAATTTTTTTGGTTCTTTTTATTTTTAATTAATCCCGGAACTTCTATCAAATCAGGTTTTCCAATAATTCTATCATAAATTTAATTTTGTAAAAAATTTTCGAGGAGATTAGAAAATGAGTAGCAGAGCCTGGTCGGAATTCCGATTTCCGACTTTTCTTTCCAATTTCTAAAAAAAATCTTGATTTCCGAGTTTCGACTTTTGAGCTAGTTCCGATTTCCGGCTCTCCCGATTTCCGACACCTCTGACTGTTCCGACCCACCTCTGATAAAGAGGTGGGTCTCTGATTAGGACACAACATCTGTGATTAGCCTTAAAACTAAATTAACGTCATTGCTCCTTTGCTAATCCTTTTAGCTTTTTATTGTTAGATGAGGGGGAATAAATAGAATATTTAATTTTTCTCACCAAATTTAGATTTTGACTCTTTTCCTGTTTAATCATCACCATCTTTGCAGGCTCCGTCCTTTCTATCAACTCTCCCCTCTTCCATAATAATTTCATTCCTTCATTTTTATTAAATGCCCCAGCAGCACAGAGTGCAGAAAGCTCTCCAAAACTGTGTCCAAAAAATATAATTGGGGCAGATTTAATTTTAAAATTGCAAATTTCTGACAGAAAAATCCACAAAGATTGGTAAATTGCAAAAAGAGCGCATTGAATGAGTGAGGGGGAAGGGGAAAGATTTTTCTCCTCTTTATTTTCATCCATTAAATAATTAATAAGTTGTTGAACATGTTTTTCATTATTCCCGAGTTGTTTGCAGATATCAACAAGTTTGGTATTTAATGAGGGAAATAGAGAACGTTCGGTTTTAAACATACCGGGAAATTGAACTAAAATAGAAGAGAAAAGTCAGAATTAAGTATGAAAATTCTGATTTTAATATAATTCTGAAAAAATTCTAATTTTTTTCAAAAAAATTCCGATTTTCTGAAAATTTTGATTTAAGAAATTCTGATTTTTTGAAAAATTCTGATTAAAAAAATTGTGATTTTTTCAGAAAAATTCTGATTTCTGAAAAAATTCTTATTTTCTGAAAAATTCTGATTTCTGAAAAATTCTGATTTCTGAAAAATTCTGATTTTCTGAAAAATTCTGATTTTAATAAAATTCTGAAAAATTCTGATTTCAATAGATTCTGATTTGAATTACAAAAACAATTCAATTGAAGAATTAACCCCTGTTAGATTTCTAGACTCAAACGTACTCTATTGCGTATCTCTAAAAGTCAAATGGCAGACACGAGTAGAATAACCTACTCTGTGCTCTCTAACAATAATCATTTCTTTTAATTTTTTTCTTTGATTTTTAAAATTTATCTTTTATTTTAATTACTTTATTAAACTAATTAATTTTTTTAAACTCTGAAAAATATTTTTTAATTAATTAAAACTCGCCTCCTTGTGGGCTAAAAAACACAGCCAAATTTTCCTCATTATTACCAGAATTTTCTACTATATCTTCATTATTGGCTATCCTAATTAATCCGTTAGTTAATTCATTTAAATTTCTAGCCAACACAAAAGCTCTAAAGCGTTGATGATTTTCACGACGGGAAAGGAGGGTGTTGGATATTTTATCCAATTCTGGATTTTTCTGAAAAAATTTTTTTTAATTTAAAAAAAAATTTTTTCGTGCCTCTCTAATATATTCTGCCAAATTCGAAGCGAATCCACGCAAAGAATTTTTTGATTCTGCAGAAAAGGGGAAAAGGCGGCACCGAGTAGCTTCATTGTTAAATAAGCCTTTATTAATCTCTGAGGCTTTTTTGTTGTCCTTGCTCCACTCTGAAGCAGCTTTTTTGAGTGAATTGCTTGTTAGTCCACTCATAATAATTACTGCACCATTTGTTCCTCCAATACCAAAATTACTTGATCCAAAATAAAGAGGAGCCTTAATTAAAGAAAATTGATTTCGTGGTAACGATATCATCGGGGGCATTACCACAAGTTAAAGATGTATAGTTCCCAAGTTGAGCTAATACCCAGTTTATTTGATGATAGTTCCCAAAGTGAGCTAATACCCACTTTATTCGATTCTCTATTTAATAGACCCTACTAGTGAAATGCCTCTTGATCCTGGACAGTTAAAGGGGTGATATCGGTACTTGTAACAACCGGTTTTAACAATTGTAAATATACTTGGCCTAAATGTCGTAACTCGGTAGGTAATAGGAATTATGGCCTACCTCAGGACTTGTACCATAAGAAAAAGGTTAAATAACCAAGTCATATACCCAAAAGGTTATCTCTTAGTGCCTGTAAAATCGATGGTTGGTGATCGAAATTTCGTTCTTATGATACGGGTCTTGGTTATGGGCATTAGATTAAAGGTCATTTATAAATCACAAAAAAAATTTATTACATTTATTTTTGACGGTAAAATTTCCTTTGCTTCACTTCCAGAATGTATAATCAATTGGCCATTAAAAGGATTTAGAAGATCCGCAAACAATACATCATTATTAGGTAATAGTTGCGGAGGTAATAGCCCCGTTTCTAACATTTTTAAAGGTTTGATAATTGAACAAATGCCAGAAGCAGCAAAACAATGTCCTATATTTGCCTTACACGAGCCAACAAATAAATTATTAATTTTCTCTCCTTCAGTTTTTTCCTCAAAAAACGCCTTGTGGATAGCGGAAAGTTCAATATTGTCTCCAATAGTTGTTCCAGCAGCGTGGCATTCCCAAAAGGGGATTTCATTTCTAGGAACTCCACTTTGCTCTAATGCCCGTTCGATAACTGCTTGTTGCCCTTCTATACTCGGAGACATAAAATTGGGCTTTCTGCCAGCATCGTTATTTATAGCTACAGATTTTATAATCCCTAGAACTGGATCTCCTCTCAAAATTGCTTCTATAGGCTTCCCCAACACAATAACTGCACAAGCACTTCCTCTCATTAAACCGTCAGAGGTTGAGCAGAATGGCCAGCTATTTGAGGATTTTGCTAGTGGTTGACCAGGCATTGGTTGATGGCCTATTTGTCTATAATTTTAACAAAATCTTCATTACCCTTTTTAATTTTTTACTCTGGGTGAACTAAGTGAACAGCTCCAACTAGGCAAAGATCAGCCTCTCCTGTTACAAGTGCTTGTTGTGCTTGGGCAATTGCCGAAAAGGAGGAGGAACATGCAGAGTAGACATTTATTGAAGGTCCAGTTAATTCAAGAAGGTGTGAAAGCCACTAAAATTTGTTTAGGAAGCTCTATCTTATCCGCCAACAAATGACAATCTCTATCTTATTTCAGGGTTCCATCCCATCAATTCGTATTCCATTTTTGATGGGATAAGAAGGGATAAACTTTCTTCCTTTTATCTGACAGTGGGATAAGATAGACAGTGTAGACATTATTAACTCTAAAACAAAAGTTACTTGAGCACAGAATGTCTGTTGGTTACGTCTATACATGCCCAAAAGTGATCCAAGTGCCCCTTCCCGTTCATCTACTTGTTTATACTCTGGAGATGATTCCTCTGCGGCAACAAAACCTAATTTTATTTAAAATCCAAATTAATTAAATTCAACTCTAAACTAACATCCAACACGTATTTGACTTTTTCTTTCCAAATTTCCACTGTTTTCTAATGCAGTATAGCTGTGCTGTGCCAATAATCTGATTTGTGGGTCTAAACGGCGCCATTCAGTTATTGAAAGGCCGGCTTTTCCAAAAAGGTTGATGTCGAATTTTTCGATATTAGGGCAGATGCCTGATATTGGAATTATAGCTGGGTTGTTGTTTTTAAGTGTTGAAAGGCAGGAGTAGTTCTAGGAGATAAGATGAGATAAATTTAAAAATATTTTTCCTTTTTAGAAGAGAATCTGAAAAAATCAGAAAAAGGCAAACTTACATCTCTGATAGCCTCCCAAAACTCCTCCACAGATTCACAACCAGAAAAAGTTCCCGAAACACCCAAAATTGCAATATCCTTTTCTGGCCTTATCAACCTCAACCATTCATTAAATTCTTCACAATTAATTTTTTCTTCATTTCTATTTTCTTTCTCCTGAAATCTTTTAGCTACAACCCCCTCAATTATCATCAATTTATTATTTTCTTCATCCAAAATATCCACATTTCCACCAGCAAAATTGGATAACTCTTCATTATTTAATTGTGCTTTCCCAACAGAGTAAATCCTTGTCGAATTTAAATTCTCCAAAAAATTTATTTTAATTTTAGCAATTGAAATAGGCAAGAAAAAGAATCTTTTCTCCATTTGGAATAGTCCAATGGCCAAACTTTGTAACCCAAATTCTATCAATTTCCATATGTGTTGTTTATTATTGGATAAATCATTTTTTAACTTAGCCTTTACGAAGCAAATTTTTTTTGTTTCTTAAATTAGTAAATTAAATTCTTGATAAAGCAGCAGAACCTCATTTCCGATACCCACAAAATTAGATACTCTCCTCAATTTACTAATTTTTTTTAAATTTGGTGGTCACTGGATTTGGGGTTGCCAGATCCTATGAACTCCCCGGATATCCGGATCCGATACGAGAATTTCCGATATCCAAAATTTTTTCGGATCCGTCAACATTCACTGGATATGGGGAGCTTTATAAGCGATACCCACAATTTAAGTTACCCCGCATTATAAGGGACTATTTCTCCCTCAAGGGAGTCTCTAAAAACGAGGTTCGAATGTTTATTAACTTTCGAGTTCATTCTCTTCAAAAACTTTTGCTTCTTTCATTAATGCCATTTTTGGACCATACTCCATTCCTATTTTCTTTAAACTACTGTAAAATTCATTGACATCAACAGTTGTTTTTTGTTCCTCATTAAAATTAAAGTTAAAATTCGTGTCATTCCACCTTATTTTCCTACAAAAATTTATTCTAATGAAAATTTAATAAAATTGAAAGCAGAGTGCGTCGAATCCGATCGAGTTCGAGTATTTGGGCTTGATCGCGGTTCTCTTGGTGGCAAACTCGGTCTCGGTCTTTTCTAGAGCTCGATGATTCTCGAGCTCAAATTTTCTAAAAAAGGTTACTCGACGTACTCTGATTGAAAGATAACCCTTCTTACCTTCTATCAGATTTTTCCAACATTATTTGACAAGAGGAAAAGCTCTGTGATCCTTCTTCCTCCCCCATACTTAATAATTCCATAAATAAATTTTGGAATTTATTTTCTTCTTTTTCATTTATTTTGGTATTTTTACAAATTATTTTAGCATTTTCCCAGTCATTTAAAAACATTTTTTTATTAAATTTAACTTCTTCAATTAATAAACTTGTTTTCTCAATATCCAAATTTAAGCTTTTTAAACGCTCGATAAATTGTTGTATTTGCAGAGCTGCTGGTACTAAAGGTTCTCCAAACATCAAATGATTTTTGGAAAATTCTAAAATTTCTTCCAAAATTCTGTTTTCGTCTTCTAATCTTAATTCTGGATTTTTTCTTTTATTTTCAGTTGAAATTGGCCTGGCAGACTTCTCTCTAACTCCGCTTCCCTCATTTTCCTCCAGCCGTTTATTTAAATATTCCCCCAATTTTTCAACATTTCCTCGCTCGAAAAGGTCAATAATATTTATTTTTAGCCCAAATCTCTCCAATCTTTCATTTAAATCGCTTGTTAATTGATAAAGTCGTAAGGAGTCTAATCCCATTTCCATAAACCCCAAAGACTTAAAATTCGAATTTTGAACAAATTCGAGGATTTTGTCTTCATTATTGTCATAATTCACAATTTTTAGTTGTTCTCGAATGGATGACGTTATTATTTCCTCAAAATTGGGAATTTTGGGGTTGTTTAAATTTTTAAATTTTTGAGAATCTCTACTGTCTTCCTCAACTTTCTTAAAAAAAATCTTGTTTTCCTCTTCATTCTTCTCCTCAAAATCTTCCCCAAACTCTTCAAAGCGTTTATATAAAGCTTCAAATTTCTCTTTCATCTTCTCCCAATCAAACCTTCCTATCATTAATTGTGTAGGTTTATATCTCAAAGCGATTTCAAAGCAATCCAAAGCCAATTCTGTTGAAAGGCCTGAAAGGCCTAGCCAGCCAAGTATTTCGTTAGTTCCAGGCTTACGGGCTGCCATACCGACCTTTAGGAAAAAATTTTTAACATTTGTTTTTTAAAGTTTTCTGTCTGCAGGGAACAGAGGATTATCTGAAGAAATATAGGAGGTTGTCTGTATGGAAGTATGGAACAGATAATAGTCGAAAGGAACATAAAAGATTGTCTGTAGGGAACAATGAGGTTTTTTTAAACGTTTCAGGGTCCTAAACTATCCTCACATCATTCTTTCCTTCCAAAATCTTTTTTTAATTTCTCAAATATTTTCTCCATACCTCCAACCAATTAGCCCAATTCAAAACTGTTCCAGAAAGTCCATTTCTTCTTCTCTTACGAATTAGAGCATCACAAAAAGCATTAGAAGCCGCATAGGCACTTTGCCCGTGATTTGGATGCAAAGAAGTTAGAGAAGAATTAATCAGAAAATGGACAGGATTTAAATTGTATAGGCTTAAAAAATAAACATTTTATTAAAAAAGTTTTATTTTAATGCCTCAAAAGAGAATCTATTAAAAGAGCGCCTTCAGCTTTAGGTCCAACAACTTTAGCTAGGGAAGAGGATTCCATAGCAGCTATTGGAGCATTAATCAAAACACCAGCAGAATGTATAATTCCATTTAATTGCTGCATTTCTGGCCTTCAAAAAAATTTTTTTGAAGTAACTTAAAAAAGTATTCCTGGAAGAGGGGGGGGGTTGTCCTTCTTCCTGCTCAGACCTGGGCGAAACACCAATTTTTTTCGGACGAAACGAAACGTCTGTTCCTGATTTCCCACGTTCTGTTCTTGATTTCTGGAATAGGGACAATTTATTCATAGACAATTCACCGAAAATAATATTTGCATCAGGTTTTTGGGAATCAGGAATTCTCGAGATGAAATTTTAATTTCCGGTTATGGAAATTTTCAGAATCTTGACGACAAGATACTTTGCCTATACACAATTACTAAACCAAAGACAGTAAAACTGATTAATGCTCAAAATTCCTTACATTTCAAATATTTCTTTCATCATTTTAACATCTGTAACATCACACAGTTTAAGTTCAATACGGCATTGTTCGTTCATTTGTTTAAAATATTGCCAAAATATATCTGTATCATTTGGTCTAGTCCGTGCCAACAAAATTAAACAAGTTAATGAAGGAAAGTGTTTAGTTAACCAGTTGGCTATCTAATTGTTTAAAATTATTTAATTAACAAATAAGAACTTTTTATGGAAGTTCCATCCTTCTTATACATGCTAGCCAGATCTTTCAGCCAGGCATCGAACCTGATTTTCCGAAAACTATAATCGGGTATCAGTGCTGGGTATTGGGCATCTGTTGGCTCCGGCTCCGGGCATTTCAATTATTGGCTCCGGCTTCGGGGATTTTATCAGGCTCCGAAGCCATACCCAGCACTGTCGGGTATCTTAAACATTAGTCTTTGTGAAGGTTATTCTTGAAGTTAAGTTTTTATTTTGATAAAGATTGCTTGATTTAAAACAGAGAAATAAAAATCCCACCTCCAATCCAATCCCTCTCGTTCCACCAGTAATAAGCCAAGTACCTCGAGGTACCCAATCATCATTCTTAACCAAATTCAATTTTCCCAAAAATTTTTTAAAATGCCATTCAGACAAATTAGAAGAGGTAAACAACTCAAAAAACTCATTTCCCATCTCAACTTGAAAATTTTGTAAAAAAGTTGTGAGGTAAGCAAAAATAGGTGGTTGATCATTCTCTTTATTTGTTATTAATTGAAATATTATTTTTATTTTAAATTTATTTATAATTAATAAAAGGGCACGGCAAAGGAGCAAAATAGCATTGGAATGTATTTTTAGTAAATTTATTTTGTCAAAAATTTTGTTGTTTTTTGAATTGAAAAGGAAGTTAAAATTAATGGTGAATGTCTGAAAATAGAAAGACTTTTTTTTGATAATTGGATTGTTGAATTTTTAAAATTCCTAAAAGTCTGGGAATCGAGAAATATTTTTTCCTTATACATATGGATGGGGTTTTTGAGCCGGGCCAACGTTCGAGTTTTTTTTCGGACCTCATTTTTATCGGGCCGCCCGACCGAGTCTTTTTCGTTCCAAAATTCAATGCCCGACTCGATTTTTCGGACCGGGCCAGATCGTGCTTCTAACCCTACTTCACACCTATAGCTTCTTCAACATCCCCAAAAAATATTTTTTAAGGAAAATCATTCAACTTGTAAGCTCCCTCAACAAAAGTTATATCTAACTAAATATTTCCCCATTGAACAAGGCTTTTCAAGCAATTTAATTTCTATTACTCAAGGGTATGATAGTAAAGGATAGTTGATTTCAAAAGGATTCTCGTTTTCTAGGATTTTTATTTTTCATTCGATTTCTATTTTTATTTTTTATGCGACAACCCTAGTTGTCGAAATTTTGGAATCCTATAATTTCGTTACTAATTGGAAGCCGCATATAAAATAATTGAGAAATTCAATAGAAAAATTCAATTTCAAATTCAATTTACCGGTAAAATTCCGTCATATGTCCCGGAAACCGATTCGGACAAATGATATGTCATTCGAAAGAGCTCAACGAGCTGAGTCGAATGACACCAAATTCAACTCGAGATCTTGATCTGTACCGAGATAAACAGGCTCAAAATGGCAACGTAAACCTATGGAGCGCAGGCGAGGCGCTTGTGCAAAACCCCGCGCTTTGCGCGGGGTTTTGCGCACGCGCCTTGCGGGGAGTCTGTGGGTATTTTCGCTGCTACGGAGGCCCCAAATACATCCAGAGCAAGGGAGATAGGAATAGGTTTATGTTACGAGCCCAGACCCAGCGCCCGTAGACTCCCCGCGAGGCGCGTGCCGCAAAACCCCGCGCGAAGCGCGGGGTTTTGCACAAGCGCCTCGCCGACGCCCCATTGGTGTAGATTTTTTGTTTTTTGTATCATAACTTTGTCAAATCTAGTTCAATCACGGTGAGTTTGGTGACATTCGACTCAGCTCGTCGAGCTCTTTCGAAAGAGGTATTATTTGTATAAAAAATTTTTTATTCCAAAAATCGCCCCTTTGGATCTGCGATTTTTAGGGGTCTATATCTCGGTCCAATCAAGTCGGATTTCGTTGATTTTGGTGTCATTCGACTCAGCTTGAGGAGCTCTTTCGAATGAGCTATCATTCGAAATATCGATTTTTTCACCCCAAAATTGAGCTTACTCCCCCCTATGGTTTTTCGATTTTGGGGGACCTATATCTCCGCCCATATGTGAGTCCCCCAGCTAATTTTGGTGTCGTTCGACTCAGCTCGTTGAGCTCTTTCGAATGACATATCATTTGTCCGAATCGGTTTCCGGGACATATGACGGAATTTTTCCAATTTACCTTATCTTTTTCCATTTTTACTACATTTTCTTGGTAAATCATTCCAAAAAGCATTTCCACATTTTCCTCAAATTTTTGATTATTTTTTATATTTTTCATATCTATTGAATGTCTTATTTCCCCTCCATCCATTCTTTTAATTTTAAAAATAATTTCAAAATTATTTTTATTTAAAATTTCAATCCAAACATTTGTATCTTTATTATAATGCTTCTTTTCCGTTTTAAATTCTTCTACAGTAAAAATACATTCTCTAGCAAGTTCAGAATTTTGGGTTTCTTCTTTAAAGACAGGAAGGTATCTTTCAAAGTTTTCTTCATTTTCTTCCGCCTCTTCTTCATCTTCCGTCTCATATCCATCTTCCTCTTCAAAGTTTTCTTCTTTATCTTCATTTTCATTCTGCGTTTCTTCATCTATGTTTTCCTCATTGCAATCTTCAGACTTCTGTTCCTCTTCGAGTTGCCCATCTTCTTCATCTTCTTCTTGTTCCTCCTTCTCTCTTTCTTCATTTTTATCAACATCTCCGTCACTTCCCCATTCCTTTTCTTCCTCATATTCTTTATTATCGTCCTCATTCTCATCATTTTCGTCTTCTTTAAACTCCTCCTCTTCAGTATCATCTTCTTCATTTTCTTCTCCTTCTTCGGTATCCTCATTATCTTCTTCTTCCTCCACTTCACTGTCTTCCTCTTCGCCCTCCTCCTCATTTTCCAATTTTTGGCTAACCAACTCAACCAACTCTCTCGCCCTTCCAATCATAAAAACATCCGCCGGAGTTATTCCAATGTTTCCATTAATTTCAAATGTTTGATTCAACGCCTGTGCCAGAGCCATTAAAGAAAGAGAATCTAATCCTAATTGTGTCAATCCCATATCTATCCAATTTAATGGCAATTGAGCTGATGGAAGTGCAGAAATCAAAATTTGTTCAATTTTTTCGGTTAATTCCACTAATTTTTGTTTTGCCGATTTTTGAAGATTAATGGAAGGGTTTCTCTTCTAGAAAATTTTAATCTTATTATTTCAACAAAAGACAATTATTTGTTATGTCGGGACAAAACACCGTCCTACCAAAACACTATCCACAAATTGAGTAACAAAGAAATCTTGAAATAAAATTCCTAGGCATAGGAGCTAACCAAAACTAAATAGCCATAGGCCCTAAAGATATTGAGGCAACATTATTCGACATAATGTATATGCTCAAATAATTACCCTGGGTAATTATTGTTTCGACCTCTCGCTGGAGGAAGTAATTAATCGGGAGGATAGGCTAAATTTGGGGTATATCTCAATAAATCGAAGAGGAAATCCATTTATTTTTTGATATTGATTCTTATAATGTTTCAGTAATTAAAAATGAACAATGATTTTTTCAATATTTTTAAAATTAGAGAAGAAAAGGGAGGGGTAATTATTAAAGAGGGTAGTTATTTGAGCATTTACGGTAAACCTAATTTATTAAAAGAAATTTTTTATAGATCCGGACGGCATTTTGTTTTTTTTGCCCCATACCCGTTTTTCACTTACATTCTTGCCTTTAATTGATGGCACGGGATTATTTTCAAATTTATCTTGATTATTCTTCTTGTTAATTTTAAAATAAATAATTAACAAAAGTTGACTGTTTTTATCATAAACCTTTGCCATTTTATAATTATTTTTGTTGTAAAATCGCAAAAAATATTTGCCATTGCTTCAATTTTGAATTTTTAAATTTATTTTTTTTCTAAATTTAATTTACCTTTTAATTCTATTTTCTTTTATTATTTCATTAAATATTTCAATTTTCTTAATTTTATCAATTTGATTTAAATAACCAAAATATTGAGATACCTTAAATTTTTTAAAGTTTAATAATTGAAAAATCAATAGATAGAATTTTGAAAAGCTTGAGGCCAGACTCGGTAATGGATATGGATAATATCCGGATATCAGTGGATATGTCATGATAAGGATAACAAAATATGTGTCCATGCTTGAGACCACAAATTGAATTTTTTCTGGACCAGACTTGAAATTATTTTTTCATGCTAGGAATAGGTTGGCAGTTTGATAGAGAAATCCAAAGTCTATGGATAAATATAAATCAATTTTGTCAGGTGTAAGCTAAGGTTGTCCACGATCGGTCAACCGAAAACCGGGGGTCGAAAACGGGCAAATCCGAAAACCGGAGGTATCGGTTAATACCCGGTTGTGCACAGCCCTAATGTAAACCTTTACTTAGCCTCCAAATCCCCCAAAAGACACTTACTTCAAACAAAACATTCTCCACAAATTTTGGACTAAATAATAAAAATTCCTTCTCAACTTCGTCACAATTTAAACATTCTTCTTTTAAAAATTTATCTTCTTTATTTAAATTTAAATTTTTTTCAATTTCTTTTATTTTTGCCAAACAAATTAATTTTTTCTTTTTATTTTTTTCTTCTCCAAATATTTTTATTTTTTTGGAATTTAAAATTTCTGTAATTATCCATTGCTTTTCTTTTTTATTTAAAAATTCGTTAAGACAAATTTCTTCAATTTGGATTGAGAAACATTCCAATTTTAAATTTAGATAGCCTATAGCTGTTAATAATTCAATTAATAACCCGACAAGGTGACAGTCCTTTGAAGAGTTTTTTGATGGCTGGAAAAATATTTTTTTGATAATTTATTTTTGGGGTTTGGGAGGTATTAAGACTAGAGACCATATTTGAGGAAAGATACTCGAAGATTCGCTTTATTAACTAATTATCCCTTTACTCACATCCAGCAATAACTTAAAAATGCTGAAAGTATTGGAACTAAGAAGAATCAGAAATTCGAACACATAAAAATAGGGAAAAATTGGAATTCCGATTCACATCTGTTCCATTCACTTATTAGCACCTTAAACAGAGTGGGGTCGGAATTTCCAATTTGGAATTTAGAATCCGGGATTTAAGTTCCAATGTTCTCACACCTACATATCTCCGAGTCCCGACAAATGGCCAATTCCTATTTCCGACTCTTCTGATTTCCGAAACCGGCTGTTCCGGCCTTGCTTCTCTTAAAGTAGGAGTAAAATAAAGTAAAGCAGCTGGGGGGCTCTAGCTATTTCTCTCTTTTAACTAGTGCAAAAGGTTATTCGGCGGCTGGGAGCGAACCAGCATCTTCAGTAGACCACGCCGCCTACTGCACAGCCTTAAGAAATGATTAGCTTACAATAATTTTCTTTTAATTCCATTCCTATAATTTAAAAAAAAATTTTTACATTAAAAATCAGCCAAGGCATTCTTTTCTCACACAAAAGAGATTCAAATTTAACAAAATCATTCCCTCGATTAACACAATTTCCCAAAAGAGGATGGCATCCATTATCCTTATTTAATTCAAAATCATCTTTTAAAGTCCAAAAACGTTTTTGTCGGTCAAACGAATATTTTGGTAAATTAATTAAATTTAATAGAGGCAAGTATTTTGTTGGGATTTGGTAAATTTTTGGCCAATTTATTTCTTTTCCAATACAAAAACTGAAAGCTATTAAGTGTTGTAGATCTGAGGGGGTTTCTATTGAGGCAAATGAATATGCTGGATTTGATTGGGTTGGCCCAATAATTAATTTGTTTGATGAAGCTGATGGTCTGTTGGTTTGTTTGGTGGTTGCTATAAAAAATAAATTACTGTAGACCTAGTTATTAGATACCCCTCTCTATTAATGCGACTCAAAATTTTTACATTTTGATTTGCCACTGAGAAGAGCCACTGAGAACCTAAAGTAAAATCTCTAATAGAATGCCCCCATCCAACATAATGTCCCTTTGGAAAGTGAATGCAAAAAAGAATGCCCGGGCATTCAACTAGGGACTCTGTGGTACTCTCTATTTAAGATATCCCTCAATATGATATATCAATTTTTACCACTAATGGGAATATCTTATAGTGAAATCCAACTGAAATTATGCTGGACCAAAGCTAGCCGAGATAAAATTTTTTAAAAGAAATCCGCAAATATTTGCGGACACTACAATTTAAAATTAAAACCAATTTTTAAATATCCTACCATATTCCTCTTCAATATTACTCTTCTTTTTAATTTCCTCAATACACTTAATAATTTTATCTCTTGTCAATTCATTTTCTTCTTTCGCCCAAATTAATTTTCTAAATAAGTTAATTGCCAAATTATTATTTTTATTAATTATCTCATCTTCTTCTTTAATTATTCCAAATTCTTTTAACATCTTAAAACGTCCAAAAGCATCAACCAATTTAATTATAGAAGGATTATTAATTTCTTTTAATTGTTTATTTATTCCCAATTTATTTAGAATTAATTCTAAAGCTTCCTTGTAGGCTGGCACTTGCTCATACAATGTCCAAGCAATTTTAGGCCATAAACCAAGACGATAATTGATGGATGTGAGGGCGTCCTGATAAAATTATTTTGACTATCTTAGTGGATTTTTAGAAAGAAAATTAGGGAAAATATTTGGGAAAATCCGCAAATAATTTGCGGACACTAACACTTGTCCGCAAATTTTTTGCAGACAAAAAATTGAGAGATAATTGCCCTTAATAGGCAGTAAACTTAATATTTGCGTGAAATCATCTATAACAATTTCTAAAAATTTTAAAGACCTTTCTGACAATAATAGGTTCCTCCTCCAATACTTCACTAGACCCATCCACTTCTGGAAGGATTATAACAGCTCTCACATTCAAGGGAGGGTTTTTAACATTTTTCCCTCTTAAATAACTTGCTGCCACACAAATTTTATTAAAATTCCATTCCTTTTCATTCTTCAAAAATTTTAAATATTTTTCCAAAAATTTTTTCATTGAATTTTCTGAATGAGCGGATAAGGGTAATATTCTCTGCCATTTATTAGAGCAATGCTGATTTAGTTGATAATGTAATTGTTGAATTTGTTTTGTTTTTATTGACCGATCTAATGAAATAATAGCACAAGCAATTGTTCCAGACACTCCAAAGGAGCTTACACCGGTTAGCAGTGTGTGCTTGAAAGGAAATTTTTAATGTTTGATGGGATGAAATGCCCTCTTATTGAAAGAAATATCCTTTTAATTAGAGTTTCCGACAGAGAGAAGTTCCTGGGAATTCTCGAGGGAGGGAAGGTCCTCTGACTAGTGTTCACTTCCCAACGACTCTCTCGAATACTCGTCCCCATACAACCATATTTTTTCTACATTTTAACACATATAGGTTCAGTAAAGCCTCTACCCCAAACAAAATCCTTACTTTATCTTCTCCTTCATTCAATATTCTACCAGATCTTTTAACAGCTAGGCGAACAGGCCAATTATCATCCTCATAAATTCCCCATCCATTAGCCTCCATTCCTCGAACAATTTCAGGATTCATTCTTTTAAAATTAGGTAAAGGAGGCATTTCAGCATTTCTTAATTGTAGCACAGCCTAAAAATTTTATAAATTTTTCAGAAAAATTTCTTCCCTTGCCTTCATAACCCCTACAAGACCAGAAGCTGCCTCCGTATGCCCAATATTTGCTTTTGCAGTCCCAAGCCAGACACCTTTAGTCAATCCACAAGAATTTAAAGACTTGGCCAACGCTAAGAACTCCACAGGATCGCCAAGTGCCGTTCCAGTCCCATGGCACTCCCAACAGCGAAGAGAGCGTCTCTTTTCTATATTGAGTTGTTCAAGGCATCTAGCAAGTAATTGTTGTTGAGATAAGCCGTTTGGAGCAGTCAAGGCTGCGCTACGGCCATCATGTCCACATTCAACTGCCTTTAAAATTTCAATTCGACTGAGCTTTAACTAACAAAAAATTGCCTCAATAACCCCCCAATGAGGCTTTCTCTCCAAATTTTCTAACGGAACACCTTCTATCATCATTACAACACACCCATCAGATCGTCCATATCCATTAGCATCGATATCAAAAACTCGGCAGCAACCGTCTTCTGATAACATTCCAGCGTTTGCACGTTGTGCTAATTAAATATGACCATAATTATTGCCTAAAAAGTTACCCAATCCCTTAGCTGTAAGGGTTAAATTAACTCCTCCAACTATAGCTCTTGGACATCGCCCAGTTCTAATTGCTTCTACTGCCAATTGTAAAGCTACAAGTGAGCTAGAACAGGCAGTGTCTATAGAAAGTGTAGGGCCTCTAGAATTTGAAGAAAATTTGAAGAAATTCTCCAAAAAATTGCCTGCAATCCAAAAAATGGGCCAAACGTCCAGAAAATGCGGATGCCGACGTTCCCAACATTTGAAGCGCGTTGCCTTGTTGTTCAGATAAATCTGGGTATTCATTACTCATAAATCCAATAAAAACTCCACATTGTTCCAAGTCCTTTGGGGAATTACAGCCTGCCTGTTCTACACATTCCCAGGCACATTCTAGCAAAAGGCGTTGTTGAGGGTCTAATGCCGCTGCTTCCAGGGCTGAGAGGCCGAAGAAATTGGCATCGAAACGGGCCAAATCAAAATTAAGAAAATGGCCACCCTCAACTATAAAATTTGTAAATTTTTCTGGAAAGTCCGCAAATATTGTCTGCAACATCAAATATGATTTGCGGACACAACTTGCAGACAAACATTGAATTTAGTTGTCCTTATAATTAGAATATTTTTACCTGGAACATTTCCTCCATTAAATTCCCCTCGAATAAGGAAATTCCTTTCAGCTATTCGAGTGGCTGGTATTCGTTGATTAGTAGATCTACCCTCCTTGAGTAATGCCCAAAACTGATCTGGAGAGCTGATGTTACCCGGCAGTCGGCAAGCAATTGAACTTATTACAACTTCAATGTCTTTGTTCTTAAGTTAGAATTTTTTTCTGTTAAATTTGGACCTTTCTTTGATTCAGTTTACCCTAGCTACTTTGTCCTTGAGGATTTACTGGGGTTATCTCCTCCATTAAAAGTAGATCTACCTTCCTTGAGTAAAGGTAGATCATCTATTTTAAGTAGAGTTAGGACAGAGACTTGATCCTGATCGAAAATCTCGGTTATCGAGATATAGAATTTTTCAAGATCTCGATTCTCTTACGATAAAATTTTTCGAGATTTGACGAGATTTATCGGGATAATCTCGATTATCGAGATCTCAATTCATCTCCCAGTTCCGTCTCTAATTTTAATTTTAATCTGCATGAAATTTTATGTGTGACTCCGTTCCTAAATAATAATTAACGTCACGGCACGTAACAGATATAGAAACATGTATCTACCGTGACATACCTCCCCCTTTCGACCCTTTAGGATACAATCCTACCCACAGAGAGCTCATAAAAGCTCATTTTTAGCATTAAATTAACTTACATCCGAATCAAAATTATTATTAATTTTCATTTCAATCATATCAATTTCTCCAACATCCAGCTTTATAAAAAGCAAATCTTCTCCAAACATCAAAATCTCTTCTACATTATTCTTTCCCTTCGTTTCAATCCAAAAATTTCCTCTAGCCATTCCTTCATCCAATTTAATTGAAAAATGCATTTTCAAATCCTTTTCATCTTCCAACTCATTCTTTAACAATTTCGGGCCAATATAAAGCTTTCCAATTGAAAAAGGGACTAGAAGGTGTTGTTGATGGTGTTTTTCTTTTTTCTGAATTTTTTCAGTATTCATTTTTGTTTTTCTTACATGTGTTTAGGCGCGATAATGCTTAGGCGAGCGCTTATACGTGGCTGAAGAATTGTAGCTAAAATCTTTAAATTCTGCAAAGATTTTTTTAAATAATCTTGGCTAATTCTCTCTTTCAATTTCAGAATTTTAAATTAATTATTTCTCAAGTTCTGATAAAAAAATTACCAAAATCAACGAAATCTCCCCTAAAATTCAATGTTTTCACCTATATTTTCAGAAATTCTGAACCAAAAATTCTGAAATTTTAACACAAGCTAAATAAATGTATTAATGATGTTAGTGCAAAATTTCACAAATTTAGGTCTTCTACAAACTTTTTTATAAGAGCGCAACTAGGCTTTACCCACATACTCTCACAGACATTTGTTTAAATTGAGGAAAATTTTTTTGAATTAAAATTAATTTTTCTATTTCTAATTTCACCTTTTTTCCGTTTTCCTTCAAAAAACAATAAACCATTGCTTGCCATAAAGCATCCAATTTAATATCCAATTCCTCAACTTTCTGAATTACTTCACAACTACCCCAAGCCTTTAATTTCCCCATTTCAAAGCCTATACCATAATTAATTGACTCAACACTTTTAAATGATTTTCCAAAATTATAACCACATTCTTCAATTAAAAATTGGTAAAAATCTTTGTGATTAATAGTAAATGGAAAGGGAGGGTTTGGAGGGAGGGGAATATTTTGGTTGTTTAAAGGTGAAGTTAGTTCAGCAAGAAAAACATCTTTTTGATCTTCTTGAAGGCAAATCTTTAAAAAATAATTTAAACTTTTTTAATCTAAAATGCCCTTAGGGCATCTAATTTTTAATTACCTATCAGAGATGTCACGGGTTACCAGAAAACCGATATCTGATCTTTTTTCGACTCGATACCTGATATCCAAAAAACTTTTTTCTTAACCCGATCCGAAGAAAAATTTGAAGACCTGACCCGAAACTCGACATTTTTCTCAACTCGTGACATCCTTGTTACTTATAATTTTTTTAAAAAAGGATAATTGTGGATATAAATTTAGGGGGGATAAATTTACGGATTCTGACTGTCAGCGGAATGTTACATATTAAATCTCTCTCTCTCAAAAATACATGATTAAAATAACTTTAAATTTATTTTAATTCATTAAAAAAATCAAAATTTGCCTTCAATTCATTTTCATCTTCACTAGAATTTTTAAAAATAATTCCGAGTTCAAACACATCCTCCTCATCCTCCTCATTAATTAACAAAGGTTTTAAAAAACATATATTTTTTAAAATTAAAAAATCCTCTTTATTTTTATTTTTTAATAATGCCCAAATAAATTCTAGTAAAATAGTAGAGCCGGGCAGAACAGAATTTTTGTGGTTGCCGAAAGGGCGATGATCAAACAAATAATTTTTAATTTTAATAAAAATATTTTTTTGGTAAGTATTCATTTTTTATTAAATTTTTATTTTTTATTTTTAAAAATTATTGGAAATTTCGAGAAAAATATAAAAATGTCCAAAAGGAAGGGAAAACATTTTTATTAAATTTGAGGACAATTTTTCCTCTTAACTGATCCATTTTTTTAAAATTACAGCTAATTTGGTCAAGATAATTTTCTTTTTATTTTTTATTTTATTTTTGATGTCTGGAAATATTTAGAAAATGTCTGGAAAATATATATTTTATTTTAAATTGTCTATTAAATAGTCAAATTTCTCCTTTGTATTTATCGGGGTTTGTATTTCGAATTTTTAAAAATCGCAACTTTGAGAAAACTTGAGAAGCTAAAAAAACAACAATTACATGTAAATACTCTATATCAGACAGATAGTCCATTCCTTAGTAGACAGATGGGGTCCATTCCGTTTTTTTGAATATTAAAAGGTCAGATAATCTCTCATAGCAACCGAATTCACTGTGATTCAATTTTTTTCCCTTTTTTCATTCCCGAAATTATTATTTAACAAAAAAATTTTTCCCAAAAATATCTTTATCCGATAATAAAAAATTTAAATAAAAAAATAAACAGGCACTCTCGGAGCGCAAAATATATCAATGGATAGTCAATCAAAAATTACTCAGGAAAGGTTGTGTTTGAGAAAATAATTCGAAATAAGGCATCAGGGAATACAAGCCGATTCGATTTTCAAAATTAGGAGATCCTGACGTTCTTTTGTTAATGAATTTATTTCTTGTGTTGGCAGGAGTTATGGATTGGTAAGAGAAAAGTTGAGGTTTCATATCAGGATTTAAAAAAAAAATTTTCTAGTCTGGTTTCGGGTAAAAAATGGCCTGATTTCGAGTAATGGTAGAATCCTTTGTGTTTATTTTAAACAAAAAATACAAACTTCCAACAACCTTTCCTGAGTAATTTACATTTTTAAATGAGTATTTACAGTTTAAAAAACATATCCGATAATAAAAAATAAAAAAAGGCACTCTTTAAGAGAAGTGCAAAATTTTTGATTAGATAATCAATCAATTTTCTCAATTTTTGTTTTTAAATAAATCCACAAAATCAAAAATTCCAAAACCAAAATAAAAAATAAATCCCCAAAAAAATAAATTTAAAAAAATAAAGGGCTGCCGCTTTTAATAAATTAATAAAATTAAATCTAAGTTTTGTTTATAAACTTATAGTTTCCACTAGCGTCAAAAAATTTTTTTTTGATATTTTTTTAAAAACTTAAAAATTTCATAAAATAATTTTCGAAATTAACTCAAAATAAAAGAGAATTAAACCAGATAATGGGAAGTCCAAAAAATTTAACTGAAAGAAAATTAAATGTCAATAACCTGTTTGAATAACCCTATTTAGTATATGTAAATAGCAGCCCTTTTTACATAAAATAAATTTATAAAAAAATTTAACTCAAATAAATCCAAAAAAACTGGTCAGCTTACATCTTTTGCCTGACAAAATCTTCCACCAAATCACTAAAGATTTTCCAAAAATTTCAAAAACTTGTCTTTCATCGGTTTATCTTTGTAAATTTTAAGAATTGCATTTCTCATATTTTTGGCTTTCTTACTATATTCACTTTTAAAAGTAAGCTTTGTTTCATTATCATAAGATATTTGATTAAGCGCTTCCTTAAGAGCAAAAATAAGATTTTCATCAGAAAAATCCAAATATTTGCCAATTCCTTTTTGTTCAACAGTCGAAGCAATATACATTTGCTCTTCAGTCAGTGGAATACAGATTATTGGAACACCAGCATAAATTGCCTAAAATTTTTTTTAAAGAATAAGCTTCAAATTTTTGTTCCAAGGTTTCCCAATACTAGTTTAGAGGCCGATAGTTATTGAACGATAATATTATGCATACAATACCTCGTTAACACTATTTTGTTCACAATGTGAAATGAACACTCTTGTGTCTGGATTTGCTGAAAGTAAAAATAAATTAGTTAATTTGTGAATAAATATATACATAAAATTTCATTCCGTGGAAGAGTATCTTCTTCAGTATAACCAGTAAAGAATTTAAAATTTATAGCTGCTCGAACATGAAAATAACACGTAGGAAAATATTCTTTAGATACTTTTCTAATCATTTCGTAGATTCGATATTTTCCTATATATTCCAACTTTCCAAAGCTGACAAGAACATGACAGTCCTTAAAAATTTATCTGTGTTAGAAAAAGCGGCACACCCCCAAAATAAGTTATTGAGTATAACACAGGATATTAAAAAATATTGGGTGGTGTTCCTCGTTTTCTGAGAATAAATTTGCAAATTCGGCAATTGGGAATTTTCATTTTTTTTTCAATTTCCGATTTTGAGAATCGGGGAAATTTTAAGTAATTATTTATTTTCGGGGATCGGAAGTAAATGTAGTTTTTAATTAATTTACAGATATATATTTTAAATATGAGCTTTCCAACCTCGTCGTTTACTCCCTTTTTTTCTTCAATTAAAAGTTTGTTGTATTCAACAGTAATACCACCAATATAAACAATTTTTTCGTGGTCAGGAAAATTGTTAAATTTAATTAAAGGATGTTGATTTATAAAATGATATTTAATTTTTTTAAATAAATCCTCTAAAGATGATGGCTTTTTGATAGATATTTCATAGTCATCAAACAAGGAATTATAAAAGTTTTGAGATGTTGTAGTGAGAAGCTCCTGTACTCGTTTGTTGCTTACTCCATGTTCATTTTTATTATCTTCTTCACATTTGTACCATTTTCCATCTCTATCCCATTCCTCAGGTTTAGCAGCGGCGAAGGCTTAACAAAAATAAATTTTCAAATTCCTTATAAAGTTGGGTTTTTTTCATATTTTGGAATTTTTCGTTGCATATCTGGGCAGCCCTAGATATGACAGTCGATTCACCATATGGGGAAAATATTTTAAAGGATATTTAGAACTGATAATTCGGATTTTTTTTTGAAATTTTACTTCGTCTCACAAAATTCTTCTTTAAATTAATTATTAATAAAACATTACCAGGAACTTGATACTCCAAAACATTAATATCAAGGAATTGAAGATATTCTGGAGGGAATACAGAACTGAAAACATTAAATGTTTCTTCAATTCCCAATGCTTCAAAAACAGCAAAAGCACCAGCCGTTACATTAAACTCAGCTATTCCAATATCATATTTATTTTTTTGAAGCCGATCAAGAATCTTTTTTTGATGTGTCATTAACTCTGTAGAAATGAAATATTTAAATTTTATTTTTAATTATTTTACCTCTATAAATTCCTATAGAAAAATACATTTCTACTTGGAAGTTCTTCCATAATTCTTTATTTATTGGAATATAAATAATTTTTAAATTTCCTAGTTTTACTGTTTCTTGCCAAGTTCCCGTGTAAACTAGCATATCCTGGAATAAAAAAATAAAAATATTGAATATCAAATTATAGGAAGTTAACCAAATGGGTCGGACCAAGACCGATTTCAAAAACCGAAGGAAAGGAAACCCCAAAAATCAACACAAAGTGCAAAAACTATAAATTAAGTTTTGGCCATTTTTCTATTAATTTTTCAATACAATATCAATATAAACTAACCACTTTATGATAATTTTCTGTCAAAATGTTGGCTAATATTTTCTAAAATAAAAAATCTTCAACTCCAAATTAATTAAAAAAAATTTACGTTAAATTCCAAATTGGGGAATGAAAGATTGTCACAAATGTACAAAATTCTTCTGCGCTTCCTATCCTTTCCTTCAACTTGTTCGACTTCTTGTTCCATTCCTTCTCTCATAAGTTCTTTTCCAGGACGATGAGTAAAACCTTCATTATCTGTAGCTACCCCTTCTCCTTCACAAATACAAGTTTCTCCTCTTTTAAATCGACGATGATGTTTTTGACGATAATTTTTTGTCGGTTTTTTTGGATTGTTTGTTGGGACAGAGAATTTTTTAATTGTTGGACATTTACAATTTTTCACGGGGGAGGAGTTGATAAAAATTAGAAAAAATAAGAAAATGTAAAAAATTAATTTGATATACATTTCCTTAAAAAATATTAAAAATAATTTTTTAAAACGTAAAAAGAATTAATTAATCATCTATTTTTATTTATTTTACTTGGGGCAGAGAACCTACTACAAAATTATAATAAAATCAGAGGGGAGTATGGGGGGGGGGAGGGTTGGAATTCCGATTCCAGCATTCCAATTTCTAGTGT